TCTTAGATGTTGTATGAAAGAATTGCAAGCGTAGCAACGAGAGCGTCTTAGATGTTGTATGAAACAATTGCAAGCGTAGCAACGAGAGCGTCTTAGATGTTGTATGAAAGAATTGCAAGCGTAGCAGCAAGAGCGTCTTAGATGTTGTATGAAAGAATTGCAAGCGTAGCAACGAGAGCGTCTTAGAAGTTGTATGAAACAATTGCAAGCGTAGCAACGAGAGCGTCTTAGATGTTGTATGAAACAATTGCAAGCGTAGCAACGAGAGCGTCTTAGATGTTGTATGAAAGAATTGCAAGCGTAGCAACAAGAGCGTCTTAGAAGTTGTATGAAACAATTGCAAGCGTAGCAACGAGAGCGTCTTAGATGTTGTATGAAACAATTGCAAGCGTAGCAACGAGAGCGTCTTAGATGTTGTATGAAAGAATTGCAAGCGTAGCAGCAAGAGCGTCTTAGATGTTGTATGAAAGAATTGCAAGCGTAGCAACGAGAGCGTCTTAGAAGTTGTATGAAACAATTGCAAGCGTAGCAACGAGAGCGTCTTAGATGTTGTATGAAACAATTGCAAGCGTAGCAACGAGAGCGTCTTAGAAGTTGTATGAAACAATTGCAAGCGTAGCAACGAGAGCGTCTTAGATGTTGTATGAAACAATTGCAAGCGTAGCAACGAGAGCGTCTTAGAAGTTGTATGAAACAATTGCAAGCGTAGCAACAAGAGCGTCTTAGATGTTGTATGAAAGAATTGCAAGCGTAGCAACGAGAGCGTCTTAGATGTTGTATGAAACAATTGCAAGCGTAGCAACGAGAGCGTCTTAGATGTTGTATGAAACAATTGCAAGCGTTAGCAACGAAGCGTCTTAGAGTTGTATGAAGAGTTGCAAGCGTAGCAACGAGAGCGTCTAATGTTGTATGAAAGATTGGCAAGCGTAGCAACGAGAGCTTCTATAGATTGTTGATGAAAACAAATTGGCAAAGCGTAGCAACGAGAGCGTCTTAGATGTTGTAAATGAAACAAGTGCAAGAGCGTAGCAACAGAGCGTCTTAAGAAGTTGTATGAAAAGAATTTGCAACGCGTAGCACCGAGAGCGTCTTAGATTTTGTATAAGAATGCAATCGATCAAACGAGAGCGTCTTAGATGTTTTGTATGAGAGTTTGCAAGCGTAGCAACGAGAGCTGCTTATAATGTGTATAAAGAGTTGCAAGCGTAGCAACGCGAAAAGCGTCTAAGATGTTGTAATGAAAAGTTGCAAGCGTAGCACACAAGAGCGGTCTTAGAAGTGTATGAAACAATTGCAATGTAGCAGGGAGAGCGTCTTAAAGTTGTAAATGAAAGAATTGAAAAGCGGAGCACGAGAAGCGTCTTAGATGTGGTATGAAAGGTTTCAAGCGTAGCAACGAGAGCGTACTAGATGTATTTATAAAAGAAAATTGCAAGCGTAGCAACAAGAGCGTCTTAGAAGTTGTATGAAAGAATTGCAAGCGTAGCAACGAGAGCGTCTTAGATGTTGTATGAAAGAATTGCAAGCGTAGCAACAAGAGCGTCTTAGATGTTGTATGAAAGAGTTGCAAGCGTAGCAACGAGAGCGTCTTAGATGTTGTATGAAAGAATTGCAAGCGTAGCAACAAGAGCGTCTTAGAAGTTGTATGAAACAATTGCAAGCGTAGCAACGAGAGCGTCTTAGATGTTGTATGAAAGAGTTGCAAGCGTAGCAACAAGAGCGTTTTAGATGTTGTATGAAAGAATTGCAAGCGTAGCAACAAGAGCGTCTAAGATGTTGTATGAAAGAGTTGCAAGCGTAGCAACAAGAGCGTCTTAGAAGTTGTATGAAACAATTGCAAGCGTAGCAACGAGAGCGTCTTAGATGTTGTATGAAAGAATTGCAAGCGTAGCAACAAGAGCGTCTTAGAAGTTGTATGAAACAATTGCAAGCGTAGCAACGAGAGCGTCTTAGATGTTGTATGAAAGAATTGCAAGCGTAGCAACAAGAGCGTCTAAGATGTTGTATGAAAGAGTTGCAAGCGTAGCAACAAGAGCGTCTTAGAAGTTGTATGAAACAATTGCAAGCGTAGCAACGAGAGCGTCTTAGATGTTGTATGAAAGAATTGCAAGCGTAGCAACAAGAGCGTCTTAGAAGTTGTATGAAACAATTGCAAGCGTAGCAACAAGAGCGTCTTAGATGTTGTATGAAAGAATTGCAAGCGTAGCAACAAGAGCGTCTAAGATGTTGTATGAAAGAGTTGCAAGCGTAGCAACAAGAGCGTCTTAGAAGTTGTATGAAACAATTGCAAGCGTAGCAACGAGAGCGTCTTAGATGTTGTATGAAAGAATTGCAAGCGTAGCAACAAGAGCGTCTTAGAAGTTGTATGAAACAATTGCATCGTAGCAACGAGAGCGTCTTAGATGTTTGTATGAAAAGAATTGCAAGCGTAACAACAAGAGCGTCTAAGATGTTTAATGAAAGAGTTCAAGCGTAGCATCAAGAGCGTCTTTAGAAGTTGTATGAAACAATTGCAAGCGTAGCAACGAGAGCGTCTTAGTGTTGTATGAAAGAATTGCAAGCGTAGCAACGAGAGCGTCTTAGATGTTGTATGAAACAATTGCAAGCGTAGCAACGAGAGCGTCTTAGATGTTGTATGAAACAATTGCAAGCGTAGCAACGAGAGCGTCTTAGAAGTTGTATGAAAGAATTGCAAGCGTAGCAACAAGAGCGTCTAAGATGTTGTATGAAAGAGTTGCAAGCGTAGCAACAAGAGCGTCTTAGATGTTGTATGAAAGAATTGCAAGCGTAGCAACAAGAGCGTCTTAGATGTTGTATGAAAGAGTTGCAAGCGTAGCAACGAGAGCGTCTTAGATGTTGTATGAAAGAGTTGCAAGCGTAGCAACAAGAGCGTCTTAGATGTTGTATGAAAGAATTGCAAGCGTAGCAACAAGAGCGTCTTAGATGTTGTATGAAAGAGTTGCAAGCGTAGCAACAAGCGCGTCTTAGATGTTGTATGAAAGAGTTGCAAGCGTAGCAAAACATCAAGAAGGTGTCCACATTGACGTTATTACGCCCCCCCCCCCCCCCCCCCCCCCCCCCCCCCCCCCCCCGAAACCCAGATACACAACACAGATATTCCCAACGAAACATCAAAACGTCTCACATTGACGTTATTACCCCCCCCCCCCCCCCCCCCCAACCCCCCCACCCGAAACCCCAGAGAGAGATACCACATTTATAAAAATATGCACGACTACACGCGCGGTTTTACACCCGCTGGCATAAATATGTTTACAGGAGATAACCTTAGACTTACGATTACCAATTTATTCACCGGTTACGCTCCGTTGGATGATTCTCCAAAATTTTCCGCTTGGTTCTGACATGTCGCCAGGGAGAGAAAAACCAACTGCTGGATCAGATGTCCTTGCTGCAATGCGAGGCACCGTGGCGTGCTGTTGAGCGCGACTTCATGCGCAATTGAAACCTTTCCGTTTGATATATATATATATGTGTTATTTCATACAGGATATGTGATAACTTGATTTTTCCCCACAAATCTCTTGTTTTGATTGGTTGACTCAGTCAAGTCATGTTAAATCCATATCTCTTTGTGGGGACGATCGCAATTTTGATGATTTCAATCACCATTCTGATTGATCAACTCCTCTTTACCAGGAAACTCACCTATTTTGATGGGCAAATTTGCCACTGACCGCGCTGGCCGCTGCGGGGGCGGCCTGACAAACTCTTCAGGCTGATGAGAAATTGAAGCACGTGGAGGCCGATTTTTGCCAACATTCAATGGGCACACGTGCCAACAAAAATGGAAAAATACCAACAAAACATTGGGATTTTTTGGAGGATTTTAGCCATAAGCTGGGGTTTTAACGATACTTGGGGGTGCAGTCGCGGTGATGGTATGGGTATAACGGTATAACCATGGGATTATTACCCCCAAGAGGGTGGGATATTTAACCCCCAATTGGAACTGCACCCACATGCATGTGCCATACCCTTTTCTATTGGTATAACCCCATTGGGTTCTGGCTGTTTGTTTTAGTTCTCAGTTCTCGGTTTATAATCACCCCCATGAACCATAACCATGTAGGATAACTCCTTTGATGATCCACCACTTGGTATTTTGGGCACTGCTTAGCTGAAATTGACATCAAAAATGAACGAACTGTGTTGCTTCAGCTGACAAGCTGGAAAGGTGGAGAAGAAAACCCTTGAGAAAAGGATCGAAGAAGACGTGAAGGCGCGGGATCGACTGAAAGGGATGGTGGCTTTCACGAAAGTGGGCAGCCTGAACTAGCTTCACCACTGTATCAGAGAGTCATCGGCCATCATTCCCCATTTCGTTAGTTTGATTCCAATTTTTGCTTGTTTGATACGCCTAAAATCCAGGGAAATTCCCACATTTTCTGCGAAAAACCACCATTGATAGTTGATTTACCCATTAATAGCATGGTGATTGTTTAATAGCTGGTTGATGGTTTTTGAACATTAATTTTATGACTTTCCGTATATTCGGAATAGTAACCCCAACTGACTTTCATATTTTTCAGAGGAGTAGGTCAACCACCAACGAGATAGTTGTGTTCGTTTACCAGAGGGTAAAATCCAAGGAACGTCCCAACTTTTCCCCCGAAACCTCCCCGTGTCGCGCAGGTCATCGGAGAGCTTCAAGAGGAGTGCCGAGAGGTGAAGGCAGCGGCAAGATGTCGTTGAAACGGGCGGAAAGCTGCGTGTTGAAGAGGTCAAATATTGCGGGATACATCGTATACATCCACAAAATCATGATTAATGTTGGTTATACGGGAATCAATTTGTATAAGTATAGTTAGTTGGGGTATAGGAAGACAAACATATGGTGAATGTTTCATTTTTTCCTGCAGAAAATAGGGTATATGTTAAATCGGGCAATGATGATCATCATTGGCAATTGGGAGGTGCAAGAAACAGGGGAGTTTATTCGCCATTTTGACTCAAATTTGCCTCAAGATAGTAGCATTGAACACGGACTGCTCCGGCCTTTGGATGTTTCGCGTCGAACAGATGCTCCAAGTGACTGTGTCTCTGACGAGTGGTCGCAGTGCGAGCCTTTCAATTCCACTGGCCTCCACAGTAGGAGACTTGAAAACGATGGTCCGGGAGTCTTTGGGAAAGCCCTTTCTAAGGCTTATCACCGCAGATGGGCGCCAGCTGAATCCATCAGAATTTCTTGAGGCTGCAGGGCTTCAAGACGGAGCCCAGCTCACAGCCGTTGTGGGAGAAGCAAAGCTAGCAGCAACTCGATATGCTTTTGCATTGTGGTGCTGCGGGGGCGACAGAGTTCTGACATGGGGCAATCCAGGTTCTGGCGGTGACAGCTCTGCAGTCCAAGATCAGCTGAAGAGTGTGCGGCAGATTCAGGCCACAACGAGTGCATTTGCTGCCATCTTGGAAGATGGCTCTGTTGTCACCTGGGGTTATCCAGCTTGGGGCGGTGACAGTTCTGCGGTCCAAGATCAGTTGAAGAGTGTGCAGCATGTTCAGGCCACAGGCTCTGCATTTGCTGCCATCTTGGAAGATGGCTCTGTTGTCACCTGGGGCCGTCCAGGTAGTGGCGGTGACAGCTCTGCAGTCCAAGATCAGCTGAAGAGTGTGCAGCAGGTTCAGGCCACAGGCTATGCATTTGCTGCCATCTTGGAAGATCGCTCTGTTGTCGCCTGGGGCAGTCCAGGTTGGGGCGGTGACAGCTCTGCGGTCCAAGATCAGCTGACGAGTGTGCGGCAGGTTCAGGCCACCAGTGGTGCATTTGCTGCCATCTTGGAAGATGGCTCTGTTGTCACCTGGGGCCAATCAGATTCTGGCGCTGACAGCTCTGTGGTCCAAGATCAGCTGAAGAGTGTGCGGCAGGTTCAGGCCACAGGCTCTGCATGTGCTGCCATCTTGGAAGATGGCTCTGTTGTCACCTGGGGCAATCCACATTGTGGCGGTGACAGCTCTGCAGTCCAAGATCAGCTGAAGAGTGTGCGGCAGATTCAGGCCACATGGTTTGCATTTGCTGCCATCTTGGAAGATGGCTCTGTTGTCACCTGGGGCAATCCAGATCGTGGCGCTGACAGCTCTGCGGTCCAAGATCAGCTGAAGAGTGTGCGGCAGGTTCAGGCCACAAGTGAAGCATTTGCTGCCATCTTGGAAGATGGCTCTGTTGTCACCTGGGGCAATCCAGATTGTGGCGGTGACAGCTCTGCGGTCCAAGATCAGCTGAAGAGTGTGCAGCAGGTTCAGGCCACACACAAGGCATTTGCTGCCATCTTGGAAGATGGCTCTGTTGTCACCTGGGGCCATCCAGATGATGGCGGTGACAGCTCTGCGGTCCAAGATCAGCTGAAGAGTGTTTAGCTCAAGTTGTCATTAATTTTGCTTTGCCAAGATGCTGGAACCCCAAATTCGGACCAAATTCGAACAACAAAATATTTTGATGATTGGTGATGATAGTTGTGCAGTGGAACTTTGGCCTCCTGCGTTCTGAGCAGTCGTTGTTCAAATGCCTGATCTTGAAAAAGGCGTGGAAACAGCAAGAAAACTGGGTGAACTGCAAGGTGAATGCCGTTTCTACCATCAATTATCGGAACGTGTTTCCAATAGCAATGGGGATCTGAACAAGAGAACTGAGTAACTCTGGGTAAAGCCCTCATGACTGGATGGTGGGTTGGATCACGTATCGTGATTGCTTGGTAATTGGGATTATAGGCCATTTATTTCATTTTATTTACTTATTACATCTTATTAATTAACTAATTATTATTATTTTTATTACTTTTTTTTTAAAACATATATCGTATATATATATATAGCTATATTTATGTATATATACATACATAAAATATGTTTACAGGAGATAACCTTAGACTTACGATTACAAATTTATTCACCGGTTACGCTCCGTTGGATGATCCTCCAATTCTTTTCCGCTTGGTTTTGAAGAGCCGATTTCGCCAGGGAGAGAAAAACCAATTGCTGGAGCAGATGTCCTTGCTGCGCGGCGAGGCACCGTGGCGTGCTGTTGAGGGCGACTTTGTGAGTAGTGCTATGGAAACTGATCTATATATATATATATAGATCTGTTTTTTGTGTTATTTCATAAAGGATATGTGATAAGTCGATTTTTTCCCCACATCTCTTGTTTTGATTGGTTGACTCAGTCAAGTCATGTTGAATCCGCATCTTTTTGTGGGGACGATCGCAATTTTGATGATTTCAATCACCATTCTGATTGATCAACTCCTCTTTACCAGGAAACTCACCTATTTTGATGGGCAAATTTGCCACTGACCGCGCTGGCCGCTGCGGGGTGGACCTGACAAACTCTTCAGGCTGACGAGAAATTGAAGCACGTGGAGGCCGATTTTTGCCATCATTCAATGGGCACGCGTGCCAACAAAAATGGATTAATACCAACAAAACATTGGGATTTTTTGGAGGATTTTAGCCATAAGCTGGGGTTTTAACGATACCCTTGGGGGTGCAGTCGCGGTGATGTTATGGGTATAACGGTATAACCATGGGATTAGTACCCCCAAGAGGGTGGGATATTTAACCCCCAATTGGAACTGCACCCACATGCATGTGCCATACCCTTTTCTATTGGTATAACCCCATTGGGTTCTGGCTGTTTTTTTAGGAGTTCGCAGTTCTCAGTTCTGAATCCCCCACAAGCCACAACCATGTAGGATAACTCCTTTGATGATCCACCACTTGGTATTTTGGGCACTGCTTAGCTGAAATTGACGTCAAAAATACGAAGTGTTTGCTGCTTCAGCTGACAAGCTGGAAAGGTGGAGAAGAACACCCTTGAGAAAAGGATCGAAGAAGACGTGAAGGCGCGGGATCGACTGAAAGGGATGGTGGCTTTCATGAAAGTGGGCAGCCTGAACTAGCTTCACCACTGTATCATAGTCATCGGCCATCATTCACCATTTCGTTAGTTTGATTCCACTTTTCGCTTGTTTGATACGCCTAAAATACAGGGAACTTCCCACATTTTCTGCGAAAAACCACCGTTTTTACTGGTGAATGTCCCATCTTTTCCTCCCCTGAAACCTCCCCGTGTCGCGCAGGTCATCGGAGAGCTTCAAGAGGAGTGCCGAGAGGTGAAGGCAGCGGCAAGATGTCGTTGAAACGGGCGGAAAGCTGCGTGTTGAAGAGGTCAAATATTGGGGGATACATCGTATACATCCACAAAATCATGATTAATGTTGGTTATACGGGAATCAATTTGTATAAGTATAGTTAGTTGGGGTATAGGAAGACAAACATATGGTGAATGTTTCTGTTTTCCTGCAGAACATAGGGTATATGTTAAATCGGGCAATGATGATCATCATTGGCAATTGGGAGGTGCAAGAAACAGAAGAGTTTATTCGCCATTTTGACTCAAATTTGCTTCAAGATAGTAGCATTGAACACGGACTGCTCCGGCCTTTGGATGTTTCGCGTCGAACAGATGCTCCAAGTGACCGTGTCTCTGACGAGTGGTCGCAGTGAGAGCCTTTCAATTCCACTGGCCTCCACAGTAGGAGACTTGAAAACGATGGTCCAGGAGTCTTTGGGAAAGCCCTTTCTAAGGCTTATCACCGCAGATGGGCGCAAGCTGAAACCATCAGAATTTCTTGAGGCTGCAGGGCTTCAAGATGGAGACCAGCTCACAGCCATTGTGGGAGAAGCAAAGCTAGCAGCAACTCGATATGCTTTTGCATTGTGGTGCTGCGGGGGCGACAGAGTTCTGACATGGGGCAATCCAGGTTCTGGCGGTGACAGCTCTGCAGTCCAAGATCAGCTGAAGAGTGTGCGGCAGATTCAGGCCACAACGAGTGCATTTGCTGCCATCTTGGAAGATGGCTCTGTTGTCACCTGGGGTTATCCAGGCGAGGGCGGTGACAGCTCTGCGGTCCAAGATCAGCTGAAGAGTGTGCGGCAGGTTCAGGCCACAAGTGAAGCATTTGCCGCCATCTTGGCAGATGGCTCTGTTGTGACCTGGGGCCGTCCAGATCGTGGCGGTGACAGCTCTGCGGTCCAAGATCAGCTGAAGAGTGTGCGGCAGGTCCAGGCCACACAATATGCATTTGCTGCCATCTTGGAAGATGGCTCTGTTATCACCTGGGGCAATCCAGATCGTGGCGCTGACAGCTCTGCGGTCCAAGATCAGCTGAAGAGTGTGCGGCAGGTTCAGGCCACAGTCGATACATTTGCTGCCATCTTGGAAGATGGCTCTGTTGTCACCTGGGGCAATCCAGGTTGTGGCGGTGACAGCTCTGCGGTCCAAGATCAGCTGAAGAGTGTGCGGCAGGTCCAGGCCACAGGCTATGCATTTGCTGCCATCTTGGAAGATGGCTCTGTTGTCACCTGGGGCCATCCAGGCGAGGGCGGTGACAGCTCTGCGGTCCAAGATCAGCTGAAGAGTGTGCGGCAGGTTCAGGCCACAGGCTATGCATTTGCTGCCATCTTGGAAGATGGCTCTGTTGTCACCTGGGGCCATCCAGGCGAGGGCGGTGACAGCTCTGCGGTCCAAGATCAGCTGAAGAGTGTGCGGCAGGTTCAGGCCACAGGCTATGCATTTGCTGCCATCGTGGACGATGGCTCTGTTGTCACCTGGGGCAATCCACATTGTGGCGGTGACAGCTCTGCGGTCCAAGATCGGCTGAAGAGTGTGCGGCAGGTTCAGGCCACATGGTCTGCATTTGCTGCCATCTTGGAAGATGGCTCTGTTGTCACCTGGGGCAATCGAGATCGTGGCGCTGACAGCTCTGCGGTCCAAGATCAGCTGAAGAGTGTGCGGCAGGTTCAGGCCACAAGTGAAGCATTTGCTGCCATCTTGGAAGATGGCTCTGTTGTCACCTGGGGCAATCCACATTGTGGCGGTGACAGCTCTGCGGTCCAAGATCTGCTGACGAGTCTTTAGTTCAAGGTGTCATTAATTTTGCTTTGCCAAGATGCTGGAACCCCTAATTCGGACCAAAGGGCTCGAATTGCATAATATTTTGATGATTGTTGATGATAGTTGTGTAGTGGAACTTTGGCCTCCTGCGTTCTGAGCAGTTGTTGTTCAAATGCCTAATCTTGAAAAAGGCGTGGAAACAGTAAAAAAAAATGGGTGAACTGCAAGGTGAATTATTTATTTATTTGTATTTATTTATTTGTATATATTTATTTATTTATTTTTATTCATGAATTCATTCATTCATTCGTTCGTTCGTTCGTTCGTTCATTCATTCATTCATTCATTCATCTATTCATTCATTTATATATTATTTATTTATTTATTCATTCATTTATCATTTATTCATTTATTCATTCATTCATTCATTCATTTATTTATTTATTTATTCGTTCATTTATTTATTTATTTATTTTTTTTTTTATTTATTTATTTACTTTTTTATTTATTTATCTATGTACAGTATGTAAAAAAAATATATATATATGTATACAGGATACAAACTTTAGACTTACGACTGCCACATTATTCACCAGTTACGCTCCGATGGATGATTCTCCAAAATTTTCCTCTTGGTTCTGACATTTCGCCAGGGAGAGAAAAACAAACTGCTGGAGCAGATGTCCTTGCTGCCCCGCGAGGCACCGTGGCGTGCTGTTGAGCGCGACTTTGTGAGTAGTGCAATGGAAACTGTTATATATGTGTTATTTCATACAGGATATGTGATAAGTCGATTTTTTTCCCCAAAAATCATGCTTTGATTGGTTGACTCAGTCAAGTCATGTTGAATCATCTTTTTGTGGGGACGATCGCAATTTTGATGATTTCAATCACCATTCTGATTGATCAAATGCCCTGTTTTGGTGGGAAACTCACCAATTTTGAGGGGTTAATTTCCCACTGACCGCGCTGGCCGCGGGACCCAACACGATCCAGGCTGACGAGAAATTGAAGCACTTGGAGGCCGATTTTTGCCATCATTCAATGGGCACACGCGTGCCAACAAAAACGGGTTAATGCCAACAAAACATTGGGATTTTTGAGGATTTTAACATATTTTAACCATAACCAGAGTTTTCAAAGGTACTTGGGGGCGCAGTCGCGGTGATGTTATGGGTATAACGGCATAACGGTATAACTATGGGATGATTACCCCCAAGAGAGTGGGATATTTAACCCCTAATTGGAACTGCACCCACATGCATGTGCCATACCCTTTTTTATTGGTATAATCCCATTGGGTTCTGGTTGTTTTTTTTTAGGAGTTCGCAGTTCTCAGTTCTGAATCCCCCACAAGCCACAACCATGTAGGATAACTCCTTTGATGATCCACCACTTGGTATTTTGGGCACTGCTTAGCTGAAATTGACGTCAAAAATACGAACTGTGTTGCTTCAGCTGACAAGCTGGAAAGGTGGAGAAGAAAACCCTTGAGAAAAGGATCGAAGAAGACGTGAAGGCGGGGGATCGACTGAAAGGGATGGTGGCTTTCACGAAAGTGGGCAGCCTGAACTAGCGTCAACTCTGCATCTTTTATCAAGGCCGTGATGATGGGAGGACCAGCCTTAAGAAGAGGGATCAATTGTCATTAGAACAAGTTCGCCAAAAACCCCCAGTGAACCCAGCCAAAAAAAAATTGAATCCGTGCTTTGAGACAGGAACAGGCTGTGCTGAAGGCGTGCGGACGGTGCGATGTGGATTTTGGCACCTGAAGGAGGTATGTACCCCCACTGTATGGTTATGAAAGAATTGATACGAGGGCAAATGAAATGGAGGTACCCCTACATCATCCATTTTAATAGGATTCCCCTTACCCGTTTGTGGAACTCCCAACTCGGTTTTCCTATGCTTTAAACAAGAGAACTTGGAGGCCCATGAGGTGAAAGGTCTTGAAGCAAGTGAAATTTACAGCTGACCACCATTGCTGGTTGTTTAGAAGTGAATCTGACGTTGAAGGCCGGGTCAGGCGAGCCGCTGGAAAAATTGTGCTTTTTTGGGATTATCTCCCAATGGCAGTTTCAAAGATGTCTGATTTCCAAGCCACATGGGAGATGTTGGGATGCGAAACCCTGCAGCAGGTGGTAGCAAATGTGGTGCCCAGTCGTGTTTTTTCACGATTTACGCGGTAAATCATTGGATTTTTCAACGGAAACCATCCAGCAGCACGATTTCGCACCGGCAGGCGGAGAAAAGCACATTGGAGGGCCAGATGCGTTCGGCCAAAGAAGAGGCGGGGACATTTACCCAGTCAAACATGCCGAAAAACTATGGTCCATTGGAACTGATCCACCTTCATGGCGGATTTTCCATAGCTATAGCTTGGTTTACTGGGAGGTTCCCCTAAACATGTTTGACTTAGGGATCCCTGAAACATCGCAGGGATGTGTTGATTTTTTGGGCAGGATTTTCCCCTTGAGGCTGATCGAAAAGTCAAGCGCTTGAAGTCTGAACTTGAGTCGGAGAAGGCGGGGGCAAGAACCAATGAGAACTGGTTGGTGCTGACTGGAACCATGGAATGAATGGAATGGATGATGACTTCCAATTCAGTTGGGAATGTCATACTCCCATGTGACTATGATTTTTTCAGAGAGGTAGGTAAACCACCAACCAGAGAACCTGTGTGATGTGCGAATTAAATTTGAGCTATGTATTGAGCTATGTATTGGTGGCTCCTGTTGTTCACCTGCAGGTAGCAAAGGCTACCCTGGAGAAACAGCTTGAAGAAGACTTGCAGAAGGCTTCTCGTTGTGATACAAGCCTGACATTCCATATCTGCCAGTCTTGGTTGAGATCGTTTGTTGCACAGGTACAGGCTGAATTGAAGAACAAGGACCTGACAGCACTGGAGGAGGTAAAACTTCTGAAGGCACTGGAAGAGACTGGTCAGTCTGGCAGTCTGGCATTGCAGCTTCGCACGTAGTGACTGGCTTGCCTTTCATTGCAAGGCGGAAAAAAGCAAACTCGAGGGCAAGATGCGGTCAGCCCAGAACGAGGCGGCACACATTAACTGGCACTATGTCCCGGCAATCTCTGTACAAACCACTGCAGAAGGTTTCTTTTCCATTTGGTTCAGGCTGATGACAAAGTCAAACGATTGAGCGCAGAACTTGAGTCGGAGAAGGCTGGGCGGGTGTCAAGAAGCAATGAGATCCAATGAGAACCTGTTTGATGTGTGCATGATCTTCAGCTACTAATTTGTGATAATTTGTGCCTCCTGTTCACTTGCAGGTAGCAAAGGCTACCCTGGAGAAGCAGCTTGTGGAAGACTTACAGAAGGCTTCTTGTTGTGAAGTTTGATTTGGACATAAAATGAAAACATGACATGCCACATCTGTGTCTTGTTTCAGATCGCATGTGTTGCGCAGGTACAGGCTGAATTGAAGAACAAGAACCTGACATCACTGGAGGAGGTAAGAGTTCTGAAGGCACATGACGAAAGACCATGAACGACCAATGAATCTGTCATTGATTCGAATGCTGACTTTGAAGCTTTGCAGTTCTATGTCTCAGTTAGAAATGTGAGGCAGAGAAAAGCAAACTGGAGAGTGAGACGCAGGCTGCCCAGAAAGAGGCTTCAATTCTGGTGAACGTGTGCAGATAACAAACGAAGTGCAAAACAAAGCGCGCTGTTCTCTTTTTGTGTTCTAGTCTAGTAAGAAGTTCAAGTGAAAGGCAAACCACCAAAGAGTGTGCTTTCTTCAGGCTGACGACAAAGTCAAGCGATTGAACGCCGAACTTGAGTCGGAGAAGGTTAGGTAGCAGCCAGTCATTGGTTGGTCGTGGTGGACTATTTGCCTTCTCTTCAGCAGGTAGCAAAGGCTACCCTGGAAAAACAGCTTGAAGAAGACTCGCTGAAGGCTCGTTGAAAAATCATTTTTAGAAGATTTCTTGAAAAACGTGGCATGCCTATTCTGGCAGCGAGTCCAAGTTGAAATTGCGCTTGCTGCACAGGTACAGGCTGAATTGAAGAACAAGGACCTGACAGCACTGGAGGAGGTAAAACTTATGAAGGCACTGGAAGAAACTGGTCAGTCTGGCAGTCTGGCATTGCAGCTTCGCACGTAGTGACTGGCTTGCCTTTCATTGCAAGGCGGAAAACAGCAAACTCGAGGGCAAGATGCGGTCAGCCCAGAACGAGGCGGCACATATTAACTGGCACTATGTCCCGGCAATCTCTGCACAAACCACTGCAGAAGGTTTCTTTTCCATTTGGTTCAGGCTGATGACAAAGTCAAACGATTGAGCGCAGAACTTGAGTCGGAGAAGGCTGGGCGGGTGTCAAGAAGCAATGAGATCCAATGAGAACTTGTTTGATGTGTGCATGATCTTCAGCTACTAATTTGTGATAATTTGCGCCTCCTGTTCACTTGCAGGTAGCAAAGGCTACCCTGGAGAAGCAGCTTGGGGAAGACTTGCAGAAGGCTTCTTGTTGTGTTGGTTGCTTTGGAAAAAAGATGAACACATGACACCCACATCCGTCAGTTTTGTTTGAGATCGCATTGAGCAGGTACAGGCTCAATTGAAGAACAAGAACCTGACAGCACTGGAGGAGGTAAAACTTCTGAAGGCACTGGAAGAAACATTTCAGTCTGGCAGTCTGGCATTGCAGCTTCGCACGTAGTGACTGGCTTGCCTTTCATTGCAAGGCGGAAAAAAGCAAACTCGAGGGCAAGATGCGGTCAGCCCAGAACGAGGCGGCACATATTAACTGGCACATTGTCCCGGCAATCTGTGTACAAACCACTGCAGAAGGTTTCTTTTCCATTTGGTTCAGGCTGATGACAAAGTCAAACGATTGAGCGCAGAACTTGAGTCGGAGAAGGCTGGGCGGGTGTCAAGAAGCAATGAGATCCAATGAGAACTTGTTTGATGTGTGAATGATCTTCAGCTACTAATTTGTGCCTGTTGTTCACTTGCAGGTAGCAAAGGCTAACCTGGAGAAGCAGCTTGGAGAAGACTTGCAGAAGGCTTCTTGTTGTGTTGGTTGCTTTGGAAAAAAGATGAACACATGACACCCACATCCGTCAGTTTTGTTTGAGATCGCATTGAGCAGGTACAGGCTCAATTGAAGAACAAGAACCTGACAGCACTGGAGGAGGTAAAACTTCTGAAGGCACTGGAAGAAACATTTCAGTCTGGCAGTCTGGCATTGCAGCTTCGCACGTAGTGACTGGCTTGCCTTTCATTGCAAGGCGGAAAAAAGCAAACTCGAGGGCAAGATGCGGTCAGCCCAGAACGAGGCGGCACATATTAACTGGCACTATGTCCCGGCAATCTCTGTACAAACCACTGCAGAAAGAGGCAGGTTGTATCGAGTGAGTAGCTTCATGTCTGGGAAATTTATGGCAGGCTGCAAGTCTGAACATTCCAGGCACTTAGTTGAAGGCTTTCAAGTGAAGGTCATACAAGCCAGAGAAGACAGGTGTGTCTCGAAATGAAGGAATTTCACTGTCAAACACTGTGGATGCGGTTGGACAATGGGACATCCCTCAGGATTCGATGTCTTTCCCATTAAAACATATGAAAACCTGCACTTTACTTCTGGAAATCAACCATTGCCACCCATGTTTGATGCCCCAATAGGGGTTGGTGAATTGCAATTGATTCCAATATTCCATTATTTTCCGATTACATCTTCCCATCGTTGATATCATTGATATCCCACTAGCTCAATGCAGGCTGCTCGCTTTTCAGGCTGATGACGAACTGAAGCGATTGAGTACCAAATTGGAGTCGGAGAAGGTTCTGGAGAAAGACAACCATTTTTGCGGGTTGTCATAGTCAGTGTTGGGATATCATTATATAGCTCACCATGGGATATGTGTAACCAACTATATACAATGTGTGTGTATAACTATATATATATACATATGTGTACGTGTGGTAATTTTAAATACTAACCATTAAACAGTCAAACATTGGGTGTTACTGAGATAACAATAGGGAACATGAGGATAAACCAGTGCATGGAATGAGGTAAAGCACTTTGAATTTCCAGACAACAGCATTTACAAGTGAGATACAATGGGATTTTCTTTGTGTATAATTTACACCAGAACTATCATCTCTAGGAAATCCATATCAACTGCAATATTCGCAGCATTTGTTAGGGGGTGGAGGCTATTTCCATCGTATAGTCATATAGTGTACTGGTTGGTGGTTTGGAACATTTTATATTTTTCCGTATATTGGGAAGAATCATCCCAACTGACTTTCATATTTTTCAGAGGGTTGAAACCACCAACCAGTGTATGTTCATGTAAGAAGTGTTGGTTCATTATTGCATCTGTTCAATCAGAGGCTGCGGGAATTCATGGGCTTCAGAAAATACATGGGAGAAATAGTAGGAGAAATCGCCGGTGGATGGGTTTCCCCCCCAGAGAAAGGCATAAATGGGCTGAATATGTTTTTTTTTTTTCTGGGTCATTATATACTGATTTAGTCAAGAGCAAGTGAAGATATCATGGGTGCATCAATTCGGGATATACAAGATGAGCCACCCCAATTATGTTTGCTAGTCTAGTTTCACCCCATGAATACTATAGTTCTATTCCCTGGTTGGTGGTTTCAAACATCTTTTATTTTCCATAATATATGGGATCATCCTTCCCATTGACTTTCATACCATAAACGAGAGTTAATTCAGCCACAAAAAACTTTGGCGTTTCTGAACGCGAGCTCGACTGGGGGCCCCATCCTGAATACTATAATCACATTAAATCCCCATTAAATCCCATTAAATCCCATTAAATCACCATTAAATCACCATTTTCCTATGGTTTTCTACTCCGTTCGCCAAAGCCAAAATCACTTCACCAGTCGTGACACGTCGTTTTTTTGTCGCAACGTTTCCGTTCCGTGGATTTCCTGGCCACCGGGGTTTTGCCAAGGGCTACCCGGTAGGTGTCATCAAACATGGCGTTTGGGCATCTTTGGGTGCAAGTGTTGGATGAAATATATATGGGTATGGATCAATACCTATTAATACCATTTTTAGGGGGATGAACATCCATTTACCAGCTAATCTCTACAGGATAGTGCAGTAGATTGTATACACCTCCATTTCAAGCATTATATGGATGTGGGTCAAAATGGAAGACCTAGGTGACCACAGATGTGAACGTCTAGTTTAGTATTAACCATCCATAATTTTTGGGTACCTAATTTTGACCCATACCCATATTTATGGTTAATGATGGTAAATTATGGTTAATCATGGTGAATACGGGTTAATTATGGTTAACAACAAACTGGTTGGTGGTTTGGAACTTTTGTTTTTGTTTTTTTTCCATCCAGTTGGGAATGTCATCATCCCAACTGACTTTCACTCCATCATTTTTCAGAGGGGTAGGTCAACCACCAACCAGATATACATATATATATATATATATATATGTATATATACACATAATTTGAACATTTCCAGTGCCGTTTTTGATTCCCTAGAGGGGGATGTCTTTGCATACCCCCCAACTCCACTGGTTTAAATCAAACGTGGCTGGGAAATCCCGGTGGCGCCATGGAGGTTTTTCAAAACTGGGAAAACCATAAAGATGAGTTAATACAAATATAAATCATCTAAATTAAATGATATTATCTAAATTATATCCATATAGCTGGGAATTTCCAGCAATGCATGGAGCTGATTTTTGGGTTTCCACTGGACTCTTGAGGATCATCAGACGTCCACATGGTACCCACTCCAGGAGAAAACGTTGGACACGAAGCGTCGAGCACACTTGGTGTGGATGCCCATGCGGAACCTCGATTCCTCGAGTCCGGGAGAAGGCATTCTCTGGGCGAAATCTGGCTGGTTATTTAACGCTTTGCGAACTGGAAAACCGCCATTTTTGAGGGGTAGACGAGGTAAATCATCGTATCATCTATAAATGGGTCATTATCCACAGCCATGTAGCAAATAATCAGAAGGTATTTTTTGATCAAGCCTAAATCAGTGGTTTCCCCAAACTTCAGTGAGAAATCAAGAAAAATGCTTGACAAACGCTGGGTTTATTGGAGGTTTAGAAAGGTTTAGAAACCCACGCGGTGCGGTGGTTTGGTTTTACGGATTTTTGATGGACCAACGAAGGACGGCCAAATGTTGGATTGAAGCCTACTTCAATGGCCATTTCAGGAACCTAAATTGGAGGTACCTACCATATATAAGGCCTATATTTCACGCCTATGTAAGGGAATATCCCTAGAACATATGCCCAAAAATATGGTACCTTTACGTACCTCCATTTTAGGATCCTTTTTATTCCCATTGACTACTGCATCGTTTGGGTCTGGTCAACAAAGGATCAGTGGGATGGAACCAGAGCGAAACATGGAGACTGTGAAGGCTGGGTACCCAGCCTTCACAGTCTCCATGTTTATTTTTGTAACACCATTTCAAAGCTCACAGAAGAACCTGAAAGAACCTGAGAGACACCATATCTCATGCTATTTGAGAAGGTTTCTGAAATCATTGCTGAAAGAATTTCTGGACGGATTGGGTCGCCATACACAACTGGATCATATTAGCCTCTGGTAAACTGTTACGTAACTATGGAAGGATCCACCATGCTTTTTCAATGGGTAAATCCACTATTTCGATTGGGCCGTTTTCAATATATTTTTTTATGTTTATCAGGCCGGGTAGCCTTTCAGGGCTTGGATGGGTTCAAACACACTGTTCTCCCACGAAAACACGTGGAACACCAACGAAAAAGTGCGGTTCGCCGCCAAGATTTGAGGGGACCTTGGAGGGACTGGGAGGCCCTGCTCCAGAGCTATGGGAATTTTCGGGAATGATCCCAGTCATCACTAGTAATAATCATCCCAGCAACCCCCAGCAACCCATCCATTCCCCACGTTTAGCACCAGTAAGTTTATGATAGGAATTTATTTTCTACCTGGTTCTTGGGGGTTATCTCTTTTAACCCAAGAGATGGCCATTTGGGGCGTTACATTCACCATTTTCAGGCTATGTTCGGATATAGTTGGTGATACATTCTTTATGATATGCAATGAAAAATCCCAATGTTTGATGGTTGAATTACCATGATCCCCAATTTTTCATGGTGAATTGCGGAAAAACACCAAATGATCGGAGGATCAAACCATGGACCGTCCCCAAATCATTGACGGCTCAGCGCGACTCCGCAGCTGCGCGGTGTTCAGAAGGTTGGTTTGCGTTGTGCCACAGGGTATATAGTTTATTTATTTGATCATGTGGAGGTTTCCTGAAATATGGCTACCCCTAAATCATCCATTCTAATGGGATTTTCCCTTATAAACCATCCAGCTATTGGGATGCCCCAATTAAAAAAAAAACACGCGGGATTACCATGTTCCTTGAAGCAGCAAGGATGCCTTTGGGTCCCAGATGCCGCACCTACCAGCGAAGCAACAACTTGATGCCCTGGTATGGGAGTTCTTTGCGAAACACATTAACCAATTTGACAGATCCGGAGGCTGTTTGGCCCATCAAACATCTAAGCTTGTTTTTTTTTAATAACCGGTAATCACCCATGAATCAACCCATGAATGCTCCAGTTCGTTGTTTGAGTTTTTCGCCCCCGGGACTTCGCCATGGTCTCTCTGGACAGTGCCGCCTGGCCAGACGCTGCGTCGTTGTCGGACGCCGAAGTGGATGCGCTGCATCTAGCGCACCACGACAAGCCGCGAGACGTGCTGGGCTGTCACAGGCGTGAAACGTTGTGCCGGTGCAGGGGGAACACGACGAGGTGGTGCCGCTCTTAGTTCGGTTCGGTGGTTTGTATACACATGTATATATCTGGGCAAATTATAACGACCTCACTGTTCTCCCTCACTGGAATAGTGGTTAGTAAGGGAAATCATCCCCAAATGGCCTTAACTCAGGTTAGTGAACTATCAAAATTTACCCAGATATATCCCATATAACTATGTATAAGTTCTTAGTAAACGATGATAAATCCGATGGAATTATTCCAGCCCAACTAGAAATATAGCATGATGTAGCCAACATACACTTCGCACTTGGACACTCGGTGAAATGGGAACATGGCCCACTGAAACCCTGCGACATTTATGTTGTGGATCTATGTGTTTTATTTTCAAACCAGAGGGTTTGTTCTTAGGTCTAGTTACCCTCTGGTAATTTAACATAGCTATTGAAAATTGCCATTTAGTTCGTTGATTTACCCATAAAACATGGTAATTGTCCATAGTTATGTAAACGTTTACCAGAGGGTAGCAAAGGTTTTCATTTGGTATGTAGGTGATCTGGATAGGTTTTTCCATCAAGACTCAAGACATCACTTCGTTGAGTTGCGGGGGACTTTCTATCGCCAAGCTGGGCTTAAAGTTTCAGCTTGGCGAATGGTTCGAATGGTTATTTCGATGATGTTTCATCAAAGCAATCACCATTTTTTTCGTAAAATACAAAGCTGTTCGAGTTTGCAGCCTGGCTGAAGAAATTCCAAGGTACATAGTATGAAGCTTTCTCAAACGGAGGACCCCAAATGATCATTCAAGTTTTTGGTCGTGTTCAAATATATTGAATTAGGAAAGCCTGTGGATAAGAGAGGTCCCCTAATTTTGGGAGCCGTTTAGGTACTTGGGGGTGCAGTGGAACCACAATAAGTGGGTTAGATTTCACAATAGTTGTAGGGCTTATATCCCAACTTATGGAGGTTATAATCATAGTTATATTATATCCACTAGTAAACCCAACTGCACCCTTGAGTAAGAAGTTGTAGAACTTGCACTTGGAAAATTGCCCAACTTTTTAGGAATTACATGAAAAAACCACGTGGCTTCGTGGTGTGCTTGCCATGTTTGATGACACCGGAGGCTTCTATAACTTTTGATGGTCATACTTGGGGGTTTCAGCCACGGACCGTAAATGGCTGAAGGCCAGTTAGATGAATGGAATATCCCCAATGATCATATGGGATGAACTATGGCTTATGGAATGGAAACCACTTTTTTCATACGTATCGAAGGCTGAAGCGTGACTCACGTGAAGCCGACAGCGATCTCTTCGTGTTCCGAGTCTGGCACCAATCCTTGGAGAAGGAGTGGGAGGTGAGCCGAACTCGAGGACTTGGCCCCCTGTTCCCCCAAGAAACCTCCCCCGTCACCGAGTCACCGGGGTGACAGGTAGGGGGATGAAAAAACACCGAAGACCATGGAATTGGGGGCCTAGTAAATATACGTAAAGATGAACGGGGTTTGGTGATGGGATTACTGTAGTTCACGAAAATCGCAAAAGTGCTGTTTAGCTAAGACATGTTTGAACAAAAACTGAGTTTCACCCTTCCCCAAGCTAGGGATCCATAGGTATCCCGGATGTCCCATCAGTTTGGCCATTCACCGGAAATCACGTTGACAAGAGGAGCTTGTAAGCAGATTTGTTGGTGAAGAATGAATGCGTGCTATGTGTATGTATATAATATTATATAATCATCCTGAAGTACATAAGAATATGGAATTATATGGAATTTCACACACAGGCTTCCATCAAATTACATCCATTGTCCCAAGATGACACAACCCAAGAAGGAACATGTGGACCATTTCGGGCAGCGTTTATTGTTTGGATGGGTCACAGGCGGAGGAAGGTGATGTACAGTTGCTGCTGGAGGGGTTGGAGCGCCTTGGCTATTCCTTGGTTGGGGCTCGCGAAGTGCGAGAAATGGCTGGGAAATCCCGGCCTAGCCATGGAGGTTTCAATCTTCCAAAAATGGTTTGGTGATTCCAAGAATTCCGAGGTGCTCAGCAGGCTTTGACGATGATTGGCTCAAATTTAGAGAGAGAGAGAGAGAGAACAGACGGAATCAGTCACCCACCGACAGAGTCAGAGCGCAGTGAGTCAATCACCCACCACGTCGGAGTCAGTCACCCTCCGCCCCCGCACTTAGGGGGGAGGGGTGACTGCACTGCGGCGTGCTTCCATTTCCATATATATATATATATATATGTTTTTTCAAACATGCAACATGCATGTCTCTTTCAGGCACTGGCTCTTCAGATGATTGCTCATTGACCTTTCTTGCTTACAACTCAACATACGGTTTAGGGCTTAGGGTATACTCAGGCTTGATTTAGGTTTTATTTAGGGCCTTAGGGTTGGTTTAGGGCTAGTGTAGGGTTTCGTCAAGGTTTGGTCTAGGGTCTATTTAGGGTCTACCTAGCGTTGGTTTGGGGGTTTATTTGGCTTGGTTTGGGGTTTTTAAGGGTTGTTTAAAGTGAAGTTAGGGTTTCATCAGGGTTTGTGCGAAGGTTGGATTAGGGCTTATTTCGGCTTGGTGTAGGGTATAGTCAGGCTTAGTTTAGGTTTTATTTAAGGTTAGCTTCGGGTTAATGGCTAATGTCGGGTTTTGTCAAGGTTTGTTTTAGGGTCTCTTTAGGGTTTGCTTAGTGTTGGTTTTGGATTTATTTAGGCTTGGTTGAGGGTTTATTTAGGTTTGGCTTAAGGTGAAGTTTGGGTTTCGTCAGGGTTTGCTTGAGGGTTGGTTTAGGGTTTCTGTAGGGTTTGTTAGGGTCGTAGGGTCTATTTAGATTTGGTTTAGGGTCAATGTAGGGTTTTGTCAGAGTTTGCGTGAGGGTTGGTTTAGGCTTTACTTGAGTTGCTTTGGGGTTTCTTTAGGGTTGCGTTGAGGTTTCTTGAGGGACTCTTTGTTGTTGACGTTCCGTTTTTCCATGTTTCCATGGGTTCCTTCATAGATAGATAGAGAGATAGATAGATAGATAGATAGATAGACAGATAGATAGATAGATAGCTAGATAGCTAGATAGCTAGATAGCTAGATAGCTAGATAGCTAGATAGCTAGATAGCTAGATAGCTAGATAGCTAGATAGCTTTCAGGGGTGACTGACTCTTTGTTGCTGACTCTCTGTCTCCCGTTCATGGTTTCCCTGCATCCTGTGCTAATGTTCACCCGCGACTGACTTTGCCCTATGGGGTTACTGACTCGGACGTTTGGGGCGACTGACTCGGGTGACTGACTCTGTCTTTGCCCCAAATTTAGATACGGGCATTTTTTAAAGATATATGCTACCTATAGTAAACTAAGATAACCATGGAAAATCATCACTTTTAATAGCTAAATCAACTATGACTATACATGGCTCATTTTCAATGGCCTTTTTTGAAAAGTTTGGCACACAAGGATCACCATCCCCCCATGGATTTTTTGAAGCCCCCATTCTATGGTCCAAGTCAGATGTGTCATGGGAAATTCATTTATCCCCTTTGAACCCCTACTAAACTCTACAAAACCACTTTGGTGCCTGGGGGTTTTGGTTTGGGCTGTTGAAGGTATGAAACCACTAACCAGCTATCAGCCAGGACGGCGGTTGACCACTGGATTCCAAATCTATCCATTGAGGTTGCAGCCCTCATTCAAATTCCAAGATATTCCCCCGTGACTTCGGCATTTTTTCAGGTACCCCCATGTTACCCTCTGGTTATGTCAAAATAGCTATTGAACATGGCCCAGTCGAAATAGCGAATTTTCCCATTGAACATGGTGATTTTCCATCGTTATGTAAACGTTTACCAGAGGGTAACCATCATATATCACATTAAATCCCATTAAAATACCATAAAATCCCATTAAATCCCATTAAACCCCATTAAACCCCATTAAATCCCCATTATGTTTGTTGGTTTAGTTTCGGCCCATGGAAGCTATGGCTATTTCACCCCCGAGGCCCTTGAAAATGCAGCGCCGTTGTGCCTGGCTCTACGAAGCCGTTGTGCGGCTGCCGGTGCCGCGGGGACTGCGGGCTCGAGGAAGACTTCGACTTTGGTGAATCTTTGGGATTACCCTCTGGTAAACTAACATAGCTATTGAAAATGGCCATTTATAGTGGATTTTCCCATTAAAAATGGTGATTTTCCATAGCTATGCTAAATTACCAGAGGGTATGATGGGGATTATCATGGGAAAATAGGTTCTAACAAAGCCTAATGTGTTTTTTTTTTGTAGGTTTTAACTACTCATCCCCATTTGGCAAACAATAGAAGATCTGTGGAATACTGGGAAAATGTCGGAAACTCCCTGGGAGATTTCATGGAAATCCCTGGGAGATTTCTACGGTGAAGGGCTCTTAGCACAGGGAAAATCGCATCTTGGGTTCGTGAAGTTTGGCCGGCCCCAAAAAATGGCTTTGGATGATGATGATATTTTTCTCAAACATCCCTGGTTCGATTTTTTTTAGGCTATCTGGTAGGAGGGAGTGATTCGATTCCCAAATGGGGAGGCAGATGGAGCTACGAATCGAGTTTCCCTACCACATGATAGTATGTTGAATTGCCAGAGGATATGAATATGTGGCTTGAACTTCCCCTGTCAGGCTAATTGCGTAGTTAATTGTTTAGTGCAAAAAAAGGAACATATGGACTGGGTTCACCAGCTAAATAAGAAATCAAGATTTACGCCATGTTATCTACATTTTACAACATATTAAGATTATTACAAACCAATTAAGATAATGGTTTATCAACATCTATATGGATCATTATGTGAAACAACAGCCACTACATACCAATGATGATCTTAGCGGATCGTCACATCCCCCATAATTGGGTGTAAATTTCCGAGATAGGTCTCCTCACGGGCCTCCGGGCACACGGGCACACGGCCGATCCACGGGCACACGGGCACACGGGCACACGAGGAATCCACGGGCACACGGGCAAACAAGCACACGGGCACACGAGCAATGCACGGGCACACGGGCACCCGGGCACACGGGCACCCGGGCACACGGGCACCCAGGCACACGGACACACAGCGAAATCACGGGCACACGGGCAATCGACCGGCCCGGGCAAGGGCCCACAGTCAATCCACGGGCACAGGAATCCAAGATAGATTAATTAGATTAGATCGATTAGATCGATTAGATAGATTAGATAGATTAGATACATAAGATAAATAAGGTAAAACAGACAGATAAGATAGATAAGATAGATAAGATAGATCAGAAAGATCAGATAGATCAGATAGATCAGATAGATCAGATAGATCAGATAGATCAGATAGATCAGATAGATCAGATAGATCAGATAGATCAGATAGATCAGATAGATCAGACAGATCAGACAGATCAGATCAGATCAGATAGATCAGATAGATCAGATAGATCAGATAGATCAGATAGATCAGATAGATCAGAAAGATCAGATAGATCAGATAGGTCAGATAGATCAGATAGATCAGATAGATCAGATAGATCAGATAGATCAGATAGATCAGATAGATCAGATAGATCAGATAGATCAGATAGATCAGATATTTCAGATAGATCAGATATTTCAGATAGATCAGATAGACCAGATAGATCAGATAGATCGGATAGATCAGATAGATAGATAGATAGATAGGTAGATAGATAGATAGACAGATAGATAGATAGACAGACAGACAGATAGATAGATACAAAGGCAAAAGGATAAATCCATAAGTAGAAAGGGAGACGAGGAATCTAGGATAGACCGGGCCAAAACGGCACATGTGGAAATTAACTTATGATCAAGGCAAAACAACGACATTAAGCTGCACGCAAACAACACGGCAAGGACAACGACATGCCATCTACAGCAGACAGCGCTGAAACGCTGCATGTTGACATTAATGTTAGATCAAGGCATCACAGCACAGCGGAACAAAGTTGCATGCAAACAACAAGGCAACCACATGGTCATGCAACAAGAAGGAACGTCAAACAAACACCAAGGTCTACAACGACGGGCAACGAGCTCATGCTGCTATGACATCACGCTGCGGCAACCGGTTGACACACAGACAGACAAACAGACAGACAGACAGACAGACAGACAAACAGATAGATAGATAGATAGATAGGTAGATAGATAGATAGATAGATAGAAAGACAGACACAGACATATAGATGCATAGGCAAAAGGATAAATCAATAAGTAGAAAGGGAGATGGAGATACAGATAGAGAGAGAGAGAGAGAGAGAAAGAGAGAGAGAAAGTGAAAGATAGAGAGAGAGAGAGAGAGAGAGAGAGGGAGAGGGAGAGAGAGAGAGAGAAAGAGCGGGAGAAAGAGAGATCAATACACAGATAGACGGGCACCCGGGCACAACCCGATCCGCGGGCACACGGACACACGGGCACCCGGGCACAACCCCGATCCACGGGCACACGGGCACACGGGCACACGGGCACACGGGCACAACCCCGATCCACGGGCACACGGGCACACGGGCACACGGGCATTCTGAGGGTAAGAAAAATCTGGATAGTTTCGCCCACAGCCCCAAAGAAAAACGGGTTCATTCCAGTCACAAGAGGATACCTTATATTGATCATGGGTCAAAAGTCTGTAGCCTTTGGTAATCAAGGTGGCTTACTGGAAATACCTCCCTAGACACCTCCATCAAAAATTGGGGTATTTTCCAGCTAGCCACATTTGATGACCCCGAAGGGTATCTTGGAAATTCATATTTTTGTTGGTTGGAAGTGATTCATAAAGTATTAAAAGAAACAATTAAATCACATTATATAAATCCCACTAAACCACAGTAGAATCCCATTAAAAATCATTAAACACCATTAAAAATCATATAAAAGTCATATAAACATCATCTAAAAATCATCTAACACTTATATTTGCCCATCGTAAGTCCCATGATTTCCCCGGTGAACTCCAGGCGGATTGGCTGCCCCAAGCGGACGACGCGGCTCAAGCTCCGGTGGGCGGAGTCGCATGGCGAAGCATTTTGCGAAGCATTTTGGGATTCCGCGTGGGTGGTTGGAATCCCTCGGTGGTGGATGGTTTTCATGGGAAGATGAGAATATATATGATATATTGTTATAATGGATACATTGTTATGGGATGATATAATGGATATATGATGATAATATATGATGATAATATTTATCATGATGGTTATATGATATAAAAGATATATGATCATCTTCCCATATTATTTTTTATCATCCCATAACAATAAATATCATCCCCTAAATATTCCACCACGATATAAATTATAATATTATCATTTTTTTAATGGGATGATACATTGTTATAATGGGTATATTATTATGGGATGATATGATGGATATATTTATCATAAATAATGATAAACAATATTTATGGGATGATAAACCTATAAAATTCCATGGTTTTCATGAAACATATTTATGGGATGATATATTGTTATAATATATGTTGATAATATATGATGGTAATAATGTATAGTAATTTATATGATGGTAATAATATACGGGAATTGTCTATTAGTAAAATCAATTTATAGTACTTGATGGTAATTTCATATAGACTGATGGTTATTACTACAATATTACCATACTGGTTGGTGGTTTGGAACATGAAATTGTATGACTTTCCATTCAGTTGCGAATGTCATCATCCCAACTGGCGAGCTCATATTTTTCAGAGGGTTTGAACCCACCAACCAGTTAAAATGTTCAACATATATTCGCATACTGACGAAGATGATAATTGTGAAATAGATGATTCAAATGATCACACATAAGGACTATAGGGGATACAAGGCAATAGATGATATATATCAAACATAATTATCTATGGGGATATTTCAGCAATATCAATAGGGGATAGAAACCTCAAGCGATGTCGGAAAAATCGATTCAAAAATGGTGATATATTGTGATTTTCATGGGGATATAACATAAATCAATTAAACACATCAAAATGGGAGAATCTTTTTCACTTCTTGTCCTAAAAATATGGGAATTTAATCCCTTGTTTTAATATTCATAGGGGCTGTAACCATCAAAGGGATAGAATTGATAGAATTGATTGATGGTACTTGGTGAAATCTCAGCTAGAAACCTCCATTTAGAATGGAAATTCCTATGATTTTCCATGATTTTCCTATGATTTTGATTGGGTTACCCTCCAGTAGATTAACACAAACCCTGCCAGATAAGAGTCGAAGGATCAATTTCTACTCAAATGAGTGATTTTCAGGGTCTATCTTCCCAGAGGGCAAACAATATTTCTCGAAGCTGTAACCACGAAAAATATGGGGATAGAATTTGATAGAATTGATCAATGATGGTTGGTCGATGATTTACCCTCTGGTAAACTAACATAGCTACGGGAAATCATCATTTTTAATAAGGTCAATCAACTATCAATGGCCATTTTCAATAGCTTTTTGTATGTTTACCAGAGGGTATCACCATCATTATACCATCATTCATCACCATTAATCCCCATTAAATCACCATTATCCCACCATTATCCCACCATTATCCCAGGAAAATCACATTTTTTTTTTAATCCCAGGGCCCCAGGGTAAATGGGGATGATCTCCGGAAAAAAAACGGTGCTCAGTGGTATCATCCTCCAAGTCTCCAAGTGATTTGTCTAACCATAGGAAAATGGTGATTTAATGGTGATTAATCCTTGGTTTTCATGGTGATTTAGATTGGGATTTATAGCATCTGCTTATGACATTCACAGTTCGCCATGGAAAATGGTAATTTAACCAGCAAAAATCCATAGCAAAAATGGTGATTAATGGTGATTAATGGTGAGTACCCTCTGGTTATGACTAACAGTTTGCCATGGAAAGATCCACCCATTTTTAATAGGTAAACCATCTATAAATGGGCCATGGCTTCCATGGCTATGTCAAATAACCAGAGGGTAGAAAGTGATTGGTGGTTTGGAATATTTTTCATTTTCCATTCAGTTGTTTTTTTTTTAAATATATATATGTGGTTAAGGTATGTCAAGATCCCATAGTGGTTGGTGCTGACTGGAACCATGGAATTTTATGACTTTCCATTCAGTTGGGAAGTTCATAATCCCAACTGACTTTCACTCATATTTTTCAGAGGGATAGGGCTCAACCACCAAGCAGGAAAAGTCAACTGCCGTACTTCCAGTGAAGTTCTCACATGGGGGATTGGAAGAGAATTCGTACTCTAAATATTGGCGATGATCAGGGTCTATGTTAAGTGGCCGGATGGGACATCAAAACAAAGAACATAGTTTTGTCTGTTTGTTCCCTATAAATGGAGGCACGTTTATAGTCACCATCCTATCAACGGGAGATCTCCAGGATCCAATACATGGAGGCACGTAAACGTACCATATTTCTGGCCATATTTTGGGGGTATATTCCCTTACATAAGCCTTACATAGGCCTAATATATGGTAGGTACCTCCAATTTGGGTTCCTGGAATGGCCATTGACCCTATCCTGCCAATGGGGATGACTCTCTTTGCATCCAAGAGCAGCCATGTGAGCATGTCAAATGATTTCGGATTGCAGATTCTCCATCTTGGACGAGAATCTTTCTACCCGGAGGGACCCTTGGTATCCATTTGTATCCCATGGTTTCCCATGGTCCCCTACAACCATTGCAGATGTTTGTTTTCATGCCAGCATGTGTTTAGACATTCGCAAAAAAATGGGGCTCCAAAGGTGAAAACTATGAACATTTTCGGGGATCGCAGACAATTCGAAGAGTTTCTCTTCCTGAATAAGTCCAAGTGATTCATTTTTTAAATGCAAGAACACTATTTCTTCCTGGGTAAACATCCCTACTATATTAGATTATACATGTAGTCATCCTGGATTAGATAGAATATGGAATTTTCAAAACCATCTCTCTAAAATGGGAACATCTTAACAAAAATCCCCTATTCTATCTACTGCAGGATATATGTATATATATACATATATATATACATATTATGTATATACGTATATATATATATATATATTATATAATATATCTCATATATATATATATGTATACATACACACATTATATATATATATATAGATATCTATATGTATGTACAATATAGGCATATAGAGATATAGACCCATCTTTCGCCCCTGGCGCAGCTCGGGTCTGAGGTGCTGAGATTACCGAGATATCAGGTAAGAATCCCACAGCAGGAGTCACAACCAGAAAATCCTGAGTTTATCCCCTGGAAATCGAGGAAAACCATGGAAAAATCAGGGGAAAATGTAAGGACATTCATGAACATCCTCCACTGGTTGGTGGTTTGGAACATGTTTTTTTTAATTTTCCCCAACCAGATTGGGGATGATGATCCAATCTGACTTTCATATTTTTCAGAGGGGTAGGTATACCACCAACCAGATGAACATCCTCCAAGACTGAGTCCTGAGGGTTTTCATGGGAACATTTTTGGGGCTTTCCGTTTTGTCATGGGGGTACCCCAAATCATCATCCATTTATAGATGGATTTTTCCCTGAAAAAAACAATCCAGCTATTGGGATACCCCCATGCCTTCGGAAAGGCCCATGTTAGAGCATCCACTATCAAATCTATACTGGTTGGTGCTTTGGAACCATGGAATTTTATGACTTTCCATTCAGTTGGGAATGTGAAAAAAACATCCCAACTGACTTTCACTCCATCATTTTTCAGAGGGGTTTGGGCTCAACCACCAAGCAGGTTAACTATCATGTACTATGGTTAAAATCATCATTTTTCATGGGTAAATCCACGATTTCTATGGAGCACATGGAGGTTTAGTTCGCTGAACCCTCCGGGATGGCCATAAATGAGTTCGCTACCTCTATCGATGATCTCTGGAAGATGTTTTGAGGCACCATGGAATTTTCAACTCTCCAACTTATACAGGTGCATGTTACAACAATATATAGTGGATTTTCCCATTAAAAATGGTGATTTTCCATAGCAAACTGTTAAATTACCAGAGGGTAAACTTAAATGATCCAACTTAGGTACTTACTGACACGGTACCCACTGGTTTTTATTTCTCCAACTTCTCCAACTTTCGACTTTTCAACAAATGATGGATCCAAGTCGTCGGAGATCCACTTGGATCTGGGAGGTGATCCAGTGATGGTGATCCAAGTGCTGAATTTCCAGTGGAGAAATGATGGATGAAGGATTCACATTATATGACTATAAATTTCCAGGCAATTATATAAGATATGTTTTAAGCAACTGCTGAATTTCCTTGTTGCAGTGGACAATGTGGATGGAATGGAGTTTTAATGCCAAAAAATGCCAAAAAATCTTCAGTCAAAGGCATACACCTCACATTTGGCGAAGTCTACAATCCGTGATTGTTACTGGACCTGAGTAAACCTGGTGATTGGTTGTGGATGTTGGGGATACCATTTTTGGCAGTTTCTTGGTGAAATCAACGTAGAGTGGATCGGATTTTTAACCCTCTGGTTATTTCGTCATCATCTTATATTACGGTAAAGCATCATAAACAATCTATAATTGGGCATTGTCCATGGCTATTTTAAGTATCCAAAGAGTAGCTATTTATAGTTATTTAGTACAACAAAGTACACTGTAACCGTTGGCGATGTTTTTTTTTTGATTTCCTTGTCGCGAAGCCTGAGCGTCCACGGGTTCAGGAGCGGCCCTTGCACGATGCCTTTGGGTATGTGGGTTTCCTTCTAGCCGAGGTGGGAGTCATCGGTAGTGGGAGTGTTTTCAGATGGAAATCATGGTACTAGGCTCAGGGCGTTTCCAGCGTTTCCAGCAAGCCATGTTTGATGACCGGATATGTCATGACGTTAAAAGGGCCTTGCAGGCAGCGAAAAATGGGACGCTTTGCCCCAATTCCGGTAAAAATCGCCATCCATAAATCGCCGGGGTATATATATGAAGCATTTTCAGACCAAGCCAATTGATCAAATTCTTCGTGAACATATACCATTATCCCATTAACATAGCCTAACCATCTCCATGAAATCCCCAATAAATCCTCATCAAATCTACTTTTTTATGGTCAAATTATGTTTGAATCACCAGATCTCTAAAAATCCCGAGATCTCTGAATGATGTCCTCAAATTCCATTAGCTCCCTATAAAATTCCCCTTTGTCCCAGATTAACCTTGGATAGGTACAAACTGATCCTGGATAGTCTTTTGGTATGGGATTATCTACTAATCAGCTAAGAATTTGTCATTTTTTGTAGTTTATCTGGCAGATTGGCGATGACTAATCACCATTAATTGATCAAACAAATCACCATTATTAACCATTGTTAACAACATTGATACACCATTATTAACCCTTATATACCATTATTAACCATTGTCAACCCTTATGAAAACCATGAAAAAAATAACCATTTCGACCTCCAAAAATCTCGACCCTCTTCTGACGCGGCGTCTTCTGACGGCAGGTGGAGATCGATCAGTTCCAAAGTGGGCGCTTTCCCAACGTCTCGGATGCACTGGGCTGTCACTGCGTCTGCGCAGGCGCCGAGGGAAAAAGCCTGGCAGAAACCATGGGGGGTGGTACATTCATGGTGAAATCATCACTTAATATAAAGTGAGAAGGATCATGATTAAATTATATTAAGTTATATTAAGTTATATTAAGTTATATTAAGTTATATTAGGTATTATTAGGTTGTATTAAGTTATATTAAGTGATGATTTTATGATTTCTTAAAATATAACTTAATCATGATGATGATTATTATTATTTGTTAGGATTATAGAATGGGCTAGCGCCCTGGTGCCGCCGACCCCCCCTATTGGGGGTGGTCCGGTAGAGAGAGAGAGAGAGACAGAGAGAGAGAGAGAGAGAGATCATTGCGCTTAGAATTGTGATAGCTACAGGAAAGGTCTGCCGCGGCCTGAGTGGCGCCTGGGAGCTGCAGGGAAGGGTTTGGGGAGTTTTGAGGGCTGGCAAACGGCAGCCTTGAACGTCCATAAAAAGACGCTGCCACGGCCTCAGGGACTTGTTGGAGCTGCAGGAAAGGTCTGCCGCGGCCTGAGTGGCGCCTGGGAGCTGCAGGGGAGGGTTTGAGGCGAGTTTTGAAGGCTGGCAAACGGGCAGCCTTGAACCTCCTTAAAAGGACCTGCCACGGCCTCAGGGACTTGTTGGAGCTGCAGGAAAGGTCTGCCGCGGCCTGAGTGGCGCCTGGGAGCTGCAGGGGAGGGTTTGGGGAGTTTTGAGGGCTGGCAAACGGCAGCCTTGAACGTCCATAAAAAGACGCTGCCACGGCCTCAGGACTTGTTGGAGCTGCAGGAAAGGTCTGCCGCGGCCTGAGTGGCGCCTGGGAGCTGCAGGGAAGGGTTTGGGGAGTTTTGAGGGCTGGCAAACGGCAGCCTTGAACGTCCATAAAAGACGCTGCCACGGCCTCAGGACTTGTTGGAGCTGCAGGAAAGGTCTGCCGCGGCCTGAATTGGCGCCTGGGAGCTGCAAGGGGAGGGGTTTGGGAAGTTTTGAAGGCTGGCAAACTGCAAAGCCTTGAATACCTCCTTAAAAGGCACTGGCCACGTGCCTCAGGGACTTTTGGAGCGCAGGAACAGACTCTGCCGCGTCGGCCTGATTGGTCGCTGGGAGCTGCAGTTAAGGGTTTGGGGATTTGAGGGCTGGCACAGGCGCCTTGAAGTCCTGAAAAAAGACTCTCTGCCCCCGGCCTTGCAGGGTACTTGTTAAGAGCTTCAGAATTGTTTTGCCTGCCGCGGCCTGAGTTGCTTCGGGAGCTTCAGTGTAGGGGTTTCGTGAGTTATGGCGACGTTTTGAAAAGAGCAGGCTGGCAAACGGCAGCCTTGAACCTCCTTAAAAGGACATTGCCAGCCTCAGGGACTTGTTGGAGCTGCAGGAAAGGTCTGCCGCGGCCTGAGTGGCGCCTGGGAGCTGCAGGGAAGGGTTTGGGGAGTTTTGAGGGCTGGCAAACGGCAGCCTTGAACGTCCATAAAAAGACGCTGCCAGGGCCTCAGGGACTTGTTGGAGCTGCAGGAAAGGTCTGCCGCGGCCTGAGTGGCGCCTGGGAGCTGCAGGGGAGGGTTTGGGGAGTTTTGAGGGCTGGCAAACGGCAGCCCTGGACGTCCATAAAAAGACGCTGCCACGGCCTCAGGGACTTGTTAGAGCTGCAGGAAAGGTCTGCCGCGGCCTGAGTGGCGCCTGGGAGCTGCAGGGAAGGGTTTGGGGAGTTTTGAGGGCTGGCAAACGGCAGCCTTGAACGTCCATAAAAAGACGCTGCCACGGCCTCAGGAAGCCTGAGTGGCGCGTGGGAGCTGCAGGGGAGGGTTTGGGGAGTTTTGAAGGCTGGCAAACGGCAGCCTTGAACCTCCTTAAAAGGACACTGCCACGGCCTCAGGGACTTGTTGGAGCTGCAGGAAAGGTCTGCCGCGGCCTGAGTGGCGCCTAGGAGCTGCAGGGGAGGGTTTGGGGAGTTTTGAGGGCTGGCAAACGGCAGCCTTGAACGTCCATAAAAAGACGCTGCCACGGCCGCAGGGACTTGTTAGAGCTGCAGGAAAGTTCTGCCGCGGCCTGAGTGGCGCCTGGGAGCTGCAGGGGAGGGTTTGAGAGTTTTGAAGGCTGGCAAACGGCAGCCTTGAACTCCTTAAAAGAACACTGCCACGGCCTCAGGGACTTGTTGGAGCTGCAGGAAATGTCTGCCGCGGCCTGAGTGGCGCCTGGGAGCTGCAGGGGAGGGTTTGAGAAGTTTTGAAAAAAAAAAAAAAATGCTGGCAAACGGCAGCCTTGAACCTCCTTAAAAGGACACTGCCACGGCCTCAGGGACTTGTTGGAGCTGCAGGAAAGGTCTGCCGCGGCCTGCGTGGCGCCTGGGAGCTGCAGGGAAGGGTTTGGGGAGTTTTGAGGGCTGGCAAACAGCAGCCTTGAACGTCCATAAAAAGACGCTGCCACGGCCTCAGGGACTTGTTAGAGCTGCAGGAAAGGTCTGCCGCGGCCTGAGTGGCGCCTGGGAGCTGCAGGGAAGGGTTTGGGGAGTTTTGAGGGCTGGCAAACGGCAGCCTTGAGCGTCCATAAAAAGACGCTGCCACGGCCTCAGGGACTTGTTGGAGCTGCAGGAAAGGTCTGCCGCGGCCTGAGTGGCGCCTGGGAGCTGCAGGGAAGGGTTTGGGGAGTTTTGAGGCTTGCAACGGCCATCCTGTAACCTCCTTAAACGGCACTTGGCCACGGCCTCAGGTCCTTTTGTGGGGGATCTTCATGAATGTCTGCCGCGGCCTGAGTGGCGCCTGGGAGCTGCAGGGAAGGGTTTGGGGAGTTTTGAGGGCTGGCAAACGGCAGCCTTGAACCTCCTTAAAAGGACACTGCCACGGCCTCAGGGACTTGTTAGAGCTGCAGGAAAGGTCTGCCGCGGCCTGAGTGGCGCCTGGGAGCTGCAGGGAAGGGTTTGGGGAGTTTTGCGGGCTGGCAAACGGCAGCCTTGAACGTCCATAAAAAGACGCTGCCACGGCCTCAGGGACTTGTTAGAGCTGCAGGAAAGGTCTGCCGCGGCCTGAGTGGCGCCTGGGAGCTGCAGGGAGGGTTTGGGGAGTTTTGAGGGCTGGCAAACGGCAGCCTTGAACGTCCATAAAAAGACGCTGCCACGGCCTCAGGGGCTTGTTGGAGCTGCAGGAAAGGTCTGCCGCGGCCTGAGTGGCGCCTGGGAGCTGCAGGGAAGGGCTTGGGGAGTTTTGAAGGCTGGCAAACGGCAGCCTTGAACCTCTTTAATGCCACGGCCTCAGGGACTTGTTGGAACTGCACAGGGTCTGCCGCGGCCTGTTGCGTTTTGGAACGCCGTAGAAACAGAGATTGCTGTGGCATGAGTGGCTCGTGGGAAGTGCACAGAAATTGCTGTGGCCTGAGTGGCTCCTGGGCGGTGAACAGAGGGTGCTATGGCCTGGGTGGCTCGTGGAAAGTGCAAAGCATTGGGAACGAAAAAAAGTTCCACACCTGCGGTGGTCCCAGGCGCCGCCCCTGCCTTGGCTAAGGCAGGGGTCGGCGGATTGTTGTTCTTGCATGTTTCTGAGGCAGGGAAAATAGATGGAGAAAAAGAAGGAGTTCCTCCAGCCCATAGACCCATAGGGGTTTGATAAAGGAGGTCGTTTTCAGTTTTTCCCAGCGGGTACCCACAATTTTATAACTTCCCTTTAAAGGACCTCCCAATTCATGGCAGGGTTCATCCACTTCCGGGTCTGAAGGGAACCTGTGGATGTTCAATGGATTTTCAATGAAAAATGACCATGTTTCCTCTAAAATTTTCCAGTTGTTGGAGCATCATGCAAGTTAAAGCAACATACATTTTCCAAACGACAGCACCTAAACCCGGGTCCAATTTTACCATTAAAACTTAAGAGACCATATCAGATTCTGCAAGAAGATCAATACTATTTTTGTTTCCCAGCAAAAAACACATTGCACTTTTCCAAGAACATCTCAACTTTTCCCATCAAAGTAACTCACTGCTTTCTATTTGGTGGCGCACCTGAGGTTACAAATGGGTATCCATGATTGTAGATTTGTAAACCCCCATAAGTTGGGATAAAATCCCTGTAATATCCATAACTGCACTTCCTTAAGTAGCCCAATTCCAGCGAACTAAGCCTCCGAGTTTGAGGATGTTCCGAACTCTTTTTTTGATGGTTTTTTTCCACATCAGGCGGAGTCTTTGGTCTCCGTTTTGCGACCTGGGCCCCGCGCGCGGTCTTCGTCAGTGTGGTGGGCGACTGGAACAACTGGGACGGCCGGGCGTGTCCCATGGCCAAGCGCTTCCGAGCCGGTGAACACGGTGGATTCTGTGGCCTCTGGGAGGTCTTTGTGACTTGGAGTTGCAATGTTTTTGTTTTTTTGGAACTTGGAACTGGGTGGTTTGGTGGTTTGGTATCCAAAAAACTTGGCATTTCTAGAGGGATGCAGATTTTTTGGATTTGGTGAGGATTTGTTGAGGGTTTTCGGGGTATTTGATGGTAGAATTTGGGATATTACAGGAACCAAGACTTTGATCAGTTGGGACATGTTGGGACCTTTGGGATGGTCAACGGTGCGTCCCAAGTCATTACCCTCTGGTAAATTAACATAACTATGGAAAATCACATTTTTTCATGGGAAAATTAACTATAAATGGTGATTTTCAATAGCTATGTTAAATTACCAGAGGGTACCTTTTAAGAAGGGACCTAACTGTTTTTCGAAAGCATCAACTGTTTAAGGGAAACTCTGCAGATGCCATGGACCGTTTTTGGGATTTCGGGAGTGTTTTCGGGATTTTTGGAAAGCGGGATTTTGGCTACAGGATGGGGCCCCCGTTGGATAGCGTAAAAAGTTGGTTTATGAATGGCTGAATTCTACGGTTTATGGTAGATATAACGAACTAGATAACTATGATGGTATTCATGGGGTTTATAAACCAACATAGCCATCACTGGGGGGGCCCATCCTGTAGTTTTTTCCCCACTTCTCATGACATCACCTTCATCTCATTGGCTCAGGTCCCCTTCGGTGAACTGGAAGACATTCCCTTTGGAAACAAGCAACGCGGCAGCACAGGCAGCACAGGCAGCACAGGTGCAATTCGGGTCACACATGGCAGCATTGGAATCCCTAGCCCTTTCCAGCACCTAGACTCCTATGCCCAAACAGGACCAATAATAAACTGCCCTGCCCTATCACGTGGCAGCATAAATTCACTCTTCCAAGCATTCGCCTCTAAAGAAATGCCGTGTTTGCCATCCAAATTCCAACGAAGTCTGCCGGTGTTTTAAAACGACATGTTTCTTCGTATGAAATGTCCCTGATTCTGCCAGCGTCCCCAAGATCCGATAGTGTGTTCATGATGATTTTCGGATGGCGTTTTCGATTGAGGTCAAAAACACACCTTGAGTGTGCCAAATTTCATAAGTTGCTGATAGTGTCCACACCATGACCTCACTCTCCCGGATCATCGATTTTTTGATTTTCACTGACATTTTCCCATCAGTCGTCATCAGTCATCAGCCCTGTTTTTTAAGCAGTCAAAAGGTCATGTGGGTTTGTCTGAAAATAGGGTATATTCCCAATTATAGCCATTTAATAGGGATAATGATCATTAACCATTGGGTTTAGGGGTACACTATTTTCAGACACACCCATGTTTTGGAAATTTCCACCCTGTTTAAACGGTGGTCCCAGGTATGGCTATAAGATCCACACTTTGGCTGGCACGGATCTGGTGAAGATGGCTCCATGGCCGACATGTGATTAATGGTGATTAATGGTGATTAATGGCCATGTTATTATTAATCCACTGTTAACTGGATGGTTAGTGGTTAATGGTTAATAAACCATAGGAAAACCATAGGAAAATGGTTAATAATGGGGTTAAGATCGGTGATTAATCCATAATTAATGGTGATTATATAATGGTGATTAATTAAGAACCAACTAATAACCATTGTTAACCCTTATCTAGGTTGGCCAACTGGATGGATAGAAACTAATCCTGAATAGTCTTTTGGTATGGGATTATCTACCAACTAACCAGCCAAGAATTTGTCATTTTTTGGCGGGGAATTGGATTGCTTATGAATGGGGGTGTACCCAAGTTACCATAGGTTTCAATACAAAGTCATGGTCATCCATGACTTGGACTTGGCAAATGATTTGTTACCACAAAATACTTCCCCACAGACTCTGGGAAAACCATCCTTTTTTTTGGGTCAACTTGGGTAGGGTGCACATTTTTTATCGTACCTGCAATATTTTCAGGCTTCATTGTAGGCCAGTCTGAAGGGGGAAGGATAAGCACCACCAAAACAGATGATATAACTTTGACTTACTTTGGTGAAGTGAACTATATATCCCCATCTTTTTGGGGCAGCTAAGATTTGAGGTCTCGGAACATGAAGTATATATTATATACCCTCTGGTGAACTAACATAGCAATGGAAAATGGCCATTTATAGTGGATTTTCCCATTAAAAATGGTGATTTTCCATTGCTATGTTAGTTCACCAGAGGGTATTTGTATTACTATCCCATGATATTTTCTGGGCTCCAGGAGTAATCTTATATATCCATATCTTGCGATGGTCATGCTATGGTCTGACGCGCAGTCGGGTGAGAATCAAGATCGAAGCCTGGTGGGTTGGTGGAGTTTGACCGTCTTTGGCAGAGATGAGCCCCAAAAATGGGGAACCAACGGCAACCAGATTTCAACTCCCCAAAATTCAATACCAGCCCTTTTTTAAAAGCCTCTACAACTTATTATATAACTCATTATATAACTTATTGTATAACTTATTATATAACTCATTATATAACTTATTGTATAACTTATTATATAACTCATTATATAACTTATTGTATAACTTATTATATAACTCATTATATAACTTATTGTATAACTTATTATATAACTTATTATATAACTTATTGTATAACTTATTATATTAGTTATTATATAACTTATTATACAACTTATTATGTAACTTATTATATAACTTATTATATAACTTATTTTATAGCTTATTATATAACTTATTGTATATACTTATCTTAATATTAAACTATGTAGTTGAGGGAATATCAATCCGCAAAGTGCGATTCCACCTCCATGAATTGAGAAGTGCAACGTTCACCACGCCAAAAGAAATATCCGAAGCTAAATCCATATTCTTTGGGTTCCAAGTTAACATTTCTAGAATTGGTTGAAGGGAACATCTACAGGAAATCACTCTAACTAGTAATTAAGAAACCATTCGGGACTTCCCATTGATCAACATTTCGAGGCTACAAGGTGGTGGCCCCAACCATCACTGGGGCGGTAGAAACGCCGGTGCCCAGGATCCATACGCTCAAGAGATGGAAGTGCCAAGCGATATGTACCACAGCCCAGCACGGGGGCCCGGGGGGCCCGTGGGTCCCGGCCCAAGGGGCGCAGGTGGTTGAAGCGAGGTATGTTCTTTTTCCAGCGTTTTTGGATGAACATGTTTTCATCACGATTTTTCGATGGATCACATGGATACAAAAACTGGGATGCTTCGCTTTTTGCATAGATGAAGATGTAACTTTTCTGATCATAAAATATCATAAACTATCAATTTTCAGTGGGATTTCTTCTTCTTTTCAGCAACCTCTCAACAAAAACCTCAGATCTTTTTCCAAAAAAACGCCGTTGGGGATGATCGTGAACAGTTTACCCTAGGGGAAAGTCGTTTCCGTCCCAGAAATCAACTGGTGAAATCCCAGACGTTTTCGACAACTTCGAATCCCCACCAAGCTGGATTCTCTATCCAGTTCATTCATGGTAAATCCATATTTTTGCTGGTTAAATCCATATTTTTGCTGGTTAAATCCTGTTTTGCTGGTTTACTTCTCTATTTTTGATGCTTTTAAATCTGAAATGAAATCCATCATTTTTTGAAGGTCAAATCCAATTTTTCCATTTTGTTGATGGTTTTTCCAATCAGTTGAACTCCCTATTTTTCACGATGAATCCCCGATTTTTGGTGGTGAAATCCAGTTTTTTGCTGGTTAAATTAGTTTAAATCCACTTTTTGATGGTTAAAGATGGTTAACACATCCACTTTTTTTCACAAAAAAAATCAATCTTTCCACTCTTTGATGCCTAAATCCCACTTTTTCTCATAGGTCCACAGATTTTGGTTGGCGCCCAGCCGCAGCTCAGGTCTTTAACGCTTCGGTCATCAGCAGCTGCGACGACAGCTACCGCGCTGAGCCCTTCGAGTGGAGCGTCTGGGGACGCAACTGGAGAAATCCATGGGAGTTTCGTGGGAAAAAAGATGGGATTAGAACGGATTTATGTGGATTTTTTTGTGGTTTGATGGGATTTTATAGTGTTTTGATGGGATTTTATAGTGCTTTGATGGGATTCTATAGTGTTTTGATTGGATTTTATAGTGTTCTGATGGGATATTATGATGTTTTGATGGGATTCTATAGTGTTTTGATGGGATTTTGTAGTGTTCTGATGGGATATTATGATGTTTTGATGGGATTCTATAGTGTTTTGATGGGATTTTGTAGTGTTCTGATGGGATATTATAGTGTTTTGATGGGATGTTCATGCATCATAAATGGGACAAAACATGGGATTTTGATAATCCCAATGCGAGTTTCGTTTCTTCGATGCCCGTGGTCTGCGTGACTGCGTGCTGCGAGTGAGAGTGCCTCCTGCATTGTGTAAACATGGGATTATAATGGGAAGCCATAGGAAAATCAAGTAAACATTGAGGTTTATATAGCTGGGATTTAATAGGGATGTTCTGGTTTTGCAGAAGATAGTGATAGAACTATAGTTAATATCTCTATCAAAAATGATAATATGATAGATATTCCACTAAGATTCAGTTAATTATATGATAGGATTACTAACTATAATAAATGATAGATTAATTCATGGATTAATGGAACATTCAGGGGATAATGGAATATGCATGGGCTTCTGACTATATATTTTTTTTCATGTGGATTTGCTGATTCAGTCCATGATGAATTCCCCATGGAAATTCTGGGATGTTTCATCCCTTGGTTCATCAAATCCCCGTTGAACCAGGATTTTTCTTGGGATTTTTGTGGATTTTTATGGATCTGGGTCAGAAAAAATGGGATCTCATTGGATTCAATGGGAGGAGATCATGGGATATTGATGATGATCTGGAACTGGATTTTTACATCGAAAATCTGGGGATTCAAACATCGAACAAAAACTTGAGATGTTTCGATGATTTTTGTGTAAGAAATGTGGACAGTTGAATCAACAAAGCCATGATGAATGGAGATGATGTTCTAAACTTGGGATGTTTTGGCCGTTCGCAAAATCCACTATGCCAAGGCGACGACGAGTGGATGAAGCAACGCGAAGAACGCGGCCGTCTGGGAACTGCCTTGTTGCAGCCCATGGCGATCTACGAGGTGCGCAGATGGGAAGATGGCAACCATGTTCAACTGTTACCCGGACAAAAATCACCATGTCCATCATGTTACCCATGGTAACCAGCTATCTTAGGGGTACCGTCCCAGGGTTATGACTCATATCCTTTGGGTAATTTGTTGCAGTTTGCTATTTGAACATGGCCATAGAAACCGTCGATTTAGCTATTCAAGATGGTGATTTTCCAGTTCGCAAACTGTTGGTTTACCAGAGGCTACTGACCGCAGTATTGTGGTCATAAACTCAGTTTTGAAGGTAGGGTTGTTTGCCCAGTTCATCCCAGTTACCCTCTGGTAAACTAACAGTTTGCTATTGAAAATGGCCATTTATAGTGGATTGTCCCATTGAAAATGGTGATTTTCCATTGCTATGTTAGTTTACCAGAGGGTAGTTTCCAGTTTTCATTTCCAGTGTATTCTTCAGAATGATCAACCCAATGCCAACATATCATTATCTGATTGGTGATTTGGAACATTGGTTTAGTCTGGGTTAATGATGGTTAATGATGGTTAATGATGGTTAATGATGGTTAATGATGGTTAATTATCACTGGTTGGTGGTTTGGAACCATGGAATGTTATGACTTTCCATTCAGTTGGGAATAATATATATATAATCCCAACTGACGAAGTCCATCATTTTTCAGAGGGGTAGGTCAACCACCAACCAGTGATGATGTTCCAGTTCACGAGAATGTTGCGTATTCTTGATCCACAATGCCATTCTGCCATCCTCGATGGCCGTGCTTTTTGAAATTGGGTACAATCCTGCTGGGAGATGCTTAGGGATGGTTTATTGTTGTGGATCCCACATTTGTTAAACTTGTTTCTCCACAAAATGGATGGTTTATTGCAAGTTTCTGCTTTATCTGAACATATCTTACCCCACAAACTTGAGGCTTTGTGATCATTTTTCCCATTAACAACTGCCATTCTATAAGTTCTCTGCCTATAATTTATGGATGAGTTATGAGTATCATATGTACTGTATATATATATATATAGTAAGTTTATGTAAGTTTTATCTATCTATCTATCTACCTATCTATCTATCGAGCGATCGATCCATCTATCCATCTATCTATCTATCGATCGATCTATCTAATCCAATCTAATCTAATCTAAAACTAAATCTAATCTAAATCTAAATCTAATCTATCCATCTATCTATCTACCTATCTACACATGCATATATTGATATCACGCACAACGTCCTGGCGAGGTGCACCTGCCATCCTGGCGTCGTGGTGCAAAGGGCGAGGTCTTGGGATATCGGCAGCTGGCAGAACCGCTGGTGGAACACATCAAGGCGCGGAAAACGCGGGGGAAATCGAAATTCAGTGACCCTAGGTTTAGTGGGATTTCATGGGATTTACCATATAGGATAGATTAGGATAGTATAGATATATCTACAATGTGGGGGTTTAGTGGGATTTCCATGGGATTTACATGGGATTTACCATATGATAGTATAGATATATCTACAATGTGGGGGTTTAGTGGGATTTCCATGGGATTTACCATATAGGATAGATTAGGATAGTATAGATATATCTACAATGTGGGGGTTTAGTGGGATTTCCATGGGATTTACATGGGATTTACCATATGATAGTATAGATATATCTACAATGTGGGGGTTTAGTGGGATTTCATGGGATTTACCATATAGGATAGTAGTAGATATATCTACAATGTGGGGGTTTAGTGGGATTTCCATGGGATTTACATGGGATTTACCATATGATAGTATAGATATATCTACAATGTGGGGGTTTAGTGGGATTTCCATGGGAGTTTTAACCATATAGGAAGGAGTAGATTAGGGATAGTAATGATTATACTACAAAATGTGGGGTTTTAGGTGGGATTTACATGGGATTTACCATATGATAGTATAGATATATCTACAATGTGGGGGTTTAGTGGGATTTCATGGGATTTACCATATAGGTTAGATTAGGATAGTATAGATATATCTACAATGTGGGGGTTTAGTGGGATTTCCATGGGATTTACATGGGATTTACCATATGATAGTATAGATATATCTACAATGTGGGGGTTTAGTGGGATTTCATGGGATTTACCATATAGGATAGATTAGGATAGTATAGATATATCTACAATGTGGGGGTTTAGTGGGATTTCATGGGATTTACCATATAGGATAGATTAGGATAGTATAGATATATCTACAATGTGGGGGTTTAGTGGGATTTCCATGGGATTTACATGGGATTTACCATATGATAGTATAGATATATCTACAATGTGGGGGTTTAGTGGGATTTCCATGGGATTTACATGGGATTTACCATATGATAGTATAGATATATCTACAATGTGGGGGTTTAGTTGGATTTCCATGGGATTTACATGGGATTTACCATATGATAGTATAGATATATCTACAATGTGGGGGTTTAGTGGGATTTCCATGGGATTTACATGGGATTTACCATATGATAGTATAGATATATCTACAATGTGGGGGTTTAGTGGGATTTCCATGGGATTTACATGGGATTTACCATATGATAGTATAGATATATCTACAATGTGGGGGTTTAGTGGGATTTCCATGGGATTTACATGGGATTTACCATATGATAGTATAGATATATCTACAATGTGGGGGTTTAGTGGGATTTCCATGGGATTTACATGGGATTTACCATATGATAGTATAGATATTTAGAATGTGACGGGGGTTTAGTGGGATTTCCATGGGATTTACATGGGATTTACCATATGATAGTATAGATATATCTACAATGTGACGGGGGTTTAGTGGGATTTCCATGGGATTTACATGGGATTTACCATATGATAGTATAGATATATCTACAATGTGGGGGTTTAGTGGGATTTCATGGGATTTACCATATAGGATAGATTAGGATAGTATAGATATATCTACAATGTGGGGGTTTAGTGGGATTTCCATGGGATTTACATGAGATTTACCATATGATAGTATAGATATATCTACAATGTGGGGGTTTAGTGGGATTTCATGGGATTTACCATATAGGATAGATTAGGATAGTATAGATATATCTACAATGTGGGGGTTTAGTGGGATTTCCATGGGATTTACATGGGATTTACCATATGATAGTATAGATATATCTACAATGTGGGGGTTTAGTGGGATTTCCATGGGATTTACATGGGATTTACCATATGATAGTATAGATATATCTACAATGTGACGGGGGTTTAGTGGGATTTCCATGGGATTTACATGGGATTTACCATATGATAGTATAGATATATCTACAATGTGGGGGTTTAGTGGGATTTCATGGGATTTACCACAAATAGGATAGATTAGGATATATCATGATATATCTACAATTTTTTGGGCCCCCAAACGTGATGTTTGTTGGTTTATAACCCCATCTAACTATGGTTATAACTACCATAAAAGACGGGCGTCGCGTGCTCGGGTTCCTGCTTTGCCACGGCTGCCTGACATGTCACGCGCTTTCAGTTATTTTGCTGCAGCTCACTCAATCACAAGAACCGAAACCAACATGATAACATGAGAGCTGCCATCGGATTCACGCTTCCTTTGCAACACAGAAGAACCTCAATGAGTGCATGCTGGCTTGCGGAAACTCAGGGTAGCTGAGAATATTGATGGCCACCATTCTCATTCAGATTCATGCGCTGGTTTTTGCGCGATGGGTCCTCCAGAGTACCTCAACGCTTTTTGTTGATCAAAACGCAATCCTCCGAACGCACGACAAAGACGCGACAAAAAATGCAAAAAGAGGACGAGCTCTCACGTGCATGCCAGTTGAGGCGGAGAGCTTTACAGCACTTTAAGCCTTGTTTGTAAAATCCATTTCCAATCAGTAAAACGTATATAGTTTTTATTAATTAACAAATCAATGAGTTACGATGACTGAAACACGTTGCTAAACGTACGGCCTCTTAGAGGTGCTGAGACCATGATTTTGGGCCACAAACTTCGCATTCCACAAGCTAATGCCCCCGTTCGATAGCGTTCAGTTGGTTTATAACTCCAATAGCTATGGTTTATAGGTGATAATAGGTGATATATCTATAGTATTCATGGGGTTTATAAACCAATAAACATAACGTTTGGGGGGCACCACCTTGCAATTCCACAGCCCCCAATGTTTATTTCGACGTTTCTGCCCTGTTGGACCAGGCCTTGAAGTTCAACTGGGTGGAGTTAATGGCTTTAGCACATCACCCCTTTCAAGGCTGGACCAACTCGTTGGACCCGGGAAAGTCTCCGCAGAAAATTCGACAATGGGATCCCCAATGGGTTTTGGTTGACTGATGTGGATGAAGTCCCAATAAAAATAAGGTGGTTTTCCACAGAGGTTGCCAGAGGGTATTGATTTTCGATCGAAAGTAGAGATTTAAATCTCATCGTTTTGGGGGGTTGAATAGCAGAATTTATTGCATGGAACGAACATTTGTTTCACAAGGGCAATGTGAATGAATTAACGCTGCCCGGAGGGAAAACCACTTTTTCAACCCAACCTTGGACGAATGGAATGGCATGATTTTGATCCTCAAAAATCCCTGGGACAAATCCCATGAAGGGCGGTCCCGGGGTGGATATTCAACATGGAACTGGGAGAAAACCTTTTTTTTTTTTGAAGGATGACGTGGTGAAAATCGTGAAACCTTGGGGCTTCAGATGGACCAGATGGTATCCCATTGGTATCCCATTGGTATCCCATTGCCGTGTTTCCTTTTTCCCATGAAATTTCTATTTTTTGATGGTTAGATTTCCATCTGAAATCAGCTCATCCAATGAACCATTGCCGTCTGTCCGTCCAGGTTCGTGGGGCTATCAGGTGAGTGGGTACCTTTGGCAGTGAGATATACGGTGGATGGCCATAGGGTTTCAACCATCGGTGGTGCAGGATTTCGCTGGCCCATCCACAGTATGGGATTAAAACATGGATTATTGATCCTTATGGAACCAAGTACCTTCTTAGGAAGTGTTTGGGGTATGATTCAGGGGTTAGCCGTACCTTCTCAGTGGCCATGGATCCATAGGGAATGTATTCTTAATGGGATATATCAATGAATCATCAATGGACTATGAAGACTTCAGAGGATTTAATGGGGATTGATGGGTTTTGATGGAATATTCATGGAATACCCATGGAACATGCATGGGACAATGGAATGATGTGAATGTTTATGACTCAACATGGTTAGATTTAACGGGATTTAATCTGGATAACAACACTAGAATTGTGGATATGTGTTTATATCTGGTTTTATGGGGATTCATACCTGGCCAGAATGTTTATCGTTCGTAATATCTGCTGATCTTGATATTCATCATTAAACATGGAGACTCAATGGGATATTAGTGGGGATATCATGGCAACTAACCAACTATTTCTGATTTGTTTTGTTTGAAACTGGTGAATGTATACTCCACCTTATAGCCATCTGTATTGGGAAGATGATGATGAACCCATCCAATTTGGTTCAGCAGTGTGGTAAACTGGGCGATTTGAAGAATACCACCCTGGTCAAGTGGAAAACGTCCGATGGTCCCCGAACAGGCTTTGATCCCAAAGAAGTCACTTGTCATCATGATTTAGTACAAGGTGCTGCCCTAGTGATGGCTGTGTTGGTGAACATAACCCCCCTAGTTCAGTAGTTCGGTATATCATGGTATATCTACCATGTTTACCCAAGTGAAATTGGAGTTATTTCAACCAACAACTTAGCGCGATTTAGCGAACACAGGGGCACCACCGCCGTGTTTGGGGATACTCAGAGTTCCTGCGGAATCTTGAACTTTTCCTGCTTCGAATCTGGTGAACCCAGTGAAGCCAGTGAAGCCCAAGATGGACGGTGGAATTTTCCAACAGTCCATACGGAAAATCGCGGGCGATTTTTTTGGGGTCCACAAATTCGGTTTTCGGCTGGAAGGTGTATGAAGGATGGTAGCTGGTAGCCTGGTTGGTTGTTTCAAAGATGAATTTTATTTTCGATTTCATATATATGGATATATATATATGGGATGTCATCCGAAACCCATTGACGAACTCCATCATTTTTCAAGATGGTGATTTTATCACCAACAAATGTACCCTTTGTAGTGCAGTTCTAGGTCAAAATGGTGGTCCTCCACCATCCGACAACTGAGGTACTACAGTTGCTACTCCTTGTTGCTCGGCGATATCGACGCTACACAAACACCACCTGGGCGATTCAACAATACCGCGACTCAAGTTGACATTGTTCATTTGTTGGGGTTATGTTCAACTGGCTTCTTGGGGATTTTGAACTAAACTAACTAAACCATAATATTTACGAACCCATCAGTATTTTTTTTTGGGGGAAAACGATCACTTTCATGGCCTAACCAGTCGTACTTTTTCGGATCTTTTTCGGAGACCCGCGCATGAACAACTCGCAAAGACCTGGGAAGATTCCTGTTTCTATATGGAGGTTTCCTGAAATAGGGATACCCCTACCCTCTGGTAAATTAACATAACTATGGAAAATCACAATTTTTAATGTAAATCCACTATAAATGGCAATTTTCAATAGCTATGTTAGTTTACCAGAGGGTAAATTTTCCCTAAATCATCCATTTTAGATTAGGATTTTCCATGAAATAAACTATCCAGCTATGGGGGTATCCCTATTTTAGGAAACCTCCTTTTTGGCGTCCCTGGTGATTTTCAGGAATTTCACATTGATATCTTTACCAACTGGGCAGTTGTGCCAGTTGTGGTGCTGCAGCTGTGGTGTTTTTGTCGGTTCATTTCCAATTTTTTATTGGCGGCACATTCTTGTTGAGTCAAATCCACTTCAATGGCCATTTGAGGAACCTAAATTGGAGGTACCTACCATATATAAGGCCTATGTAAGGCCTCTGTAAGGGAATATCCCCACAAAATATGGACTTACATGGTACAGTACCTGCATTTTAGGATCCTGGATTTCCCATTGACCACTTGTTCGTTCAAAAGACATGATATGGGCAACACAAATTAGATCAATCTAAGACCCCGTCACAAAAGCGAGAAAAACCATATATAATTTTGGTCATGGTTTCGTTATCAAGCCATTGATTTTTGATGGTTCACCAACTGGATGGGTGCAAACTAATCCTTTAGTCTTTTGGTATGGGATTATCTACGTTCGTCAGCTAAGAATTTGTCATTTTTTGTAGGGTATCTGGCTGATTGGCCATTGATTTTTGATGGTTTTTGGGTACCCAGATGGACACCGGACGACTGACTAGCCTTGAGGCTTGGAGGACCTGACGACTTGAAGTACCTCATCGACAAACTGCACGAGGCGCGGCCGGCGCTTCCGTGGTGCGCAAGGCTTTTCTTGTTCGTTTCGTGGTACAATCCATGAACTTCATCTTTAGAAATAGATACTGTAATATAAATGACAATTATTCTGAATCACTGGGGAATCCCTATGAAATCCCTATAAAATCCATCAATATTCCATTAAATCCATCTGGTAGGTACTGTATACAAATAGAATCTATTTCTAAAGATGATGATTGGCTGATTTCGAAGAAGAAAAGCCTTGATACGAAAGATGAGGGTCTCAATTTGCCACTTCATTCATCGCCGAAACTTGGAACACCCTTGGAGGTGGCAAACTTTAGTTCGGAATCGCCAATTTCACTTGAGTAAACATGGTAGATATATCTATACTATCTTATATTAAAAAAAGGGGCTTGAACACAAACAAACACAACTATAGTTTACCTATAGTTAACTATGATTTTTTTTGGGGATATAACATGATTTAACTATAGTTTTCATGGATGTTTTCATGGGTTATAAACCAACGTTAAGCCATCGGCACTGAGGCGGAGATTGGGGTCATCATGGACTTCGTCCCCGCTCACTTCTGCCCCTCGTTGATCATTACCTACTTTGTGCTTTTAAAAACCATAGTTACTTAAAATGGGATTTCCATAGCACCTATATCAATCTATATCATATTTGAATGGTGATGTTTCTGATGTTTTTTTTTGGCAAAAATGGCATTTTAATTTTACCCACAATTAAATAGACATTAGCAAGTGGTTTTAATAAGCAAAAAGGCCGGGATCCAATACCTGGGCCCTACGGGATGAGCCTTGGAGGAGTTTTTTTTTTGGACCGTAGTTATTTTCATAAAACGTATCCAACAGATATATTGAAGCCCATTTTTACTATAGTTACCCTATGGTAAATAAACAGTTGGACCCTGAAAATCAGCAATTTTTAGTGGAAACTAGTCTTCCAACCCCTATCTCACAGGGTCTATGTTAATTTACTGGAGGGTATTTTTGTACTAATCTAAGTACTGGTTGGTGGTTTCAAACATGAATGGATTATTTTCCATATGATATAATGATATATGGGATGTCATCCGAAACCCATTGACGAACTCCATCATTTTTCAAGATGGTTAAAACCACCAACCAGAGTACCATAGTGGCCATAGTGACATTTGAAACCATTTGAAACCATCAAGCAGTGATTTTTCATCTCACTTTTCATCACTGGGAATCAAAAAGGATCCTAAAATATGGAGGTACGTAAACGTACCATATAGACCTTATACATGGTACGTTTACGTACCTCCAATGAATTGGTTCCTGTTGCATGGCCTTTGTGAGTGCAGATTTTGTAGCTGAAAGACTCGGAGAAACTAGACATGTAGACTCTGTAGAATACGGGTGAAAATTGTGTACCACACATAAGTTGCCTTTCAAAGCCCCAGTTATAAGTTGCCTTACAATCCCCATAAACACATCCATGAAAACTATAGTTAAATCATGTTATATCCCCCATAAGCCATAGTGAACTATAAAGTTATATCTCACTGTGGAAAAGGGCAAATTTGCAAGTCGATCCAGAGACCTCGCGCATGCCTGACATGGAAAATAGTCGAGGTTCCCATGAGCCCTAGAGGGGAAGGTGAATCAACCCTTTGTCTGGGTACCCTCTGGTTATGTCAAAATAGCTATTGAAAATGGCCATAGAAATAGTGGATTTTCCCATTAAAAATGGTGATTTTCCATAGTTTTTTGTATGTTTACCAGGGGGTATCACAATACTGACCCAGAAACCGCCTATTCCGAGATCTCGCCATGACTTGCCATGACTTGGGGCCGCTTTTTTTTTGGGCCCGAGGTCGAGACCAGTGCAGTTTCTGCGACTTTGATGGTACAGCCACCTTTGAGTACGAGGAGACGTGGTCACGGTCACGGTCACGTCACGTCGTGACGACTGCCTGGCAGCAAATGATGGTATATCGTATATAATACCGTATATACCGTACTTTGTGGTAGATGGATGCTTTCGATGAAGCTTCTAGTGGGTATCTAAGATTCAAGCCACAATACCTGGATGTTCATCTCAGTTAGCCACAATTCCCTGCTTTCATTGGAGAACTCCTGGATTTTTCTGGGCGATTTGGCCAGGACCCCCGGGAAGGTGAACAGAGGCAATGGGGGACCAAGGCCCGGTGGGCTCCTATGGGCCCGGTGAAACGGATGCCCCCCCTTTCCACTTGGGAAACCTGGATTTCATGGAGTTGATGATATTTGGGTGTTTATCATGTTTACCCTCTGGAAAACGAACATCGACATCACCAGATAAATCATTGAAGTGGTTGGTTTTTTTTGGAACCATGGAATGGATTCTGACTTTCCAGAAACACTTGGGAATGTAAAATCATCCCAAGTGACGAACTCACTCCATCATTTTTCAGAGGGGTTTGTAGGTCAACCACCAACCAGTATTGTTATCAATCATCATTAACCATATATAATAACCATCATCATTCACCAGCATTAACAGTATATTAACCATCAACCAGGGTGAACTATCATTTACTATGGTTAAAATCACCAAATTTTTCATGGGTAAATCAATGGATTGCAAGTTTCCTCACCGATCCGAGGGTATCAATGGGATGATCTACTAACTCACCAGCTAAGATTTTTTGTTTTTTTGCAGGGTATCTAAGATTCTGTGGATGTTAGATTTCATTATATTTCCATCATATTTCCATCATATACCCATCATATACTAAGATTGGGACCTTTTTTTATGTGGTTTTTTGTGGTTAAACCAATGCCATAAACCATCCCCCAAATCCCCATAAATTGGTCCTATGGTTACCATTCCCAGTCATGGGTGGTAAGTTTATGACATTGTTTTAACCACATTAGTCACCCAATGCCATAAACCATCCCCAGCATCAGACATTCACCTGGTAGGTTTTTTAAAACCCCATCCGTTCGGATGGAAGGTTTATGGCAAACTGGGTTTACCAATGTATCTGGGTAAATTTGATCACGACCGAAGCCTGTTCTCCCGAGCCCTGGAATCATGGTTTATGTTAGGGGAATCATCCCCTTTTATGGCCGCAAGATTCAGGTTAATGAATTATTATAATTTACCCAGATGGTATTTCATCTTCCCCTTCAAATCGTTGATGATATCATCCAAATTATAGGAACATATCATCAAACATACTGTATATGATAGGAGCATCATTGCATCATCCAAATGCTCCAAATGATATCATCCAAAAATATAGGAACATATCATCCAAAAGATAGGAACATCATATCATGATCTGGTTGGTGGTTTGGAACACGATTTTTCTGACTTTCCATTCAGTTGGGAATAATCATCCCAACTGACTAACTCATACTTTTCAGAGGGGTAGGTCAACCACCAACCAGTCATAGATAACATATACATATCTACAATCTAATATGATCTATATCTACTATATATACATATATATTGGGAATGATCATCCCAAGTGACTAATATTTTTCAAGATGGTTAAAACCACCAACCAGATCCAAAATATAGGAACATCATATCATCTTCCATTTGGTTGTTTGAGTTAATCCTTTAGTCTTCAATTGAAAATAGCTATGGAAAATCAGCTATGGCCCATTTGTAATATATATATATATAAACATATATAAATAAACATATATTTATAGATGGAAAATGGCCCATTCATAGATGATAAACATATATAAACATGATGATTTGCCTATTAAAAATGGTTGTTTTTTTCCCCCCCCTTCCGAGCCTTTTGGACACCGAGGTCTTCAACTTCAGGCGCAATGAGGTGCGCAGCTTCCTGCAGGGAGCAGTCTTCTTCTGGGCGGAGCGTCGCGTGGCGTCGGGCTTCGTTGCGGGCAACGGAGGGGGTGATGCTGTTGAACGAACCAAGGATCAATGGATTGGTTTAAGGGAAAATCTACAGGAAACCATGGTTTTTACTATCAAATATAGGGCTTTCCTGTAAATTTTCCCATCATCCAATTCTATGAAAGGGGTGATTTAACCAAGAAAAATGTAGATTTTCAAGTGGAACCATAGAAAAACCATAGGAAAATGGTGATTTAACCAGCAAAAATGGATGATGATTTAACTATTGAAGTGAATTTGAAGATTGCAGTGAACTAACCAACTGTTAACTATTGATGGTGATTTAACTATTCAACTTCGAAAAATGGAGATTTTGGAGTGAATTTACTATTTTGACTTATTTCGAAGTGGGTTAACCATGGTTAACCAACTGGATGGGTAGAAACTCATCCTGAATTTTGTCTTTTGGTATTTTTTTTTGATCTACGACAACACCAGTTCACCAGCTAAGTAACTGTTTGTAGGGTATCTAAGATTTTCAATGTGAAGATGCTGTTTCCAGATGGATGGAATGCTTGCTGGATGGAATGCTGGATGTTTTTTTTTTGTTTTGCCCGAAAGTGAATGGTTTGAAGTTTGATAAAAGTGAGGATGTGTTCAGTCAGCAATGAATACCCTCTGGTAATTTAACGTAGCTATTGAAAATGGCCCAGTCGAAATAGTGGATTTACCCATTAATAATGGTGATTTTCCAGTTCACTACGTTAGTTTACCAGAGGGTATGTTTTTTGGGCCATGATTGTAAGATCAGAAGAATCTCCAAGACTTGGGGAGCTCATGGCAGATGGGGCAGCGTGCCATGAAGCGTTCGCCACTTGAAGAAATGGGGCACGCCATTTCTGGCATTTTTGTGTAACATCGCCCAATTCTTGGGCAAAACCATAGAATGTGGTATCGCAAAGTGATGAATTTATCTACAACCCTCATCAACAAATTGATATACCCTCTGGTAAACCTACAAAAAACTATGGAAAATCGCAATTTTTAAGTAGGTAAATCAAGTAAATGGGCCCTTTTTAATAGCTATTTTGACATCACCAGAGGATCATTATGGATTAATCACCATTAAATCACCATTTTCCTATGGTTTTCCTATGGTTTTCCTATGTTTACCAGAGGCTATCACAATTTCTCCAGCGGCCGCATCGACTCGAAAGGCTATCACATCGATGGCTTCCGCTGCGACGCCATATCCTCCATGATCCTTGGCGGATCCAACTGGATGGGCACGAAAAATCTGATGGTACCATCATCAGTGATGGCTGTGTTGGCTGCAAAAAAAACCCATGAATTTGGCTGGATGAGTAGAAACATGCAGAAACAAATCTTTTGGTATGGGATTATCTACGTTCACTCACCAGCTCAGTTTTTTGGTCATTTTTTGTAGGATATCTGGCTTTTTTTGGCAATTTTGTAATGGGACAATCATGGGACAATCATAGGAATTTTCCAGGTTTTTTCAGGGAGTTGGGTGAGTTCACATGAACCCAAGCCACATGGCGATTGAATCAGTTGTCATCAGTTAGTTCAATCTGGTTATGACATTCAGTTAGCCATGGAAAGATCCCACCATTTTCAAGTTCGGTGTTTAGCATCTATTTATATGGGCCATCGACAAACCATGGCTATGTTAGTCATAGCCAGAGGGTAGTTCAATCAGTAGTTTACAAGTGGACAATGCACATCTCAGGTATCTCAGCCTGGTGATGGGATCCCAGTCACTTAGTAGTTGCAATGCACCCCCAAGCGGCGGTTTCTGAAATGTATCTAAGCTATTATCAAAAAGCATGTGTCAACAGCCCTTGTTTTCCAAAGTGGGGTGATTTGATATTGACTCAGAGCATCTCAGATTCATTTTTGTGAATGCGACTAATGTGGTTAAAACCATGTCATAAACCACCCATTGGGGAATGATAACCATTCCACCTATACTAATACAAATGGTGATGACTGGGGGATGGTAAACATGGCATTGTTTTATTCACACTACCAGGTTTTTCTTGTGGAATCTTTGGTTTATTCATTGTTTACCAATCACTGCGACCTCACTGCGACCTCACTGGAATCATGGTTAGGAAGGGAAATCATCCCCAAATGGCCTTAATTCAGGTTAGTGAAATATTCTAATTTACCCAGATATATACCTTGGCAAATGATGCTATAAAAATGGCTAGAGCACCTTTGCCTTATACCATATTATATTCATATATACCTTGGCAATGAAATGATGCTATAAAAACATAGCTATTTTATACATAGCAACTTTTCATCCCACGTTTTTTTCCCACCGTTTTTTTCCACGTTTTCCGGTGTGAACGGTGTGAGGATCTACCGCAACTTTGGAAAGGAGGACGGTCAGTGGATCCCCAACGAACACGGCGACATCTCCAACCTGGAGGCGGTGTCGTTGCTGCAGGACTTGAACCAAACCATGAAGGACGGACGACGGACAGGACGGATTTAATGCCGCTTTTCATGGGATTTCATAGGGATTTGATTGGGAATCACCAGAAAAAACCCATCATTGGTGCTAAGATCCTATGAAATCCCAATCAATCCCACTAGATTCATAGGAAAACCATAGGAAAACCCATAGGAAAATGGTGATTTTTCATGGTGATGAATCCATAATTACCCGGCCTGGTAAACATACAAAAAGCGAACTTGAAAATTGCCCAGTCGAAATAGTGGATTTACCCATTAATAGCATGATGATTTTCCAGTTCGCTATGTAAACGTTTACCAGAGGGTATGTTGGCCCCTTTTTTTTTGAGGCCTAAGGGGATACGCCCCCGAAATACGGCCAGAAATATACGCTACGTTGACGTAGCTGTAGCTCCATGTATATATTGGATCCTGTTTGATTTCCATTGAACGGTGGTGTTCAAAAAAAGGGGAAATCCATGGGAAATCCATTGGATTTTTTTCATGGGTCATCTGATATGGGAAATCAATGCAGGATGGGGTCAGGCAGTTCTGATGTTTGTTGGTTTATAACCCAATCTAACATATAGTTATGTGCGTATCAGACACCAACTTGCTATTATAGGTATGTTCACCAACTTAGCGAAGACGGCGAACGAACTGGGGCCCCATCCTGTGGGAAATCTGAAAATATGAGTTTTCTGAAAAATCTGAGAAAAGAAAACTCCAGTGTTCTCATATTGTGCCTGGAAATTCGGACATTCCACGATAAATGTCTGAGGGATTTTCCAGGCAGATCATCGATGGGTGGATTGGGTTGAATGATTTGGAACTCGAACTTTTGTTTGCCTTTGCGAAGTTTGAGTTTTGGAAATTGTGTCTACTAGATGGTTCTGGAAATTTAACACTTTGCGAACTGGAAAATCCACCCATTTTGAAGTTCGGTGTTTACCATCTATTTCGATTAGGGCCATGGCTTCCAGTTCGCAAACTGTAAAGGTTTACGTTCGAGGAGTAGATGGTCAAATCCATGGAAAATTGTTTGTGCTGTGCTGCTGGACCAAGAATTTCACCATGTCCGTTGGATTTTGCAAATTACACCCAGTTCTCTGGATGAGTTATGGCTAGGATTGGGGCAACTCTCCCAAATTGGCCCGAACTGTTCAGGTGAATGGTGATCTTTATGCATCTATCCATCCTATATCCATCCTATCCCGTCCTATTCTACTCCAACTCTAGTCTGGACTATTCTATATCCAGAAGTCTTAAAAATTGAATCATCTCCAATCTCCATTTTTGATGGTTGCAGAAATATCTTCCGGACGGACTCAAAAATGGTTGAAAAATCGATGTCACATCACGTTCAACCCCCATTCAACTGATGCTTTAAATCCCCCCAAAAAAATCATCCTGACTTCAACTAGGTTAAACTCACTCACTCAGTTTTCACATCCCAAATAAATCCTGATTTCAATTAGGTTACCCTCTGGTAATTTAACATAGCTATTGAAAATGGTCATTTTCCATAGCTATGTTAGTTTACCAGAGGGTAAACTCAGTTTTCCATCGTGAAATCCCAGAAAAAATTCGCCGAGTTGTTTCGTAGGAGTTCTGGCCCGGGGTGATCATGATCGCCGAAGAGTCCACCGCCTGGACGGGGGTCACCACTCTGAGGCCGAAGCGGGGCCGAAGCGGGGCCGGCAGTTTGCATAGGCAAAGACGGTGGGAAAATCCATGGTTAGTATAGGAAAATTATGGGAAAATGATGGACACATTGGAATCTTCATGGAATTTGCCAGGTGGATGATTTGCAGGTTGGGTTTTGTTCTTTCCCAACCCAATTCAGCCTTCCTCACAGCCATCATGGCATGGGAGTTGGAGGATGTTGAACAGGGACCTGGGAACCATCTGGTTATGACATTCACAGTTCGCGAACTGGAAAGATCCACCATGCTATGGTTGTTTAACATAGCCATGGAAAATCCACCACTTTTAAGTTCGGTGTTTACCATCTATTTCGATTAGGGCCATCTATACCATGGCTATGTTAAAATAAACAGAGGGTATGAGGTACATGACCTTTTTTTGCAGCAAAAAGCCATGGAAGACCTCATGGTTTCCGTCAAATTGTCCTGACGATGAAGACGGAGGGCCGACTTTCTGACTACTTTCATTTTACTTCCACACACAGTGCAGTACATATAGAGGGTAAACATATACATATATTATATAACTATTGCAAATGGCAATTTAGTTCGTTGATTTACCCATTAGAAATGGTGATTTTCCAGTTCGCAAACTGTTAGTTTACCAGAGGGTATACCGGACGGGGATGAGTAGTTAAAACCTACAAAAAAAGACACCAAAAAAAGGCTTTGTCTGACAATAGAGTATCCCCAGATCCATTGGTTTGTAATGATTTTCCCCATTATATTATCAGGCGCTATGATCATCTTCAAAGCTGGATTTTTTTTTTGTGGAGTTTCCCAAACATATTTCCCATGATCATCCCATGAAATTCCATGATTTTCCCATGATCATCCCATGATAATCCCATGATCATCCCAACATTCCAGACATTTTCCATTCCCATGATTATCCCATGATTTTCCACCATTTTCCCACCATTTTCCCATGAAAATCCCCAGCTTCTTCCAGCTCCACTTCTAGACCTGCTGACTTCGGACTGGGCTTCGACTTGAAATGGGACCTGGGATGGATGAACGATTCGCTGATCTACCTGGAGGAAATGTCTGGGGATGGGGAGGAGGAACGGAGGATTTTTTGGGGGATGGAATGCCAAAAATATATATGGGATAGAAAAAAGAAACATGGGATGATCAATTCTATAGGTATACTATAGGTATATATTACTATATATCTCTTTTTGTTTTTTCTCTTATTTATAAAAACACATATCTGTTTTTTTGTAGCATCCCCAGCCAAGTGGATGGGTAGAGTTTCGATTTTTCTGGGTCGTTTTTTTGGCGAAAATAAGCCCTAAACAGCAACAGATGCATGTTTTATGGACGTATCAAAGATTGACCATGGTACAACATGTTTTCTTTTTTTTTTTTCCCCGGCATTCTGTGATGATGTTGTATATGCTATGAGATGTATGCAACATGATTTCATGGAAGTTGGATGTGTAGGTAAGAATGGCAGACCCCAACTGATAGCCATTTGCCAACTTCAGGGGCACCCGAAGCCAACATGGTTGGCAGACGCACAGTAGGATGGGGGAATACTACAGAGTATCAATTCTTGTGGGGAATATCATATGGCGGTTTCCTACAATGGGGGTGCCTCAAATCATCCAGTCGTCATGGATGACCAGTCCACACTTAGTATTGAAACAAGCTATGGTGACGACTGGGGATCCCCCTATGACTTAAGAAACCACCATATGATCAAGGATCATCAACACTTAAGGGGGTCCTTGTTGATTGATGCTTATTGAACAGCATATCCTTGCTGCATCTTTTCAATTACGTGGGGATGACGGGGCATGACTACGCCTGCCAGAAAGAACTTGCGAGTTGATTGTGAGTTGAGGTGATTTCAGTGGGAGTTGTGGCAAATTCGTCCATTCGTCTTATTTTCCGGCTATTTTTTTAGGACACATTGAGCGATCCTCATGCAGGTGGTTTTTGTATATCCGTTGTTTGAACTGAGATTTCCCCTAATGGACATAAGTTTTTGCTTCATCCTCACTTTTGTTGGAGAAATATGGGTGTATGGGTCAAACCTATTATTGCCATAGGTGAGGGGAAATAACCATCCATTGACCAGCTTGGTCCTACATTACCTAGGGTACACGGGTTTGACCCATAACCACATGAAATCTGGCAAAACTCCGTGGCGATGCATGCACGCGTGCTGGAAGATCGTCAAACACTAGGTTAACCGACTGGATGACTGGATGGGTACAAACTAATCCTGAATAGTCTGTTGGTATCAATGGGATTATCTACGTTCACTAACCATTGTTAATTAACCATTATTAGCATTTATTAACCCTTATTATCCATTTATTAACCATAATTATCCATTACGTTCACCAGCTAAGAATTGGTCATTTTTTTGTGCATCTGGCAGATGGGCAATGAACAAAACAGCCAGACATTCCTGTGGATGCAAATTCCGTAGTAACCACCGTAGTAACCACCAAATGTCTGTGAAAGAAATAAGCATCACTTAGCATCAGCATAGTATATCTAAAAAAAATGGGAAAAATGGATTCTATAGTTTTTGTAGTATATCTAACCATTTTTATAGTTAATATAGTAGGATTCTACTTTTCGTCTCAAAAATGGGGGTTGCTGTATCTCGGCTGAAACCCCATTAATCTTTGGTACCTGAAATGGACACTCAAGAGAACGAAATCCCAGGTTCGCTGATGGCTGACCATTTTTTGTCAAAGGGAGCTTTCTAAAAATGGGGGTACCCCCTGCATCATCCAGTCGTCATTGATGACCACACTTTTGTATTAGAAGCTATGGTGATGACTGGAGATCCAAAGCCTCAAGAACACCCCACAGAATCAGCGTTGCAGGAGCCCACTTGGAATAAGCCTGCGAACCACAGCAAGTTGACCCATCGCGCCACGTGCTCCGCGGGACGTGTGTGTGTTTTTTTCTCGTGGTGACATAGCCTTCCCCCAAATTGACAGCTCCATGCTTGGTGGTTTTCTTTTTAGGTCAGGAAGTGGGTTACCCTCTGGTAACATAGCGACCTGGAAAATCACGATCTTTAATAGGTAAATGAACTATAAATGTGCCATTTTCGATAGCTATTTTGACATAGCCAGAGGGTAGTTCACCCATAAATTACTGTGACAACGCCCCTAACCTTCTGAAAATTCACTGGGGTGAAGGCAAATTCCACTTTTTTTGTGCCACCTGGGTAGTCCGCCACCAGGGTCTTGCTATCAATTTGGGGGGTCATAGGTGGTTGCAATTTTCATCTTGATGCAGGTATCTAGGTCAATCTTAGATGGATACTTTAATCCTTTAGTCTTTTGGTATTAATGGGAATATCTACTCACCAGCAAAGATTTTAATTTTTTGCAGGGTATCTAAGATTGGCAATGGTATGTATATACATAAAACGTCATCCTGAAGAAGGTAGAATACGGACATTTCAACAAAGCCTCACGACCCAAAAAGAAGAACCACATTGAGACTTCTATACTCTCTCATATTCTATCTACTTCAGGAAGATCATCAATATCTGGTTGGTGGTTTGGAACATGAATTTTATTTTTCCATCTCATATATGGGATGTCATCCTTCCCATTGACGAACTCCATCATTTTTCAAGATGGTGAAATTGCACCACCAACCGTATTACGAAGCTTCAGCAGATTCCTGGGATTTTTTTCAGGTACATGCAGGATGAACGCTACGTGGTGCCACTCTCACATGATGAGGCGAGGTTCCAGGGGTGCCAGTTCCTGATTCAAAGATCTTCTTGGGGTCTTCTGAAGGGTAAACCTTGGTGGGGGGTCAATCAAGAGGTTACCCTCTGGTAATTTGTTACAGTTTGCTATTGAAAATGGCCATGGAACTAGTGGATTTTCCGATTTTCCCATTAATAGCATGGTGATTTTCCATAGTTTTTTGTAAACGTTTACCAGAGGGTAATCATGCTGTACCAAGTAGCTTAACAAGGCCCTTCTAATTGAGCAAAGGACGACTTGGTCGGTCTTCCGGATGTCGACCCGTCCAGCAGGTGGCAAACATGAAAGGTAGCCTGATTGAGAAGATGGGGCGGAAGGAGAGGGACGATGAGGGACGATGAGGGACGTTGGACGTTGGGGGGACTCCGGGTGTGGAACATACCATTCATAGCATGAAACTATTGAGTAACTTCATCGCTTAAACTTGACAGAAAAAGGCCCCCTTTTGTCTGCCCTTTTCTCACGAACCACCCATTAAATATCATAATTATATATATCACAATTCATAATTCTAATCCCATGAAAAATCACCTCTCAGATCCTCATTAGATAATACCACACATGTGGTCAATGAATGCCATTTTTACCACCCATGACTGGAAATGGCAAGTTTATACCACCTATATAAAACATGGTGATTTTTCTGGGGTTTTTGTAAGTTTATGGCATTGGGAATTACCCACCCAGACCCATACCACCCAGACCCATCGACCCAGGAGAACCTGGGCTTCTACGAGCGCCTGCGTTTGCTGTGCGCCTACTATGGCTACCAAGCCGCCGCGCCGGGGCGACCCTTGCTCTTCATGGGCCGCTCGCAGTGGATGTGTCAACGTTGGGAGAGGTCGGTTGAACGATTCGCCGGAAAAATCCAAAGTGTTTCGAATTGGCTTATGTTGATGGGGGACATGGGAACATATTCAGACCTAGGTGACCTAAGTCACTCTATTTTCGAGATTGAATGGGATATGAATGGGGAAAAAAAGTGGGATAGAACTCACCAGCTATTTTCTGGGTGTGTTTCCTGTAGATTTTTTTAAAAACATTTTCCAGTTTCAATGGCCATTTCAGGAACCGATTTATTGGAGGTACCAATCCCATATATAAGGCCTAAATTTCAGGGAATATCCCCACAATTCATATGGCCAGAAATATGGTACTAACGTACCTCCATCAATTGGATCCTGGAGATCTCCCATTGACAGTTGGCAGATCCACGACACCTGCGGGAATCGAAGTTGGGAGGATTTGGATTTCAGCGAGTTTCCCCTGGAGGGTTTCATGGCTTGTAGAACTTATGGCACTTCCGATTACGAAAAAAAACAACACATTTTTCACCGGTAACTATCAAACTATCAAATTCAAATAACGTTAATAGGTTTTTGATGGTTTTTGTTTCTCAATCATATCAACCCTAAGCATATATCATCATCTATCTATCCATATACCATCCATTTTTTCTCCATTTTTTCAGGACATTTTTTCTCCATCCATAGGGAAAAGCACCGAAACCGAGGTCAGGAGTATGGTCAGGGCCGGGAATGGAACTGCTACCAGTCCTTGGACTGGCACGAGGGTGATGAAGCGGTTCGGAAAGGCCGGAGAAAGCGGGGCGAGTGGTGGGGCCATGGTGGTGAGGGTCGAAGTGGTTGATCTATGGTTTATGGTAGATATAACCAACTGGTATAATGACGTGTTTTTTTTGGGGTTTATAAACCAACTCATAACTGATTAATATCTGATGAATCTCAGAAATATGGCGACTTAATGGTGGTTCAATGGTGATTTAATGGGATTTAATGGTTATTATGGTGCCCCCCAGTTATGTGAACGTTGGTTTCTAAACCGCATGAACACTATAGTTACTAAAGTTATATATCATAGTTAAAGTTATATCTATCATAAACCATAGATTCCAGCCACTTATAATAAGGCAACTGAACGCTCTCGAACGGCCCCCATCCTGTATGAAATCTGAAAAAGATATGGGGGATGATGCCGGTATGATCATGAGAAGAGTACTAGACCCATACGAAAACAAATTTGAGAACATACTAAGATTACTAGCCATATCACAAAAAATGGGGGTTGATCATAATAACTGGTTGGTGGTGACTGGAACATGAGTTTTATGACTTTCCAGAAACAGTTGAGAATTTCATACTCCCAACTGACGAGCTCACTCCATCATTTTTCAGAGGGGTAGGGCTCAACCACCAACCAGATAAATACTACATGGAGGATAACCCCAATTGGTGTAGTATACCACCATGATGGGAAAATTTACAGGAAACCCCTATATTTGATGGTAAAAAGCCCATGGTTTCCGGTGTAGATTTTCCCCAACAAACCAATCTATTGAAATAAATAGTAAAAAAAACAAACATCAAGGTGGATACCCTCTGGTAAACTGTTACATAACTATGGAAAATCACCATTTTTAATGGGAAAATCCACTATAAATGGCCATTTTCAATAGCTATGTTAAATTACCAGAGGATAATCCCAACCCCACCGCGCCGCAGCTCATCTCCGGATAGGTTTGTGCGTTTGGGTCTCCGATTTGATGGGGACCTATGGGTTTCACAAGCCGTTGCACATGGGCGATGATCAGCCGCACATGAAGCAATTCCCCGTGGGGGCCAAGAGCTTTGACTGGGCAACTCGGTGCACGGCACGGTGCGTTGTGATGACTATATATGTTGGGGTGGTAAATCCCATGTTGGGTGGTTCGATATACCATAAAGATCCATAATATTAATATCATATAATTCACCTAGTTATAGTATGTCATAGTTGTAAGACAACTTGGGGATTTGTCATGGTCAAACATGGCAGTTTTAGCAGTATCTGTTGGGTTTCATCGTCGAGTTCTGTGTGATTTTTCCAGGGATGGGATGTCGGCGATTGAAACCATCTAAAACAACGAACATTGGGGTTTAGTCAATCAATAAAGAGGGCTTGATGATTAACCAGGATCCACACAAAACAGTTGATTGGTGGTTTAGTGCGGAGGCAACCATCATTCAAACATTTTTTTCAACAGATTCGAACATGTTGACATCAACAACATGTGTGGATATAGTTCATACACTTAATTGATAGATTATGGTTGGTAGATTATTCTTGAAAGGGACTTAAGTACTACAGGTACCTTTACATCATTTGCTGGCTACCAAACACTTGCGTATCATAGGGTGGATGATTTCCAAAATTGCATTCTCTGATGGACAAGGGTCTTGTTTTGCGTTGACAAATCATGTTCACAACGCTTCGCTGTTGACTCAAGCAATGTGGCCCATTAAAAAGCAATGTGGCCCATTAAAAAGCACCAGTTGATTTATCATTATAGTGGGTTCTACTATATGGATCTATATGGTTTATATGGGATATTTTTCACTCATAGCACAGATACCTACTTAAACCACGCGGCTTCAACCATCTTTCATTTTCCGCACCATTTCGGATGACAATCCGAAATGACCATTTCGGATCTTTTCAGATGGAATGAGAAACCACCAATCAGCTATGATATGAGCGTAAGATGGCAATCATCAACCTCGGATGGGTACAGTAGCTTAATCCTTTAGTTTTTTGCAATGGAAAGTCACCAGAACCAGCAAAAGACGACGTTTTTTTGAGGACTACCAAAGATTGCCCATGATGGTAATCATCAACAAACCATCACGAGCCATATCAAAGATGGTTCGATCTTATCCCAATTTTTGGTGGTTAAATTACCAACGAGATCCAGCTAGGGTTTATCAATTTTTTTTCCCCATATTACCCGGCCTGGTAAACTGTTACATAACCATGGAAAATCACCATGCTTCATGGAAAAAATCACTATAAATGGTGATTTTCCATAGTCATGTTAAATTACCAGAGGGTATTTTCCATTTCAAACTATCAAATTGCTAGTTTACATATGTTTTCCCAGGTATCTTCCAATGATATCCCCATATTTTCCATCTCAAAGTGGTTTCCCATGGCTCCCAAACGGCCGGCTGCTCCAGATCCTCCAGGTGGAGAACAACGCGTCGTGCTGCGTCCTGGCCTTCTGCAGGCACTGGAAGGGCGAACGCCCAGTGCTGGCGATCTTCAACTTCGGCTGTGCCTGGGACATGCCTTGGCGGAAAATCCCTGGAAATGCCAGGGTGAAATGGAAGGGAACACACCTGCAATGTGGGCCCCCATACTCCATTAACTATAGTTATAAGTACCATAAACCATAGTTATTGGAGTTATAAACCAACTTAGCTATCTTGGGGGCGGAAATGCCATGGTTTATGGTGGTTGAATGGTGGTTGAATGATGGAATGATGGTCAAATCATGCCAACTCATCCTAGAATCCTGGTTTTCAGGACCCTGGTTGAATGATGGAATGATAGCCCTCCCATCATCCCGTATAAATTATCTGTTTAGGTGGTGAACGTTTAACTAACTAGGTGAATTCTGTGGTTTTTGGTAGAGATGCATTGAACTACTGGGATTTATAGACCAGCTTATAACTGGAGGGGCACTACCTTGCATGGTTTATCATCACTTTCCCTATGAAAAATAATTGAACATGGGCATAAATTGGGGATATACATCATTTTTGGACATACCCAAATGTTTGGACATAGAATTTCTTGTTCACATTAAGTCGTGTTTAGGTATCTTTGCCGTATTTTCTAGTAAAAGTGAGTCCATATTGGAGGGGTTTTCTGAGTGCGAGCGATAGCCCGATGAATGCATTTCCAAGTGGAACACCAAGAAATTGGGATTTTCTCATCGGAGGCATGCAATTTGTGAGGCCCCACCAACTGAGCCAATGTTGGTTCAACGGTGAATTCGATGCTACGGCAGATTCCAAGTACTGGGGGTACTACCCATCTTGCAGGGGATTGAAGCGAACCTACGGACCCGGTGATGGTTAAGTTGTGGTTTATAATGCTAACCCCCATGAATACTATAGTAATTACCATAAAGATCCAATAGAGCCATATTGGAATCCTTGTTGTGTCTACCGTCACTTCCCATGTCCGCACGATTTTTTTAGCCAGACCGTCGCGTCCGCAAGGTCAATATCACCAGGGATATACCATTGGCAGCTCGTTCGGCACGAGATGTTTAAGGGTCACAAGAGAAAGTCTACAGAAAAGAGCCACGGTTGATCAGTATTCAATGGGCCTCCAAAATGAATAGAACATCATAAATCATCCAATACAAAACCAGGAGGGAAGGAATGATCAAAAGGTTTATCAGTATTCAATGGGCCAGATCTGAATAAATCATCACAAAACCAGGGTTAGGGGATCATTCTTGGAGGGCAGGGGATGATCATTAAACATGTTTACCTATGGTCAACTTAAGGTCAACGTGCGCCAGATGGCATGAAATGGTCACTTTTACCCCCCAAAAAAGGGTCCTTTCAAAGTGCCAGGTTGAAGATGTACCAACTTGGACCGCTGGATGGTTTCTCTGTGGACTCTGAAATAATTGCTGCTGTTTGACTTGGTCAACTGTTGGGTGCAGGATATACCCTCTGGTAAACATACAAAAAGCTATTGAAAATGGCCCAGTCGAAATAGTTGATTTACCCATTAAACATGGTGATTTTCCCTAGTTTTATGTATGTTTACCAGGCCGGGTAACAACAAACATCAACAAACCAATGAAAAAACGGGGTGAACTTCTCAACTTCCAACGGACTTCCAACGGAGCCCGCCGTTCAATTTTCTCTGCGTGCCGAGGTACTCCGTATTGGGGAGGCGGAAGATGGGCTTCATCAGATTCATCGTGAAAAATATCACCATTTTCCCCGTTGGTTTTCCAATGGTTAAATCACCAAAATATCCAATGGTAAATGAGTTGTCTGCTTGGTGGTTTCAAAGATTTGGATTATTTTCCATGTCATATATGGGATGTCATCCGAAACCCATTGGCTAATGTTTTTCAAGATGGTTAAAACCACCAGCCCCATGGATATACCCTCTGGTAAACATACAAAAAACTATGGAAAATCACCTTATTTTATAGCTGGGTAAATCCACTATTTCGACGGGGCCATTTTCAATAGCGAACTGTTAGTGTACCAGAGGGTATTTTTTTGAAGCGACGTTTTTTTTTTTTTCAGTCCAACCTTGGAATGTGTCAAGTCGATCCAGGATAAAGTTTTCACCCATCAGTTTATTGATTACGCTCCCCAAAATCCAGTTATAAATGGGTATCCACATTGTATCCACAATATTGATCGACTGGTTTGTTATGGTTTATCATGGTTTAAATCATGCCTCGATACTGATCGATTGGTAATTTATCACGATTGTCTATCAGTATTGTTCCAGTCGGTCTAAACCATGGAGGCCATCGACCGTGATCTAGTTGAAATCCCCCAAAACCGATCAAAAAGTGAGGGTAAACCTGGACACATATCTATAAATATCTATAAGTCAATTTATATATCATCTATAGTTCACATCCTGAATAATTTATATGTTTATGCTTCACACTTTTCGGCATGTTTTATTTAAGGGTTACAGATCTTACAGTTGAAATCCCTCAGGTCCGACGCCAAACCCAGCGCGGGGTTGATCGCAGTCGCAGGTTGGGAGGTTTTGCTAAACAGCGACGACGGCCGCTACGGTGGTCGCGGGGGCGGCCCGGGCAACTCCAGCGTGCTATGGAGATGGGGGGATGGGGGTGAAGATGGCGATATTAGCAACTAGGGATTTCATGGGAATTTAATTGGGATTTAATGGGGGTAATGAGGATTTAATGGGGTTTAATGGGGTTTAACAGGAATTTAATATAATTTAATGGGATTTACACTCCGGTAATTTAACAGTCAGCTATGGAAAATGGCCTGTTGATTGATGATTTGCCTATCAACAGACAATTTTCCATAGCTACCTTAAATTACCGGAGGGTACACACCTTGGAATCGCTAAAAAGTGGTTGGTCTGGACATTTCTGGACGATGGAGGTTGCACGTTTTTTTTTTTTGTTTGGGTGTAAACAACATTATACAACGTCTTGAACAGATATATATAAGTATATAATTATAAATATATATATATACGTATATCTATAACTGACATAACGACATTATTCAAACAAAACATACCAAGTGCTCATTGTTTCCATCGAAATTTAGTGGTATTCATTTTTGAGAAACATCACCATCTTCGCACAGAGAAATACTCAATTGTGCCTTAATTTTTCAATCCATCGAATCATTCTCTTTCGTCATCCGCACTGGCTACCCGACTTCCTCATGAAATATTTTGATCTTTTGACTTCGATCTCCGATGAATGATTTCTACAAAAAAGAAGTGATTTGATTTCAGGCAACCACATATGAGCTCTCTCATTTCCCTGTGATTGATAAAAACATCATTTACCTTCCAGAAACATCCAAAAACCTCGAAAAAAACACTAAATTGAAACCCATCTTGACATATCTTGACCACAAAAACATCAAAAACCCTGAGATTAAAGCCATTTGAGTCGCCCATCCCATCCCCATCCCATCCGCAACGCGGCCAACGTGACGGCCGTAGGACGGGGCACCACCGGGGCGACTGTAGCGATTCCTTGCGCCTGGATCTGCCGGGCCACAGCTGTCTGCTGCTGCTGGCGCCTGAGAAGTTTGCTGAAGCCAAGGTGGGTGGATCTGGTCTTCAAATGGGGGTTGAAGATATACATATATATATATAATAATATACCTATAATTATATATATATATTATAGCATCTTATAGCTATCTATATCCTATAATAAATGAATATATGAATAGATAAATCAATATATATATATAGAGAGTCACATATGTAAGATTATCTATGTCTATGTGCAATGTAATATATGTAGATTACACAAGTTACATCGGATAGTATATATATATATATGTATGTATGTATGTATATGTATGTCAGTGTGTGTGTAATATCATGGATGTTTATGTAAGATATATGATATTAGATAGATATGAACTATATGATGATCATTTACATGTACAACGACAATATTGTAGATAGATATAGAATCATAGATGTTTCTGTGTATACTGATCTATGTATTCGTACTACATAGATATGATATCTTTATATGCATACACTGTACATACATATATATATTTAAAGATCAGTAAGGGGAATCATCCCAAATTATTATAATTTACTAATTTACCAGGATGTATATGTATATGTATGTATATATATATAGAGTAATCATGGTATATCATGGTTAATGGTTAATAAGAGCTATCAATAATGGTATACTCCATATTCTGATATTAAAAATGGTTATATATATATGCTATGGTATAGATGGCCCATAGATTCATAGATGGTTTACCTCGCAGGCCACGCGTCCGCCCGGTGGCATGAACGCCTCGGACCACCTGGGCGCCGACATCGAGCCCCTGGGCACCCGGAGACCTGTTCGGCACCGAAGCCTGGAACCATCCCTTAAAATGGGCCAAGCATAGGAAAACCATAGGAAAACCATAGGAAAACCATAGGAAAATGGAGGTTTCCATAGGAAAATGTTGGTACCCCAAAATTTTTAAATGGATGGTGAATGGATTTTTGATGATTAGCTCCAGTAAACTAAGATAGCTATGGATTATGGCCCATAGAAATAGATGGTTTAAACGGTTTACCTATTAATAGCGTGGTGATTTTCCAGTTCGCGAACTGTTAGTTTACCAGAGGGTACCCTCTGGTAAATGATGGTTGATGATTTTTGATGATTACACTCTGGTAAACATACCCAAAACGATGGAACATCACCTTATTTTTATACAGAAATCAAGGATTTCTATGGGCCATGGCTTCCAGTTCGCCAACTGTCTGTAACATTTCAGGTCATCCCAAGACCCGATCAATGTGATTAAAACAGGACCCAATTGATGGAGGTACGTGTTTACGTAGCATATAATTAAGGCCATATGAATTGTGGGGATATTCCCTGAAATTTAGCCTCTGGTTGGGGATATTTCGGATATTCCCTGAAAATTAGCCGGCCTGGTTATGACATTCACAGTTCGCCATGGTTAAGCCATGGCCCATAGAAATAGATGGTTTACCGTTCTTAATAGCATGGTGATTTTCCATGGCGAACTGTTAGTCATAACCAGATGGTAGGCCTAAAAAATAGGCCCAAAATATATGGTAAGTAGCTCCTTCCTGAAATGGTTCCTGAGGGCCAGTGATTCCATGCCATTCCGAGGTATTGCATGGCAGACATTGGCTATTGAGTAGTGACCGCGACCAGATCACTGAAGCCGACTGGGGTTCAACACCAAGGGTGGCGAAATAGTGGTTGAGGGTCTCCTAGAAGTGGTTCAAGGGAACATTTTTCAAGCCTTTTTTAAGCCCTGTGGGCCTGGGAGTCACAGGTCTGCACCACGGTTTATGATCCAGATGGAAAAGTCGTTGCCTTACTTGGTGGCTGATTTCACTTGCTAAGTAGGTCATATCCCTGGTTACAAAGTGGGATAAGTAGGGTTAATCCACTCAAAAAACTAGGGTTACAACCCACTTACTAAGTGGAATGAGCCACCAAGCAACTCACCCTGCGCAGCAATCGATGCAGTGCACTGCACAAACATGGTCGTGCTCGAGAGGTGTCATCGGTTGAAGTCGATGACAAGGCCTACTGCAGTGCTTTCCAGAAAACACGCACAGCAGTCCGAGTTGCGGTGAGGATGTGTCATTGTCACGATTGGAATGGGTCAAGACATGTGGGTCTGAACATGGAGTATACCCCCTCCAAAATTGCAATTTGAGTGGTAAAAATATGGTGAACATGACCAAAGTTTTCAGACAAATGCCAGGTGCCCCTCCGTTTGTTTGCAGATGCTGTTCCCAGTAAAAATGGTTGACGCATTGACGCATCCCATAGTAATCCCCCAAAAGATAGAACCTTTGTAAATTCCTACAAAAATAGTATGCAATATATATATATATAATATATATAAGTATAATATCAATTATAATATAATATAATATACAATATATATATATATAATCAGTAATTTAGATTTCTAGCTCTTTTTGGGTGGCCATAGAACCACATAGAATCGCTATTCTTGGTTGCTTAAATCATTCTTTTTTGTCGATCCTCCTTCCGGTCGAAGAAATGTACTGTACTCCGTTGGCTTACCGGCCGCTTTCTACTTACTGATCATGGGGGAGTTTCGTACACCAGATTTCTCATTTGACGTTCTCACGGGGAGTGGCTAGTGGACATTTAAAGCTTATTTCAGCTGAAACAGTATGGTCTAGTGGTTTGCCGGGAGCCTAAGGAAGAAGAAATCTATGAAATCCAACATCATCCAAAATCATCCGAACACAGAACTCGATTTGCAGATTGATTTCTGATTTTCTTCTGCCCGCAAGATCTTCCTCTGAAATTAAAAACATATGTTTCTTCCACAGCCTCACGGTGACTCGCGAGTTGGTGAGAAGCACTGGAAGATCTTGAAGACACTTTTTGGTAGGATATCTAAGATTGGCCAGGTGAATGTGGAATATTTCTATGATCCCATCAAAGATATGAACTTTTTGTTCTTAGTAGTTCTGGTTTGCCAGTTGAAAAACCTGAAGCTTTCGGTGCAAACCTCACGAAGTTGTACAAAAACCCTAACCGTGCCGACAGGGCATCTCTCAAACATGGATGCCAAACGTTGATTCGCGGTGAAGCGCACGACTTTTCCTAGGGCCAGGGTCCTAAATGATGGCAGCGCATGATGGGGACATCATAACTTGAATGTGGACATCCCAATGGAAAATGCATCAAAAAATGAAGGTTTCTAGCTGGGATGAACCACCAAGTATCTTGGATTGTGTAAGTCGATGAGGGGATTTTTCCAATGGAAAACCTGAAAAACATCGCTGGGGGAATCTATGAAAATAGCTGATTGGTGGTGACTGGAACCATGGAATTTTCTTTGACTTTCCAGAAACAGTTGGGAATGGAAAATCATCCCAACTGACGAAGTCCATCATTTTTCAGAGGGGTTCAAACCACCAACCAGATTAATAGGGAGTATGTTTTTATTTGTTTTTGGGGGTTCCCTGCAGCAAATCCTTAAAGCCGCCCATCACTCTGGTGACACCAAATCTCAGTCCATTCCCAAGTCTTGGGTGGATCGACAGTGCTGTTTCCAAGAGGAAACTGGATAAAACATAGGGATGTAATAATCTAAAATGGGATGTAATCATATAACTGACAAATTATTGACTAGTTGACTAGTTGACTAGTTGACTAGTTGACTCGGTTTCAAACGCGTTATTTCCAACCAGATTTGGCATAACGATCCCCCATGACCAGCACATTTTTCAGGGAGTGGCTCAACTACCAATGAGAGTAGTTGAGTCCTCATTGAATACCATTGAACCATCATTAGATATATTAGATATAACTACTGCAACTATTCTGATACAGAGGATGAAACCATCATAGAATAGTAGTTTCATGGCGCATTAAACCTCACTCCCACCGAATCTTTGGGTAACCATAATGTCCTAATGCCACTATTAGATCCCCCAAACATTGCATTCCAAAAGACAAAAACTTCAAGAGTGACACCGCGATGACCCTGGTGGGAAGCGTGCAGTTCTGCTTGGTGACTTATCCCGACAACAACATGTGATGGTCAGCATGCTGAAGCGAGCTTTGTGAGCTACTTCTCAATGAAGATATCAGGGGTTTCAACAAACGCAGGGATTTAACCATCAGTGGTGATAAGATAGGGGATGTAATGGATAGGATATTTAACGAATGATCTGGTTGGTAGCTTCAATTCAAAAGCATCACAGTTAAATATGCGAATGGCGATTTTTTATGACTCACATTTTTCACAGCCACCAGATCTTTGGTTTCCAGAAGTCGGAGGTGAGGCACCAAGTCCCACTGTGCCGGGGCCTGACTTAACATGCGGGGCGTGGAACCCACGCGGGCGTGCCCAACGTTTGGCACGTCGGAGGCCCTGCCGAAGCGGAGGTCGGAATCCACAAAGACAGCGACGCCCGGGGGGGTTCATTTTGGATCTGACAAACAATAAGACACGAGAGGAGCAATCTGTATGTATATATATATATATACATATATATATTATATATATAATATTATGTATATATATATTATGTATATACATATTATGTATATATATATATTATGTATATATATATATTATATGTATTTTATGTATATATATATTATATGTATTTTATGTATATATATATATTATGTATATATATATAAATGTTCATATACATATACACATATGTATGTATATATATGTATATATATGTACATATATATATATATATTTCCTCCAATAACGATAAAATAGTTTGTCTTTTGAAACTATCACATGGTTGGGTCCAAGGGGGTTGCCATACATATACATATATCAATGTTTAATATCCTCGTGGGGCAAGGGAGGTACATATACATATGTCAATGTTTAATATTCTCGTTGGGCAATATCCCACTACAAGGACTTAATGACTCTGACAAAGGCAGGTACGGGGAGGTACTAGTACCTGACTAGAGGTACTAGTACCTGACCCAATCAAAGATCAAAGATCAAAGATGGCTGAGGACTCCTGCCGAGAATCTTTCATTGGGTCAGGTAGTATAGGGCCAATGTAGTAAATCACAGATTCTCTGCCGGAGTCCTGATCTTTGATCTTTGATTGGGTCAGGTACTATCAATGGGAATCAAAAAGGATCCTAAAATGGAGGTAGCTACCATATATAAGGCCTATTTTTTAGGCCTATGTAAGTGAATATCACCACAAAATATGGCCTTATATGGTACAGTACCTCCATTTTAGGATCCTGGGAGTCCCATTGATACTAGTACCTACATGTCTTTGTAACATCTACTGGGATTCCAAGACAACGACGCGCTCCCATTGCCAAGGTTTGGGTCGGCAGTATTCACACGCTTCCCTAGCAAAGGCCGGGAAACACAGAGCACATGTAATTCCACTCTGCTGTCTGTCCTTGAGAACAACAACATTTCAACAAAAAAAAATCAGTGCCACCTTGGTGTGAGCCATCTGCTAGACGTCTCAGATAATGACATGCTCCCATTGCCAAGGCTTGGGCCGGCAGCCTCCAGACACTTCCCTAGCAAAGGCCGGGGAACACGGCGCACATGCAATTTCAGTCTGCTGTTTGCCCTTGTGGGTAACAAATGTTCTTCACTAACAAAGCACATTTTGAGTGACATCTTGTTCTGAGCCTCAATGTCCTTGGTTCAATCTGTCTCACTTTCGGTCGCATCAAACCACAGCCGCTCATTCGTTCTGTTCTGCCTCACCTTCGCCAATACGGGTTCCAGTTGCTCCATGGCTACCTTCTCTGTGGCTGGACAAGTTCAAGTCAAGGGACGCTGCGCGACGTTGAGGCTGAAACTTCCAAACGCGAAGCCTCTAAAAGAAGAGCCAGAGGTAAAAGTTTGTCGGCCAAGCACCTCTGATCTCATGGCTGCCATCGAGGGTATGATCAGTTGCTTGGCCAGTTTGCGACCCTTTGATTGCGGCGGAGGCGGTCTTTCAGGAAGCGCCAAGCACGATCTACATGTTGTGTGCCTGCCTTCGCTTTCAAAGTCTTTCCATCAGGAAGACGCTAGGTAACAAAACGATACAAAACGTACGTACTGGGGCGACGATCATGTGACTTTGCCACCACGCTTCTGCTTCTTCTTGCAACGGACGACAGCATCATGGACGATCCCTTTGACCTTTGCCTAGTAGCTCTTGGACGAATCAGTGTGCAAAACAAGCTTCCGGTTGAGGAGGTACTTCTTCGCAATCGGGGCCCAATCGACTTTGTGAATCGCACCAGGGCCAGGGGCTCGCTTCACAGACTGAAGGAGCTATAGGCGTGTCAAAACCTAGCTGGCAGGTAGCCCATGTACCAGCATGCCGCTCCATTACTCCCAGAGGATGCACTTGCCCTTGGCGACCAAGTCTTTGTAGTAGATATCCTGACTGACATTTGCCCGATCAAAGGTAGCTTCATCAGCCTCAACATCCCGCGACGCGTCTTTGTGAAAGCTGGCACCACAGCAATTCGTGCAGCAATTCGCTCCGCCCAGTGCGAGTACTGGAACCGCGGGGCTGATTTGTGGCTGAAGACAGGTGATCTGGTCAAAGATCAAAGATATGCCATGTCGCTATTCCTGTTCAAAGCATAAATTCCGGGACTTGAAGATTGGGGTGAGGCGCAGCTGATGTGAAAAGGGTGTCGTCTGCTTGCCCTTGTCTCCTTGCTTGCAAACTCATACTCAGCTCTTCCTACTTCACAACTACAAACTGCACGCCACCTTTCCAATGTACTCCCGTGCGCCAGCAAACTCATTCACATAACTAGAAACTTCAAGCCACCTCTCCCATGTGTTCCCATGCGCCAACAAACCCATGTCACATTGAAGGTCGTCCTGCAGAGCATCAGCGTATCTAGTCTTGATACGTCACTTGTCAGCTTCACAGCATGACTGCAATGTTCGGAGTGTGCACACATCTTGTCCTGTTTTTAGTCGTGTCAGTTTTGTAACCTGACAAGCTCAATGCACCCTTCCAAGCCTGCCAGTCTAGTCTTGCTACGTCTTGCTACTCTGCTTGCCGCTCTGAAGATATCTGATCTCTTTGCTTTAGCTCACGCAGTGCGTCATAACTATGCAATCCAGGAGGGCGGGCCAGGGCGGGCCAGGGCGGGCCAGGGCGGGCCAGGGCGGGCCAGGGCGGGCCAGGGCGGGCCAGGGCGGGCCAGGCTGCAAGGCCGCGGAAGTAGTATGAAATACCAGTTCGTATATTTAAATGTTGTTCCCGTATGTTTACATGAATTGGATTCCGTTTGTTTAAATGGCCGGGCGGGCCAAGGAAAACCTTCCCGGAGGTAGTCTAGAATACCTGTTCGCATATTCAAAAGTCCGTATATTTACATGTAGTTACCGTAGCTTTAAGCTATTTTATCGTAATTGGTGGGGGGGGGTAGCATTTATATATATATATATTTTACATATATTTACGTATATATATATATATATGTATATATATATATTTGCAATTAGCTATATATATATATGCATGTGTTTTAAACACACAGTTTACAATCATAATTGCTTTTGGATACACATATCTCCTTGTGGGTTCTGACTTGTGCAACTTAAAGCAGCAAAAGGGCACATATTTGTTTGTCAAAACATACATATATAATGTATTATATAGATATTTAATGTATTTATATATATATATATATGTATATATGGTGTATATATATATACATAATGTATATATATATATGGGTATTTAAATTTAAATTTAAATATACGTATAAATAAATACATCCATATATTTATATATATATACATCACAATATATTCATATATCTAATCTTTGTGCTTTTCGATTTGGAGGATCTTGCCAACCATTAGTTGATAGTTCCAACTGTTGTTTTTTCCTTGCTACCCGAGGTGGCGGAGGAACATCAAGGTCTCCAAGAGGAGTTCTTTCGGGACGGCGTTTGATCATTGACATCATTTTTCATTCATTACTCGAATTGCTGGTAATTTAACAAATACATGTATATAGATATAGTCCCACAAAAGGTTCCCCAAATTTTTGGATGGGAAAATCAAAAACATCACCCACTCAGCAAGTACAAACATGTTAAGTCATACCCTTTGGTAATTTGTTACATAGCTATTGAAAATGGCCCTAGAAATAGTTGATTTACCTATAATTTTTAATGGTGATTTTCCGAATGTACAGGAAAGCAGGTTTTGAAGCACCAAAGGTTTATCCAACAATTGCGGGTTCTCCTGCAGATTTTCCGATTCAATGCCCAGGACGGGTCCCCCAAACGTAACGTGAAACATGATTTTTTTTAATTTTTCTGTTCAATTTACCAAAATTTAAAGAATGATAACTCATACAGTATAAATCCCATTTTTTGTTGGTTCAATAGTGAACAATGTAATTTTACTGTTTTAGAACGCCGAATTAAAAAACCACTTGGGTTCCTTTTCGTTTTTTCGAACGGCATGTTTTTGTTGGCTTAGTCAGGCGCCACCGAGGCCAAAGAAACCGGAACCATTTTTCAGGAGCTGTCTGTGGCCACTGCGAAGATGACGGGCTTGGAGGAAGAACTCATTGGAACACGACAGCAGGCGCATTTGCTTCGGGGTGGGGCCGGGTTTTAAGTGGAAATTAATGGGATTGGGGTGGATTTTAATGCGATGTTAATGGAATTTTAATGGTTTGTAATGGCATTTTAATGGATTTTTAATAGGATATTCATGGAATTTTAATGGATTGTAATGGCATTTTAATGGGAATGAATGGGATTTACTTGACCACACGTTAACGCACAGTTCACTTGGTGAACTCTGTTTGATTAGGGGGAGTGATTCCCAGGATTGGAAATTTTCACAGGAAGGATCAACTGCAACTGGTGGTCTGCAAGCCATGGTTTCCTGTAGATTTTCCGGAAAAAGAACAATCAGTTGATTGATGGCTTGATGGTTGATGTTTGGAAAAAATGGAAGAAGGGCATCTCGGTATCTAACTATCTATTTCTAATCGAATAGACTCTAATCCATCCATCTCTTTCCTCTCTCATATCCTCAAAAAGTTGAATGTGTTTTTGACACAGCTAGGCATCATTTTTAGATGACTTCTCCGGAGCTAGAAAGAGCTCTTTCTGTGCTCGGGATCACGGTTTTTTCAATCCCTTGCTACATCCCAGGTTGAAGCTGTAACCCACCTGCTAAGCACGAATCGCTATGTGCGGCAACATCGAAATAGCCCCAACCTACGGCAACTGCATGGGGAAATCGGTGATACACCTTTTGACGTGGGGATCTTCCGAAAAAACGGCCACATCTTTGGTCCCTTCAACACCCCCATTTTTCTCAGCTGGTTTGCGGGCGACTGTTTTGGAGGTAAAAAACATCCTTTTGGATGTCCCAGGAATCGCAAGTGGTTCAGAACCCATATGGGGGTTTCCATAAATGGGTGATCCCCAAAATGGATGGTTTGCAATGGAAAATGCGAGCACAAAATGGATGATTTAGGGGTACCCCATTTTAGGAAACCTCCATAGATCAAGAACTGGGGGAGTAAAACCAACGCCTGGAATAACACACATTCAGGCCTTGGAAATAAACTGGAGGTTTCGCAAAATCCTAGGTTGACATTAATCCCACCCCCAAAAAATGGTGCTACATCTATACAATATATAATTATACATGTATAGTTATATATATATACACATACATTGTTATATATTATACATCGTGATTCATGTGTATATATATATATACATCGTTATTCACGTGTATATGTATGTACACATCGTTATCCACGTGTATATGTATGTACACATCGTTATTCACGTGTGTGTGTGTGTATATATATGTACGAATGTAGTTATAATAGTTATATGTATATCCATTTGAATCCCCATGATGTTGGTTCGTTGCTGATGCCTCGCTCCCAGGTGGCGGAGGCTCAGGAGTCGCAGGAGCGACGCATGTTGGAGTTTCAGCAGGTGGGAAGCGACCGGGGATGGGTAAACAAAACATAAGTATAGGTATATATATATACCCTCTGGTTATTTAACATAGCCATGGAAAATGGCCCATTTATAGATGGTTTACCTATTAAAAATGGTGATTTTCCATGGCTATGTTAAATAACCAGATGGTATATCAATAAGATATATGATTCAGGTATCATTATCATATACCAGATATAGGAAATATGATATACTGATGATATTATGATAGATACTTATAGGTATGATCATAGGTAAGTCAATCATAATATTGAAATTTCATGCCACAAATGGCATCCTGGAGGATTTAAGAAGCCTGAAGTTGAAGCCCTATGGGACCACAGATTTTAGCAGATGTTTATTTATATATATGTATGTATGTATGTATGTATGTTTAATATTCACCATCTACTTTTTTGGGATACTCAATTTTGATACCCATATGGTTTGATAGGGAAAATCTTGGGATAATCATGGGATAATCGTAGGATATGAATAGATACTGATTCTAGTATCATATTAGTCAAGGTGTTTGGAGACAAGCATATGTAAGTTTATGTACGGAGTTTTTTTTGCTTTTAGGAGGATATTTTCTTTGGTTATATAGATCGGAAAATCGGATATGCTGGGATATAAATGGTTTATACCATAGTGATACTGTTTTTTTAATGGTAATGGAAGATCATGGAGTCCAATGACTAATGATGATCTACCCTTTGGTCATCAAACATGGCTGGACAATCCCATAATGGAAGTTTTCATGGGAACATCATATATCCGGGTAAATTTGATCACGACCGAAACCTGTTCTCCCGAAACCTGGAATCAGGGTGAATGTATAGGGAAATCATCCCCATAGCTGGCCGAACTATTCAGGTTCGTGAACTACTATCATTTACCCAGATATATGAATAGTAGATATAGTGGATATAGTGGATATAGTGGATATATAGTGGATATAGTGGATATAGTGGATTTTCCATTGCCTCGTTTGCCGGAAAACATAGGAATGAGTTGTGATTTCACATTTCGAAGTCATCAAAATCGTGGATTTCGAACACCCAACAATGTATAAAAATGCCAGGAAAATGTTTTGTTATAAAACAATCTCACTAGCTGACAAACGGCAAAGCCAAGAACAAGGTCGAGAGGGCTTACTATGACAAGGTCGCGAGCTTTTTTTGCCATTGAACATGCCCAGCAGTCCCAGCGGTTTGGGCGTCTCTGGTGGAGTCATCTAGAGGCTGCTGCTTGCTGCTACGAATGGTGGGTTCAAATCGAGCTTCATCGCTTAGCACAGCTGAGTATCATTGAAGGTGACCTTGACAGTGATGGTGTGAGGACACGCAAGAGCAAAGAAAACTTCATGTCAGCTGGGGGTGACAAGAACTTTTACAGCTCCGCAAGTGATGACAAAACAAATACAATATAAAATATATATATAACATCACCCCCAACTGGCCTTATTTCTGATTTGAGAATTGTGCCCAGATGACAGTTTTTGCTCCCCTTGAAATATTGCGCATATTGGCCTCTAAAACAGTGATGTTACGTTCAGGACTGCACGATGAAAACATCACCCTCTGACAATCCAATGTGGAGGTTTCCAAAGTCATTGGGGTGACCCAAGCTCGCTGGATGGTTTAGAATGGAAAAGCCGAGCATGAAATGGATGATTTGGGGGTATCCCTATTTCAGGAAACCTCAATATGGCAAGCTAAAACCCGCCATCTATAGATGACTTTCCGATTAAACACTTTCATTTGCAGGGGGCTTTTCCAGCTAGCCACGCTTGATTACTGGAGGGCAAGTTTAATAAAAATTAATAAACCCCAAATTGGATGATTGAAAAACATCTACAGAAAACAGTTTCACAGAGTTTTGGTCGTCCAATTTTGACCACTGAAAAGAAACGTCGATCCCCAGGCAACGGCGATGCTGAAGGAACACAGCCAGAAATTCAAGCAGCAGGAGTGGGTTGAGATCAGCCATTCAGTGACAGGTTTTACAGTGGTTAGCCTCTGGTAATCTGTTACATAGCTATTGAAGCCATGGCCCAGTCGAAATAGTGGATTTACTTATTTTCATAGCATGGTGGATCTTTCCACGGCTATTTTTAACAGTTTACCAGGCCGGGTACATCTCCAAAGTCATGCCGGTGTCCTAAGTCATGGGAAAAACTCCCAAAAACCTCCGATTGCGATGGGCAGTGTTTCGGCAACGCCTGCCTGATGATTATTATTGGGGGGTTCTCCTTTTTTTTTTCCCTGCCCCCCAAAAATTGGGGATTATCAATCACAATCCATTGGAAATCCTATCAAGTTAGTAGGGTTTTTTCCATTTTTTTTTTGGCACCAACAAATTGGTTGGTTTTGTGGCTTTGTTGCTTCGTGAATTGCCCCCACTGGTCTAGGAGGCGAGAAAAGCTCAGCAGATGGTGGAGGCCCAAAAGGGGTAGCTATGGCGCCTTCCAAATGTTTGGAGCACAATTTATGGTAATGGGGGTAAAGTAAAACAATAACAAACCATCCCCCAAATCACCATAAGTAGGTGGTATAAACCGTTCAAATGTGTGGCTTATGATTGATTCACCCACAGTAATGGGGTTTTACTATGGAGATATCAAAAGGATACCAAGAAAGGATTCAAAAAAGGTTCCAACATAACCAGGTAGATAAGCCTCTTCCGATTAGTAGGATGAACCACGAAGTAGCGGCTAAGTAGGTTGGTTTTTGAACCGGCTGGTTCTTGAACCAACAGTTTTAATAGGATGTCTGAAAGTAGGGCATCCTTAAATCCACTGGTCAAGAATCATTTTCTCTATTACTTCATGGCCATAACTGGAGGCGGAATTCTATTTTCCAGTCAACTGATGGATGTGGCAAGTTTCACCAGCGACAGAGATCTGAAAGCAACGAAGGGCCAACTGTTTTCAGTGGGCCAACTGACTGGCAAATGGCGATGTTTAAAGACCTCACCTCCGAAACCCTCGAAAACAAGCACACTCCACACGTGGATTTCTGTTGTTTTGGAGCATCTTGGACCAATCAAAAGGGGACTGATCATGACTGATCCATTTCTTCAAAACATCGGTAATTTTGGGTGGTTTTCAGGCTTTCTGCGGTTTATTATATTCCAGTTTTCGAAGCATTTTGTGGTGTCACACATATTTGAGAAGTCACCAAAATCCTTCTTGATGAGTTATTCTCGGAGCTTCTACTAAGTTATACGGTTCGTAAATCAATAAATGGGATTATACACTGACCCATGATCTAGCCTTTCTGTTTGCAACCCCATTCTCCACCCACCCGTTTTTCTTTAAAAGGATGAGGGACAGCTGACAGCATCGACGTAACCGTTGACCAGGCGGTACGACGCGAAGAGAAGGAGAAGATGTCTCATTTAGAGGTGTGGATTTCGTGGAAAGTCGAGACGTTGGAGATCATGTTAACTAAAACTGATGATGAGGTGTAAGGTCTTAACTTAAAATCTAAAGGTGTCCAAGTTGTTTATTCTTTTTGAACGGTGTCCATATATATATTTTTTTATCAATTTTTTGGTTGCCACGGTGCGGATGTTTCCCAAGTTGAACGGCAAACGTCAATGGTCCAGTTGCGAAGTCGCGAAATGGTTAGTCACCGAGATACAAACCTACAAGAAGGCAACTAAGTTCAGTTAATCCATGCCATAAATCCATAAACAGTGGTTGTTTTTTTGGGTGTGTAAACTCTAGCAGAAGCCGAACAAATCAACATGCTTCAACTATGTAACTAAAAATATCGAAAAATCAGGAGTCAGGAGGTTCAACTGTTTTACCATCACAAATCACATATATACCATCACAAATCACATATATGGAGGTTTCTTGAAATGAGGGTACCCCCCAATTCATTCATCTTAGTAGGATTTTCCATTATAAACCATCCAGCTATTGGGGTACCACCATTTCAGGAAGACCCCATATATTAATATATATTATAATAATATTTATATATTATACTAGTTGGTGGTTTGGAACATTTCTATTTTTCCATTCAGTTGGGAATAATCATCCCAACTGACGAACTCATATTTTTCAGAGGGGTAGGTATACCACCAACCAGTATAGTTTATTGTTATATAGATATATAATGATATAGATTATAGATTCTAGATTATAGATCATAGATTATAGATTACAGATAGATTATCTTGTATGATATATATAGTGGATATAGTGGATTTTCCATTGCCACGTTTGATTGCCAGAAAATTCAGGTCAGTGAAATATTTTATAATTTACCCAGGTCAGAACTATGGTTTATACCTAAATTATAGATTATAGATCCCTAAATTGTTGCTGCTTTTGAAGAATCCCTCAGGCCGAGTTGGAGCAGAGTGGGCACGAAGTGAAGCGCCTGGAAACGGAGGTGTTCGAAACGGGACGGAGGGGTTGGAGTTTAGGTTAACCAACTGGAACCATAGGCAAACCATAGGCAAACCATAAGAAAACCATAGGAAAACCATAGGAAAACCATAGGAACATGGTGATTTAACCAGCAAAAATGGAGTTAATCAAGTGGGTTAACGTATGGGATTATCGACGTTCACCAGCAAAGAATATATATTTTTTTGTGTAGAGTACTCAAGATGGCTGAATTCTATGGTTTATGGTAGATATAAAAGATAGCGTTCAGTTGCCTTATAATATGGCCGAATTCTATGGTTTATGTTAGATATAACTATAGTTATATAATGGGGTTTATAAGCCAACAAACACAACTGGGGGGCACCATCCTGTGAACATAGGCTATTTTTAGTATAGAAACTCATCTTCCAACCCTGATGACTGCCAGGGTCGAACTGTTCATTTACCAAATCATAGGAACATCACTACAAATTCCACGATCAGTGGAGGTTTCTAGCTGGGATTCAACCAAGGATCTTGGATTTGACACAGGGACGATCCTTTTTCCATGGACGGAGTTTGTGATGACTCCCTGGAGACGGTTTTTTTTAAAGAGGATTTTGATGGCAGATGGATGTTTGATGATCATATTTCACATGTTTTGACCATAAAATTTGGTGAATCTCACATTAATCCACTTACTATACTATATGGTGGTTTCCTGAAATAGGGCTACCCCATTTAACATCATCCATGTTATTTTCGGATTTTCCCTGAAATAAACCATCATAAACCATCCACAAATGGGGGTAGCCCCATGATTATGGAAACCTCTGAGATGCCACATGGAAATTGTATGGGGAAACCGGCGAACATGATGATCAACCATGAGATTGTGGGGGAAACCAACCAGGCATTGCCCCCAACGATGGCCCTGATGGAGAACATGATGACATGCTCAACCAGTTTTGTGAAAGCAAAATTAGTACCTAAAGGTCAATCGGCTGGGTAGAAACTCATCCTGAATAGTCTTTTGGTATGGGATTTTATCTAGTCACCAGCTAAGAATCTGTCATTTTTTGCAGGGTACCCTCTGGTAAACTAACATAACTATGGAAAATCACTATTTTTAATGGGAAAATCCACTATAAATGGTCATTTTCAATAGCTATTTTGACATAACCAGAGGGTATCTGGCTGATTGGCAAATTGGTAGGTGGGATCCCCTGAGTTGTAATAAAGTTAGTTTAGTCAATGGGAGATCTCCAGGATCCGAACAGATGGAGGTAGTACCATATTTCTGGCCATATTTTCTGGGGATATTCCCTTACATAGGCCTGAAACATAGGCCTTATATATGGTAGGTACCTCCAATGAATCGGATTCTTTTTGATTCCCATTGATTTAGTTTCACCTATGCGTATCAACTGAGCATTTTTGTTGGTCCCGAAGTCCCAGTTGAAACTGCTGGCAGGTCATCAAGATGAGCGATGAAATGACGCGTGCCCAGCCCTAGAAATTTCTGGGGATTTTCTGCGTCATACTCTCGGAGATGCAGAGAACATGCAAATAACATTTTTTATTTTTCCATATATTGGGAATAATAATTAACCCCAACTGACTTTCATATTTTTCAGAGGGGTAGGTATACCACCAACCAGTATAGATTCTTAGAATTTGTGGCTAAATCATTCTAAAATATCGGAAATCATGAAGGACTGTTAATGTATAGTCAGATAGTCCACTCAACAAACTACCCTTTTCTGGCGGCACCCAAGCTGGAACCCTGTAGACCCTGTTGGATCTGTGAGCTTTTGAGCTTTTTTGGACATTGCTCAATTGGGCGCGCATATTCAAGTATAGATTTGCAAAAAAAAATTGTTGGTGACTTGACTGACTGATTTTTCTGTCATAGCATCTATTCAATGGGGTGATATCACAAATACAACCACATTCAAGCATAGATGAGCAATACATTGCTTCAGTCCTTGGTCCTTGAGACGAGATTTGCGGGGATACCCGGCCTGGTAAACTAACAGTAAAAGCTATGGTTTAAATCACCATAGAAACATAGGGAGTTTTCCCATCCATAAACTGGGAAAATGGGTGGATTTTCCATGGTTTTTTGTATGTTTACCAGGCCGGGTATATGCTGATACCGCATCATGGTTGGCACGGGCTGGTCGCATGTTGGGCCATCGGGCGGGGCGGCTGGGCACTCCCCATGAAAGATGGAGATTTTGGAATGGGAAAATCCACGGGAAATCACAGGAAAATCCAGTAGAACATCATAAATCCAATACGGGTTGGTGGTATGGAACATGAATTTTTAGTCTGGGTTAATGATGGTTAATGATGGTTAATGATGGTTAATGATGGTTAATGATGGCTAATGATGGTTAATGATGGTTAATGATGGTTAATGATGGTTAATGGTGGTTAATGATGGTTAATAATCACTGCTTGGTGGTTTTGAACCATGGAATTTTATGACTTTCCATCATATATGGGATGTCATCCTTCCCATTTGACGAACTCCATCATTTTTCAGAGGGGTAGGGCTCAACCACCAACCAGGTGAACTATCATTTACTATGGAAAATCACCATTTTTAATGATGAAATCCACTATAACTATGATAGGTATTAACATGTATTAACTACAATAAATGATAGATATAAAAATGGATGAATGGAACATTGAACTATTGTTGGTTTCCAGCTGCGAAAATCATCGAACTATTGTTAGTGGATTGATTTCGCAGCCACTCCAGTGGTTGTTTCGGGAGCAACAAAACATGGGGAGCCCGTTGGAGGTATGAAGTGAGTCTCCCAACCACATGGTAGTTGAGTCTTGGTGGTTTATATTTCCATGATATCCTATTAAACCCCTATTAGTCCTTGTTGTTTCTTGCTGTTTCTTGACATGACTTAGGTACTTTAGGTATTTTTAGGTAGGGTTGCTTCAAACTTCGGTGGGTGACACTAGTTATAGCACGACCTGGGAAGAAAGGCTGGCGATTTTATTTCAAAGAAACATCAGATTCCCTGCCTTGCCAACTAGGCAGGTTGGCAGGTTGGAGCATGAAATTGGTGTCCCCCCTGGTTGCAGGTGCGATGAAGTGCGTGGAGGAACAAAAGGAAAGGGATCAGAAGGAGAAGGAGGTGCCCCGGCATCGCCATAGGATGATGGTTGAGGGTTTATCGACAACTGAGACAACCCCCCTATAAATAACTAGTTGGTGGTTTCAAACATGAATGGATTATTTTCCATCATATATGGGATGTCATCCGAAACCCATTGACGAACTCCATCATTTTTCAGAGGGGTAGGTCAACCACCAACCAGTGATCTATTGAATTCATATGGATTAATTTTCCATGACAATTTCCCCAAAAAATCCATCAACTAATATTTACCAGACAAGTTCTTTTTTGGTTGATGAATTTGGTTTGTGATTTTCTGAGCGGTCTCTGTCAGGTGGTCCGCGAGCGCTTGTTGGAGCTACGCGTGCAGACGAAGGGCCTCAAGGTGCGGAAAAAGAGACGACTGGAACTGGAACTGAAGTTGGTCACTGTTTGGGTTTGTTTCAGATGGATTTTCCACGTTGAAAATGGGAAAAAGCCACCATGACTGGTTGTTGAAGATGGATTTTTTGATGTTCAACATGGGAAAAATCCATGAAAATCCACCATTGATAGGGGAATCTTTTTTGGGAAGATGCTTTTTTTTTTCCAATTTTTGGATCCCTTTAACAGTTAGCAAATCCATAAAACTGTTTTGCGGCAACATATGGACGATTTAGCCATCTTTCTGGAAATGATGCTGAAATTGCTGGGTTTTTCACCAGCGTTTGATGTTGGAAGTTCCGCTCAACATAACCTGGCGAAAAGATGTGAAAAGTAGCTGCGAGTAGCACCCGTTGTTCCGTTACTTTAAGTACTTATCGATGGGGTTTTGTAAATGCTGTACCCCCCACTAAATGGCCATTGAAGAATGGCAAAGTGATGATAAAGCACTGGATTTTTTGGAGTACACCATTTTCAGACAAACACAATTATAGAATGTTACAGACTCTATTTCAGGATACAGTGAATGAGTTGGAGGGGCGAAGAACTACTTGCGAAGCACTGGTTCGCAATGTCAGAAACAGATAAGTCGTTTTTACATAGCAAAGAGTCCACAGTTACTGTACCCCTTTTTCTTTCTTGTGTTGGTTGAAATAGCAACACCATTTTTGTGGCAGAATTTTGAAGGATAGGGGAGCCACATCAGCCAATTGAACTCAGCTAGTCCTGATTTTTTTTGAAGAGAAACTCAGAAAAGTTCTACCCTCTGGTGAACGAACAGTTCGGAAAAATGGAAAATGGCCATGGGTCATAGGAAAATCATCTACTATCATAGGTCATTTGCATTCATTTTCCATCGCTATCTTTAGATTACCAGAGGGTAAATTATATCAGTGACTGTCATGATGTGGTATGTCAAACCACCAGAGAGTATATTTCTGAAATCGGAGAACATCGGGTTAGACCGGCCCCCAAAATCTCCAGGAGCAGCTTGCAGCGGAGCGAGCAAGAAACCAGCAGCTTGAGGCGCGGGCCCGCGGGCCCTGGCAATCCCATGGTCTCCCCGAAACGCCTGGGGCTTCCTGATCCCAGGTGGGTCTCGTAGAGGCTCGGCGTGTCCAGGAGGCACAGGGGCCGGGGCTCAGGATGGGTCGCCGTGGGCTGTTGTTTTTCAGCGGAGGCTTTTCGACCACGAGCAGATGGTGGATTTCATGGGATTTCATGGGATTTCATGGGATTGCCATGGGCTTTGATGGGATGTTACGTGGATTTAACATGATTTAACTTGATTTAACCATCACCAAGAATTTGGTTTACATGGATCTGTGAATGGATGATTTTTGCCTTCAATTTATGGCAATATTCGTGGGGAAAACCATGATGAAGCATCAAATTACTGGAGAAACGATATTCTCAGACAGACCCATATGGGGAGTTCACGATGAAAAAGAGGGATAAAAACGATGCAGGATTGTTTTTCATGGTTTCATTTTTAGAATTTTCATAGGGGATCTCTTTGCCGACCCGGAAAAGTTTTTCCAGAGTTTACAAGTGTGTAAGATCACGGGAACATAGATGATTTTCATGATTTCCCATTGTTGTTCTATAGATTTTCTAAGACTAGTCTTAGGATTTTGTGATGTTCATCTACCCTCTGGCAAACTAACGCAGCTATTGAAAATGGCCATATAAAAAGTTGATTTACCCATTAAAGATTCTGATGTTCCATAGTTTTTTGTAGTGTAATCATCAAACATATTCAAAAATCATCAAACAAATATCAATCATCAAAAAAAAATCAACCATCATCAACCATCATTTACCCTCTGGTAATTTAACGTAGCTATTGAAAATGGTGATTTATAGTGGATTTTCCCATTAAAAATTGTGATTGTCCATAGCTATGTTAAATTACCAGAGGGTATCAACTGCTCCATTGGATTTTCCATGGGGATTTCGTCTTCAAAAACTGGGGCCCCAGACCTCGGGAGTTTCTCGAGGAGCAGCTGAAGCGTTTGCAGCTGCTCGGTGAAGAAGCTGCCGAGGCGGATGCGGAGGAAGAAATGATGGGTCCCTTAACCATAGGAAAACCATAGGAAAACCATAGGAAAACCATAGGAAAACCATAGGAAAACCATAGGAAAACCATAGGAAAACCATAGGAACACCATAGGAAAACCATAGGAAAACCATAGGAAAACCATAGGAAAACCATAGGAAAACCATAGGAAAACCATAGGAAAACCATAGGAACACCATAGGAAAACCATAGGAAAACCATAGGAACACCATAGGAAAACCATAGGAAAACCTATATATAGCCTATAGCTATAATCCATTTATAGAAGGTCTGGTTATTTCGCTGGTCAATCGACTGGATGGGTAGAAACTAATCCTGCATAGTCTTTTGGCATGGGATGATCTACGTTCACCAGCTCAGAATTTGTCATTTTTTGCAGGTTAGCTAAGATTGGCCATGAATAAATGGAGGAAACAACATGAAAACACATGGAAGTTAATGGGATTTACAATAGGATTATACTGGGATTATAATGGAATTATAATGGGAAAATATAGGACTCCATCCACTAGCGATGGAGGTTTTAACGTTTTTGTTTGTTGGGAATATCAAACACTCAATGGCTTGGATTGTTGTTCAAACACTTGGATTACTTGGATCAATGGGAATTTCAGGATCCTAAAATGGAGGTACTCGTACGTTAGTACCATATTTCTGGCCTTATTTTCTGGGGATATTCCCTTACATAGGCCTAAAAAATAGGCCTTATATATGGTAGCTACCTCCAATCAATCGGTTCCTGGCCAGCATGGCCATTGATATAATGATTTTTCATGGGAAAACCATAGGAACATCCAAGAGCAATGGAGATTTTCAATGGGATTTTTTCATGGGTTAGTGGATAATTAAAATGGATTGAAAACCCATGGAATCCATTGAATCCGGATGAATATTATTGATGAATATTAATTAACCATTCATGGAATCCATTTTCACGAATATTCCATTAATTAAAAATGGATTGAATATTCGTGGGATAATGGAAGATGAATGGGATTGTCACTCAACATTTCATACATGTCTTTGGATTTGCTGAGTAAATTTCTTAATTTTATTTGCCCACTGGGAAATCCAAAAAACTTGGGGAATCTATAAGAACGACTTTTTTGGGTAAGCAAATCCAAGTGGTGCCCCAGTTCGTTAACGATGTTGGCGAGCATAACTCGTCATAGATCCAATTTCACCGTAGGGTTTATGATAGATATATCATACGTATATATATATATATCGCACTGTTAATGGCAGTTCTAAACCAATTCCCATTCTTATCCCATCACACTTCTAGTATTATTTATCATCCCATTATACAATCCATGCAAAAAGCCCATGAAATCCCTATTGAGTCCCAAGCCACGGCTTTTTCTCCAGGCGGCTGGCTTGAAGCAGCGCGTACTGTCGTTGGAAAGCTGCCAGCATACCATGGGCGAGTGCCTCAAGGACCGCCCCGTGGTGTCGTGGAAACGCCACGTGGCCAAAATGGCTGGATTTTGCTGGGATTTTTGGGGATTTCATTGGTGATTCTAGAGAAAAAAACATGAAACACCTGTGCTTTGGGGTTGATGAAATTTAGAGTAACGGAGCAACGTTGACATGGAGATTCTTCTTGGATTTTGGTGAGCCATGAAAATTTCCTGAGAAATAGAGTGATTTCCCTAGAAATGAATCCTTTGGTGGATGATCTTCTGCAAAACTTGGATCTGGAGAACTATCAAAATGGCTGGCTGTCCAGGAGATTCAGGTCTAGCCAGTCTAGCCCAAAATCAACATCCACTGGTTGGGAAAACCCATGGTTCCGGAGATTTTTCGGAAGCCATTTTCAAAGATTCGAGAACATCAACATTTTTCAACCAGAGAGGCACCTAGTTGAGTATCCCGTGTTTCCCCATTTTCGGAGCTCCAGGAATATCAAGAAAGAGCGCGGGAGGCGAAGGAGGAGGAGCAGCACGCCAAGGACCAGGTGCCCAGATTCGATGGTCATCAATGCATTTTCATAGGGATTTCGATGGGGGTTTCCATATTTCATGGGGGATCCCCAACAGCTGGTTGGTTTATTTCATGGAAGATCCATCTATGGATGAACAGGGGTACCCTGAGGAAACCTCGGAAAGCTCCATAAGCCCAGCTTCGAGGGATTGCCGAACTCCGTGGCTTTCCGAGATGTTGTCAACAAAACCAAGCCGGTGACCACCCAAAATGATGGAATCCTGAAGGCGAATACCTGCTAAGATGTCGTTTGGCTGGCTTAGATCTGCATGTTTCAAGACTATTTTGGTGTTTTATGTTCCCTCTCAATCCCATTTGTCAACATTTTCAAACATTTTTCCATATCTCAACAATCATCATTCTTAAATCCATCTATCTATCTATCTATCTACCTATCTATCTACTGTAATCTAGTCTAGTCTAGTCTAATCTAATCTAATCTAATCTAATCTGATCTAACTATCTATCTATCTATCTAATCTACCTATCTAAATATCAATCCTATGGTTTTCTCGTTGTTTCCCTCCCTACTCCAGGACTTCCCGCCAGGTCAGGAGATTAGCCGAGACCCTGGCGCTGGAGAGGCGAAGCAGGAACTGAAGGTGCGGACTGGGACTCGGTTGGATCTCTTCAGATCAGGGTTTTAGCCCACAGGGCCATGGGAAATCCCTAGGAAATCCCTAGGAAATCCCTAGGAAATCCATATACAACCATATACAACCCATATTTCATCCCATAGATAAGTGGGGATATTTCATTCTGACTGGGGGGGTTGTCAAGAAAGCCATGGATTGAATGGGGCTATCATGGCATTATCATGGGACTATCATGGGATTATCATGGGATTATCATGGGATTATGATACCGTATATAATTGTGGGATTTATATCATGGGATTATCATGGGATTCTAATGGGATTTTTGCACATGATTTAACCACCAACAATAAAGATTTAAGCTGAAAATTGGTGGTTTGTTTGAAAAAACATGGGATAACCAAGGACTTGATGGGATATAAACATGGGGACATGAATGGTGATATAACCAACTATATAATTCCAATTTTTTGGGATCTCTGAACATGTTTAGTATATCCCCAATTCTGGCTATGAACACTTGTATTTGCTGCAGATGAGTTTTTATTTTCTAAATGGAACATCCACTACTGAATCATCATAGGGAATAGTCTTGATTGTTTCATATTGAATCATCATAGGGAACAGTCTTGATTCTTTGGGCTTCCAATTTAGTAAATCCAAATTTTAATATGTTTTAATATGGAAATGATGATTCACCCGTGGATTTATTTGGCCATGAATTTTCGACTGGGTCCAGTTCGCCATGACCCGTGCTCGATTCGATGGGTGAACCACCAGCCAAGAGATTTTTTTGAGCTGGTGGGGGATGATATGGGATGATTTTGAGCCAACAAAAGGTGGGATTGAAGAAATAAATAACCAATGTGGGATCCTAACGGTGCTGGTATATATGGTGACATGGATCCCATCAATATACCCCCTTTATGTTAGCATATATACCAGCACCATGGATCCTATGGGTAATGGATACTGGTTGGTGGTTTGGACGATTTTTTATTTTTCCATTCAGTTGGGAATAGTAACCCCAACTGACGAACTCATATTTTTCAGAGGGGTAGGTCAACCACCAACCAGGATATCAATGGGATATGTTGATACACTGGGATGAGGAAGGATTTATGTAAATGATTTAAGCATCAGAAATTAGGGGTTTGAACAATAGCATACAAGGGTTTGAACCATCAAATGTATTGGTAAGTCAATTATAAACAGGTAGTAACTCACCAATATATTATTGTATTTTCTTTCTAGTGGAGAGTTTACTTCCAAATGTCCAAGGTTCTTGGAAATCTGTCCAGATTTTCAGGAGGGTTTAAATCTGGGGTTGTTACCATGTACCAAATTTCTCCACTCATTTCTTCATCCGTTTCCGCGATAGGTCTTCGATAGCTGGGACCTGACGCGAGGTAACGATTGTTTACGTGGCTATGGCTCAAACTGATGAAAGAACCTGATGAAATTTGCATGGTTAAACACGAGGATTCCACTTTGACATATTTGAGCTGTAGCCAAGTGTCGGTTGGATTTGCCCACCGATTTGATTTTAGGTTTCCATTTGAAAGCTGAAAATGCATTTCCTGGAACTGTCGTGGAGCAAGGGTTGTGGGTCCACATCCCTTGAGGATGGATTGTCAGCAGTGACACCACCATTTCTTCCTGCAGTTCCAGCCTGAAATTCGGCCAGATGCCAAAGAGGCCTTTTGTGGAGAAGTGTTTGGCCTCCGGCGCGATGCCGGAAATTCGGAATTCGCAAAGATTCGCGGCTGCTACTGTTGTTTGATTGTTGTTGCTGTCGCATGTTCCACGAAAGATTTGTGGAACATGTGGTAGCGATGCACATCAGCTGGTGTGGTCAAGTGATTTGAGCCAAAAAGAGCGGAATTGGGGCGCGGGTTTGGCATGCGAAAATTCACGAAATGGGGCAGACTGGGTGAAGGGAAACTTTGCAGTTTTTTTTTAAAAATGTTCGAGGATAAACAATGATTTACCCTCTGGTAAACATTTACATAACTATGGAAAACCACCATTTTGAATGGGAAAACTCACTATACATGGCCATTTTCTACAGCTTTTCGTATGTTGACCAGAGGGTACACCGGATTTTTTTCAAGCCATTGAACATTCGGATTTCCTCAAGAGGGGCACCCTTAGAATCTGATGCAACCAGAAGTGGATAAACACTGGCAGGATGCTGCGGGAAATCATTCTCTGGTCAACCGTGGCGAATGATAGGTGGGTATATTGTTGTTGTGTGCGATCAATGGGACAATGAACATCAATGAACTAATTGCTAAACAGGACTGTATGATACTGTGTAGTATGTGTGTTTTTTTTTCAGGAATCCAAGTTTAGCCAGTTTAGCCATGAATCGGAGTCTTGTTGGTGAAATCAAGTGGACTCAACCATCAAAAAACGCCGGTTTTTGGTGGATTTTGCTGGCGATGATCGCCAATTGGCTCCAAGTTCAGAGAAAAGTTTGAGCCAGGGCCTACCAGTGACTTGTACTCCGGTGAACACATGTTGCCATATGGAGAAATTGAGCATTCTTCCAACATTTGATCCATTTTGTGATTCAGATTTTCACAGCCATGTGAACCATACGAGTTGCAGACACTAGTTAACACAGCCAGTTTTGGGTTCTAGTTTGATTGGAAAGGGTGCCTTTTGCCCCACAGAAAAGGATGAAATTTCTGCATTTGTTGTGCTCTTCTGAATAGATTTCTGGAGGCTACGCATGGATCGCATGGCATGGATTTCCCTCCCAGTGGCATCGTTTCAAGTTTCGACCGAGCGCCATGGGTGCCCAAGTGAGTGAAAATTGCTGCGTCACTCGACGGGAGATCAGATGGGGATCGGGATGAAGGTAGCAATCACCACACGAAGCAAATCATAGGTGGAAGATCTATGACAATTCCCAGTTATATATGAATTATATGATTTATATATGTATATATATATAGAGCTGATATTTCAATGGATTATTAAGCACTTACGAATCCTGTGCACGTCCAAGAAGGACCTGATGGGCTGCACTCCAGGTTGGGCCTTAAAAAATGACCAACGCCTTAAATGTCACCAACCACCGGTGATGACGATTACATCATTCCCGGTTGTTTGGCAACGATCAAATGTTGTTTGGGGTGGGCCAAGAAAGGTGGTACCTGTCAACATGGCGAAGGTTTGACAGCACAGCTGACAGATCAAAGGTGAGGTGTGACATTGGGCCCCCAAGATAGAATGAAGTTGGTGTATAACATGTTACAACAAATGCAGTAACTATCAATATCAATATATATAACTCGGATTTACAGCGAACATATCTATATTCTATATTGAAATTGGGTTAAACACCAACAAACGCAACTGGCGGGCCCCACATTGTAGTTGTCCGGCCAGGTGCACACACACACAGACACATCAGGTGGCCAAGCTTATGAAGCAGGATGATTTCTTGGATTAAGCATATCTTATCTTGGATTATCCAGTCTTTTAGTGGCTTGGAATATCTTGAAAACAACTAAAAATCCTGACAGTTCAAGTGAACTAGTAAGTACATGGGAAAACATCCGAGATGGACGCCAGTTCGGAAATTTATATGCTGATCATGTGGCACTGTGACCAGACCTCTAGTTGTGAAATTTAAGCGCGCGGTTCACGCGCGCGAACGAGGCCCCGTTACAGCGCTTGATTGGATTGCTCCACTCACTCTCGGCTGCATGCCGCGAACGTTCAGTAGGGGATGAAATCTGTCAAGTCCAGTAAGTTTCTGCAGCTATTTCTGGTGGATACATCGCTACTGTAGATGGTCACATAAACCAACCTATAACTGGGGGAAACTGGGGCCCCCTTCCCGGAGTTCGTTTTTAGCCGAAAATTCGTCAATAGTTCAGCCGGGATTCTTGGGTCGTCTACCCTGGCAAGACGGGACACCTCTCCATCTATGGTCCAATGGTCCAATAGGGATTTTCCATCGACCCGTTGGAGGATCATCGTACAGAACGGTTCCATCATTGGCCCCGAACAGTCCTCCATGACAAATCGATTTTTTGAACGACAAGTGAAACATAGAGATACCAGGTTTCTACGTTCTAACCGTCTAACCCTCTGGTTATGTCAATAGCTATTGAAAATGGCCATCTATAGTGGATTTACCCATTAAACATGGTGATTTTCCATAGTTATGTTAAATTACCAGAGGGTAACCCACTTAATTGGATGTTGCCAGACTTAGCGAAGTGGCTTGGTGGGGTATTTATCCCAATAGACCCCAGCTTTTTTCAGGGGACAAAAGCCATTTACTCAGCAAAGCCCATGCCATAAACCTACACTGGGGATGTTTTGAATACCACCATGGTGATTTTCGGGATGAATGATGACATTGGGTGAAAATCACATTAAGCACTTTAGAAACCACATCTCATCCCCAACCTTGGCAACCTTGGATGGGTAGTTTAATACTTTATATATATATATATTTGCTATAAACGGAAAACCAGCAGACCAGCAAAAGATGACGTTTTCTTTTTTTTGGACTATCAAAGATTGACCATGATTATCATTGAGAATTAAAGTTGAATTAATATTCGATCAATGTGGGAAGCCTGGCTGCCATAAACCTACCATGGGGACCACACCAAAAAGCCCGGTTTCAATCCCGCCAAGGGTCCACGAGAAAAGGACAGCGTAGGGGGCCCCTTGGGGCGGTGGCTGGGGTCCAATGATGTTTTTCAGTTTTTTCATGATGTTTCTCAGGGTCTACTTGGACATGGGGTTGTTCAACCTCAAAAAAAGTGGGAATTTCATGGGATATTCGTGGGATAATGATTCGGTAATGGGGATAAAACAGGACATAGAACCAACTATTGTCCAATTTGGGTGTGTCTGAAACTGGGGTATAGCCCCAAAAGGGAACGTTGTGATAAACCATCACATTTGGGCGGACAGTTTTTTCGGACATACTCATTCTAATTGGTGGTTCGGAACATTTGGATTATGACTTTCCATTCAATTGGGAATGTCATCATCCCAACTGACTTTCACTCCATCATTTTTCAGAGGGGTTGGTTGGTCAACCACCAACCAGTCATAGTTGTATTCCATAGATGGGATAACCTCATAGATAATCCCAAGTGACGAAATTTTCAGAGGGGTACTCGTAGGTTGGTCAACCACCAGCCAGACATAGATAACATATACATATCTACAATCTAATATGATCTATATCATATATGTATATATATATATATATTGGGAATAATCATCCCAAGTGACTTTCATATTTTTCAAGATGGTTAAAACCACCAATTGGTACCCCGTGTGATTTTTGCACCAGGGGCCCAGGGAATGGGATTTGCACCCTAAGTCGGTGAAGTTTGTTGCAGGATATTCTCTGGTTAACAGTTTGCGAACTGGAACATCACTATTTTTATAGGTAAATCATGGAACTAAATGGGCCATTTTCCATTATTCATCCATTTTCCATAGCTTTTTGTATGTTTACCAGGCCGGGTATAACTGGATAGGCCTTGATTGAAGTGGACTGAAGCTGTAGATTCCTGGCCATCTTCAAAGGTTCCGAAGATTTTCCACAGAAAAACTGGTCATTTCATGGTTAAAAAACATAGGGTGGTGTCATAAACACTCCTTAAATCAATGGCCTAAATTTCAGGGAATATCCCCAGAAAATATGGCCAGAAATATGGTACTAACGTACCTCCAATTTAGGATCCTGAAATTCCCATTGATTAAACGGGTGTTTCTGAAAATTGGAGTAGCCCTCTTGACCGTTGCGGCATATTGAAACATGACCATAATCGCTACTCTTAGTATTGGACTATCATCCAAGTGAATATGGTCACAGTCAATAAACCATAATGAAGCCACTTAGTAACACTAATGGGAACTGTTAATCAACTTTTTTTTTGTCACACGAACACACCAATTAGTGACAATTAGAATGCATAATTCAACTGTTACCATCTGGTAAACTAACACAACTATGGAAAATCACAATTTTTAATCGGTAAAGGGTAAATCAACTATTTCTATGGCCATTTTCAATAGCAAACTGTTAGTTTACCAGAGGGTACTGACCATAATAATGACCTGGTTGATGTTAACTTGGGCCCAGCCTTTTTGACGTAGAACTCGCCGGGTGAGTTCTTAGGCTGGGCGGTACTTAGAAGCGCCGCCCAGGGCGGCCAGCCGATATCTCACGGAGACCGGGGGAGAACACTTCTGTGTTGTCCATGGGTAAAGACCATGGATCTGTCCTTGCCAAATATGGTAAGTCCGAGGTGACACCTGGATGTTTATCATGTTAGCCTCCAGACATATGAAGGTATGGCAATACTTATATGAATCATTGGCAAATCCATTTTGGTTTACCTGGTGAAAGGCAGGTGCACGGTTATGTCTTGCCTCTAAACTTTGCAAATCGAGGCCAAGAATGGACACATATTTCATATACCTCAAACAACATACGATAAAAATATATGTTTCTTTCTCTGGGCAGCTAAGGGCAACCAGGCCACATAGCCAATCAACAATTATTTTTATAGCAGAACTTCTTAGAACTCGTGGGCACTGTCGGAACTTGCAGGTATTGAGGCCAAGTTCTGAGCCTAAGTAATGGCATTTTCGGGGTGAGACAACGGGATTCCATGACTTAAGAAACCTACCCTTGATATATTCCCCTTATTCCCCCTATATTTAAACGTGAAGCCTGGGAGTTCTTGATGTTCAACGCCATGTTTTACTCGATGACCACGACTCCAAATCCCCTTCTGGACAGCAGCTTACCGAACTCGGTGAGGAGGCGCTGACCTATAGCGAGAAAGCTTTGAAGAGAAGTTGCCGGGGGACCTCAGATGGATGTCTTTTGGTGCTGGAAGTCTCCCAGTTCTGGTGGATTTGGGGATGGATCAAGTCACGAATTTTGTCTGGGGGAATTTTAGCATCCATTTACCAGCGAAAATATAGGGGACCATGCGGGTACCAGTTTTGATCTGTTTTCATAGCACCATTTAGCCTGCCCAAAAATACAACAGTTGGAGCCTAAACATTTTGGAGGAGGTTAAACGGTTAAACCAACCAGAACTTGGTATACCAAAATTTGGGTCTGAAACAAATTGTATACCCCCAAATAGCCAATTTAATAGGGGAACATGATGATACACCAATGGATATGGACAACCCTATTTCCAGACAAAGCCTATTGTAGTGTTTATTTGGTGGAAACTAATCTTCCAAACCCCCAAGAAGTGGCAGTGTCTACATATGTTAACTTGGGGAGAGGGTATGTTCAATGGGAATTTCAGGATCCTGAAATGGAAGTACTGTACCATATAAGGCTATATTTTCTGGGGATATTCCCTTACATAGGCCTAAAAAATAGGCCTTATATATGGTAGGTACCTCCAATGAATCGGATCCTGAAATTCCCATTGATATGTTTATGTCTGGTAAGATGGACTTCGCATGACTTGGACATAAAACACGGTGATTTTTACGGGATATGAATGGGGATATTTTATGGGATGTATAGCCAACCAACAGTTGGATGGGCCGATGGGCCTCCCAACAATTGGTTTGTAACAAACAAAGAATGGGGATACAATTGGATATGATATACCCTCTGGGAAACTGTTGCAACTGTTACACTTTGCGAACTGGAACATGGCCCAGTCGAAATAGTTGATTTACCTCTTAAAAGTGGTGGATCTTTCCATAGTTTACAGACAAAAAAGTCACTAAAAATTGTGATTTACCCATTAAACATGGTGATTTTCCATAGTTTTCCATAGTTTTTCCAATGTTTTCCATAGTTTTTCCATAGTTTTCCAATGTTTTCCATAGTTTTTCCATAGTTTTCCAATGTTTTCCATAGTTTTTCCATAGTTTTCCAATGTTTTCCATAGTTTTTCCATAGTTTTCCAATGTTTTCCATAGTTTTTCCATAGTTTTTTGTCAACGTTTACCAGGCCGGGTACTACAAAAAATGTAGGTTTCTAGCTGGGACATCATCAATGTATGGCTGGGGGCTTTTCCAGCCATGGTTGATGAATGATTGGGTCGTTCCCTGAAAATAGTGATCATCGGAGATGGGAATTCCAAAAAGGATCCAATTGATGGAGGTACGTAAACGTACCATATTTCTGGCCATATTTTTTTGGGATCTTCCCTTACATAGGCCTGAAAAATAGGCCTTATATATGGTAGGTACCTCCAATTTAGGTTCCTGAAATGGCCATTGATCATCGGAGACGGCAATAGTAAACCAATTCCACGCTAAATCGGGTGCGTAAATCATCGGGGTTTTGGGACGTTTCAACCACATTCAGACTATTTCAGATATATGTCAGCCCCATTTTAGACGTCTTTTTCCAATGTTTCAGTCTGTTTTTCCTACATTCACGTATACATTTCCCATATGCGAACCATGGTGCTGGTATATTTACCTACAAAACTGGGTGATTTTGGACAAGGGCAAATGTTGGGATTCATATTCCAGCACCATGGAGCATATGGGGTTCATACATTCACCTTCATTCGCCCCCCGATTTCGACGCTATAGGCTGCCGCTACGGCGACGGCTGCCAGCGGGCGAACCCCGTGCACTTCGTGGAGGAATCCCACCCCGGAGATCCGGACTACGAGGCGAGCCGCCAGGGATGAGACCGTCATATTTTTCTAGCTGAGCTGGGAATATATTAAGATATTATATATATAATATGTATAATATGTATTAATTGATATTTGTATTTGTATTTACATGTATTTACTTTATTTAGATACCAGTAGTACCCGCACGAGGCGGGGCGGAAGTTGCCTTAAAGATATATATAAGACCTTTCTCATCTATAGAACTTGCATGCGCCGTGCGCCAGCCAAGCCCGTGCGTGCGTGCACTCTGCGAAAGTGGTGTCCTGTTTCACATGTCACATTTGAAGCTCCACTTCGCACTTCACACTTCTCACTGCACTCTTCACACTCTTCACACTCCACACTTCACACTGCACGCTTCCCACTGCACACTCCACACTTCACACTCCACACTCCACACTTCACACTTCCCAGTCCACACTTCACACTTCACACTCCACACTTCACACTTCACACTCCAGACTTCACACTTCACACTCCACGCTTCACACTGCACTCTTCTTGCCCCACACTTCACACTCCACACTTCATCTCATCTGAGCTCTTCTCACCTTATCCCAGCTCATCTCTTCTCATCTCATCTCTTCTCATATGTCACATAAGCTTTCATGAATCACTTCCCAGTACTACTACTAAGGAACTTGCATGCGCCGTGCGCCAGCCAGGCCCGTGCGTGCGTGCTTTGTGCGAAGCTGTTGCAGTGTTGCTGTCCAAGAACATGACCTGCGCGCGACCCCGGTACAATGCAAACACTTTCCTCACACTTCACATTGCACTCTTCACACCCCACACTCCACACTTCACACTTGCACTTCATCTCAACTCATCTCATCTGAGCTCTTCTCATCTCATTCCATGTCTTCCCATATGTCAGCTAAGTTCTTCTTGGCTATTTTTATGTCAAGTACTTCCCAGTACTGATGTCTACTACAAAAGCTTGCAAAAACCACTTCCCAGCACTACTTTGTACTACAAAGCTTGCACAAAACACTTCCCAGTACTACTTTGTACTACAAAGCTTGCACAAAGCACTCCCCAGTACTACTTTGTACTACAAAGCTTGCACACGCTACTTCCTAGTACTACTTTGTACTACAAAGCTTGCACAAAACACGTTCCAGTACTACTTTGTACTACAAAGCTTCTACACACATCAAATTCTTTCGCAGAGAAGCTTTTACACACAGCAAGCTTTTCAAGCAAAGAAGCTTTTACACACAGAAGCTTTTACACACAACAAGCTTCTTCACAGAGAAGCTTTCACACACAGCAAGCGTTTACACACAGAACACTTACACACAGTGCTTTTACACATGGCAAGCGTTTACACACAGAAACTTTTGCACAGAGACGCTTTTACACACAGAGAGGCTTTTACACACAGCAAGCTTTTACACGCAAAATCTTTTTCACACAGCAAGCTTTCAAACACAGCAAGCGTTTACACACAGAACACTTACACACAGTGCTTTTACACATGGCAAGCGTTTACACACACAGCAAGCTTTTTAAACAGAGAAGCTTTTACACACAACAAGCTTTTACACAGAGAAGCTTTACACAGCAAGCTTTCACACACAGCAAGCTTCTTCACAGAGAAGCTTTTACACACAGCAAGCTTTCACACACAGCAAGCGTTTACACACAGAACACTTACACACAGTGCTTTTACACATGGCAAGCGTTTACACACACAGCAAGCTTTTTAAACAGAGAAGCTTTTACACACAACAAGCTTTTACACAGAGAAGCTTTTACACACAGCAAGCTTTCACACACAGCAAGCGTTTACACACAGAACACTTACGCACAGTGCTTTTACACATGGCAAGCGTTTACACACACAGAAACTTTTACACAGAGACGCTTTTACACACGAAGCTTTTACACACAGCAAGCTTTTACAGAAAAAGTTTTTGCACAGAGAAGCTTTCTTGTACATAATCACAACAGGAATTGCAGCTCCAAAACTGGATCTCGACGCCAAAGCGACAAAAAGACGATTTTGAAGCACTTTTTAAAAGGATTTTTAAAAGGAAAATTATTAGCGCCAAAATTGGAAAATCTGCTGACAAATCACTTTCGCAGCCTTGATGCAGCCATTCCAATACGATTTACGATGTTCAGCTGCAAAAGACAATAGTATTACGCATGCAGCCGCTGCACCAAGCAACCTTGACGCAGCCACTACAATGCGATCTGCAGAGACTGAGTTGCAAAACACAATAGAACTACGTGCAATGGCGTCGGAAATTGCAGCTCCAAAACCGGATCTCGACGCCAAAGCGACAAAAAGACGATTTTGAAGCACTTTTTAAAAGGAATTTTAAAAGGAAAATTATTAGCGCCAAAATTGAGAAAATCTGCTGACAATTCACTTTCGCAGCCTTGATGCAGCCATTCCAATACGATTTACGATCTTCAGCTGCAAAAGACAATAGTATTACGCATGCAGCCGCAGCACCGAGCAACCTTGACGCACCCACTACAATGCGATCTGCAGAGACTGAGTTGGAAAGCACAAAAGAACTGCCCGCAACGGTGTCGGAAATTGCAGCTCCAAAACCGGATCTCGACGCCAAAGCGACAAAAAAGACGATTTTGAAGCACTTTTTAAAAGGAATTTTAAAAGGAAAATTACTAGCGCCAAAATTGAGAAAATCTGCTGACAATTCACTTTCGCAGCCTTGATGCAGCCATTCCAATACGATTTACGATCTTCAGCTGCAAAAGACAATAGTATTACGCATGCAGCCGTAGCACCGAGCAACCTTGACGCAGCCACTACAATGCGTTTCGCAGCATCCCGTGGCAAACCTACACCTATCTACGCACGTGGCAACACCAAATGACAACAATCATGCAGCCATTCCAATGCGATCTGCAACCACAGCTCCAAGAACCGCATAGAACTACGCACACAGGAACAACCACTCGTTGCAAAACACATAGGAGGAACAATTCGCGCATGAAACGGCCCCAGCCGCACCCGCCGCCAGACGAGGTACCTTTCATCGCCGGCTGCAGCCGCCTTACACGCAAAAACACAGTTTGTCTCCGGCTTCCTCCCCAAAACATAGCCATGCCACATCATGCAGGCCATTTCCAATGCGTCATTTCTGCAACCAGAGATCAAGAACCGAAATAGAACTTACGCACACAGGAACAACCACTCGCGCAAACCTAGGAGGAACCATTGCGCATGAAAGGGCCCCAGCGCAACCCGCCGCACAGACGAGGTACCTTTCTTCGCCGGCTGCAGCCACTTTACACGCAAAAACGCAAGGTTTCGTGCTCCGGCTTCCTCCTCAAAACATAGCCCATGCAACATTCATGCAGCCATTCCAATGCGATCATGCAACCACAGCTTCAAGAACCGCATAGAACTACGCACACCGGAACAACCACTCGTTGCTAAACACATAGGAGGAACAATTCGCGCATGAAACGACCCCAGCCGCACCCGCCGCACAGACGAGGTACCTTTCATCGCCGGCTGCAGCCACTTTACACGGAAAAACACAAGGTTTCGTGCTCCGGCTTCCTCCCCAAAACATATCCCATGCAACATTCATGCAGCCATTCCAATGCGATCATGCACCAGAGATTCAAGAACCGCATAGAACTACGCACACAGGAACAACCACTCGTTGCAAAACACATAGGAGGAACAATTCGCGCATGAAACGACCCCAGCCGCGCCCGCCGCACAGACGAGGTACCTTTCTTCGCCGGCTGCAGCCACTTTACACGGAAAAACACAAGGTTTCGTGCTCCGGCTTCCCCCCCAAAACATAACCCATGCAACATTTATGCAGCCATTCCAATGCGATCATGCAACCAGAGATTCAAGCATAGAACTACGCACACACGAACAACCACTCGTTGCAAAACACATAGGAGGAACAATTCGCGCATGAAACGACCCCAGCCGCACCCGCCGCACAGACGAGGTACCTTTCATCGCCGGCTGCAACCACTTTACACGGAAAAACACAAGGTTTCGTGCTCCGGCTTCCTCCCCAAAACATATCCCATGCAACATTCATGCAGCCATTCCAATGCGATCATGCAACCAGAGATTCAAGAACCGCATAGAACTACGCACACAGGAACAACCACTCGTTGCAAAACACATAGGAGGAACAATTCGCGCATGAAACGACCCCAGCCGCACCCGCCGCACAGACGAGGTACCTTTCATCGCCGCCTACAGCCACTTTACACGGAAAAACACAAGGTTTGTGCTCCGGCATTCCTCCCCAAAACATAATTCCCATGCAAAATTCATGCAGGCCATGCCAATGCGATCATGCAACCAGAGATTCCGAAAAACGCATAGCCCTACGCAAACAGGAACAACCACTCGTGCAAAAAACAGGAGAACAATATCGCGCATGAAACCACCCCAGCCGCACCGCGACACAGACGAGGTAACCTTTCTTAGCAGGCTGCAAACACTGTACACGTACCCACCCAAGGGTTCGTGCTTCGGCGTCCTCCCCAAAACATATCACATCAACATCATGCAGCCTTTCAAATGCGATCATGGCAACCAGAGATTCAGGAAACACGCCATAGACCTACGCAACCACAGGAACAACCATCGTTGCAAAACACATAGGAGGAACCATTCGCGCATTAAACGACCGCAGCCGCACCCGTCGCACACACGAGGTAGCTTTCATCGCCGCCTGCAGCCACTTTACACGGAAAAACACACGGTTTCGTGCTCCGGCTTCCTCCCCAAGACATAGCCCAAGCAACATCATGCAGCCATTCCAATGCGATCTGCCACCACAGCTTCAAGAAACGCATAGAACTACGCACGGAACAACCACTCGTTGCAAAACACATAGGAGGAACAATTCGCGCATGAAACGACCCCAGCCGCACCCGTCGCACACACGAGGTACCTTTCATCGTCGCCTGCAGCCACTTTACACGGAAAAACACAAGGTTTCGTGCTCCGGCTTCCTCCCCAAAACATAGCCCATGCAACATCATGCAGCCATTCCAATGCGATCTGCAACCACAGCTTCAAGAAACGATAGAACTACGCACACAGGAACAACCACTCGTTGCAAAACACATAGGAGGAACAATTCGCGCATGAAACGACCCCAGCCGCACCCGTCGCACACACGAGGTACCTTTCATCGTCGCCTGCAGCCACTTTACACGGAAAAACACAAGGTTTCGTGCTCCGGCTTCCTCCCCAAAACATAGCCCATGCAACATTCATGCAGCCATTACAATGCAATCTGCAACCAGAGATTCAAGAAACGCATAGAACTACACACACAGGAACCATCATTGTTGCAAAACACATAGAAGGAACCAAACGACCCCAGCCGCACCCGTCGCACACACGAGGTACCTTTCATCGTCGCCTGCAGCCACTTTACACGGAAAAACACAAGGTTTCGTGCTCCAGCTTCCTCCCCAACACAAAGCCCATGCAGCCATTCCAATGCGCACCACTTCCCTTCGTCACCACTTCCCTTCTTCACCACTTCCCTTCGTCACCACTCCCCTTCATCATCACTTCCCTTCGTCACCACTTCCCATCGTCACCACTTCCCTCCGTCACCACTTCCCTTCGTCACCACTTCCCATCGTCACCACTTCCCTTCGTCCACTTCCCATCGTCACCACTTCCCTTCGTCACCACTTCCCTTCGTCACCACTTCCCTTCGTCACCACTTCCCTTCGTCACCACTTCCCTTCGTCACCACTTCCCATCGTCACCACTTCCCTTCGTCACCACTTCCCTTCGTCACCACTTCCCTTCGTCACCACTTCCCTTCGTCACCACTTCCCATCGTCACCACTTCCCTTCGTCACCACCCCCCCCCGTCACCACTTCCCTTCGTCACCACTTCCCTTCGTCACCCTTCATGTACTCTCACACCACCCTTCATGTAAAGTCTCACACCACCCTTCATCAAGGTCAAGTCTCAATGTGATGTATTGTTATGTCATGTAAAGTCTCACACCACCCTTCATCAAGGTCAAGTCTCAATGTGATGTATTGTTATGTCATGAAAAGTCTCACACCACCCTTCATCAAGGTCAAGTCTCAATCGCGCACCACCCTTCATCATTTCAAGTCTCAGAATTCTATTTGTCCGTAACACGGAAGTATTGCTTCCCAACTTCCTTTGATAATTATGTATATATATATATGATATAACTATATATATATGATTTAATTATATATAATAATAATAATAATAATAAAAATAATAATAATAATAAAAAAAAATAATAATTATTATTTATACATACAGTATGTATACAGTATACATGTATATTTACATAAATGGGTGCCAGCATGGCTGCAAACCCGTGACGGAGATGAACGGAGGTAAAGCGCACAGCGGCAGTTGAACCAGAACACTTGGTAAATGGCAAGGTGCAACGAAGGTTGATGGCTAGGTTTTTTGTTGTCTATTATATGGTTTCTGGTAAATATCACTATAGTTAATGGGGATGATAAACCAACTACCCTCTGGTTATTTAACATAGCCATGGAAAGATCCACCCATTTTTAAGTTCGGTAAACCATCTATTTCTATGGGCCATGGTTTCCATGGCTATGTTAAATAACAAGATGGTTAGATTTTTTGTTGTCTATAGATTTTTTGTTGTCTATAATGCTTGAAATGGAGGTGTATACAATCTACAGCACTATCCTGTATCGAGAAATTTGCCATGAATCAACATGCCGAGAAAGAAAATTGACCCAATTTATCCCAAACATCTGTTAAGGAGTATATAATTATCCCAGTATTTCTCCATTAACCAATTGGTCCCATGGATGGTTGCGAAATCCTGTGCACCACCTGGGATGATTGAAACCCTATGAATAATGGGACAAAGTCACTATCAACTGGTGCAGGATTTTGCAACCATTCACAGTATGAGGATCATATTTTTAGGGTTAATCTGGGAATATTGAGATATGTTATCTTCATGAACCAATATTTCCCCATGAATCAATGAACATATCCCATTTTCCAAAAAATGTGCAACGACGGTCTCTGAGTTGTCGCCTTTGAGGCGGACGGGGCCGTAACAGTGCCTGTAGTGGCAGCTGGAGCTCTGCTACCTCGCAGGCTGGAGTGAAGCAAAAGAAAAGGATATGTAACTGAGTAATATGGTCGTAAGATTTTTCTAAGCCAAACTAGCTAAGAAACTGAGGCCCAATGCGGGCATTGGAATGGGGGCATTGTCTTGAATTAGGCTCAAGCACTCAACCGACTTAACACGGCTTCCAAAATGGGGGTTGCGCCGTTGGCGCCAGATCCTTGGAATCCTTGGAAGCAGGTCGAGACCATCGTCCAGTCCACCTTAGGTGAGGACGACTTGTTTGACCGTGAAATCTGCCTCAAAATCCTTGAGGATGTCGGTGGCCTGTCCGACGCCCGGGCTGTGCTGGAAGCTTATGGCCAAGAACCCAAGATCCGCATCAGGGATCTCCTGAGATTCATCAACGCTCCAGCGTGTGGCTTGTACAACAAAACTCTTAGTGGCATATGGCCCGGCATCGTCGACGTGGATGGTAGTTTAGTATCACAACTGCCAGAAAATCATTACCTGATCGTCACCGCCAAAGGCAACACTTATCACCTCAAGTGTCTGCCTGATAAAGGTGAGCTTAACGTAAGCCCCAATTTGGACTCGATAAACTGGAATCGCCGAGGGTGGAAGGCCATGGACAAGCCGGTGAAGATTGACGGCTGGTTCGTGAGACAGAAGGATATCGCCCCTCTCATTGGGCCAGAAGAGATAGAGAGAGCCATGAAGCCCAGAGACTTCTCACCTTGTCTTGTGGGGACCTATGGCCCAAAGCAATTACCGAAGAAGCCGGGGTCCCCCTATGACCACCCCTGGGTACCAATGTCGGAGGAATGCACGATTCAAAAGAATGGATCGGTTCAGTACCGTCCTAGTTACGTGAAATCTTTAGCATATTGTCATTTAACAGGAAAAATGAAAGAGTATGAGTATGGTCGACCAGAGAAGATGACGACATCGCAAGTGAAGTGTGTTCGCCGCAGCGACCAGTGGCCTCTGGTCTTGCATCCCGGCCCGGGCGCGCATATCGAAGCGCAATACCCGCCTCTATGTTTCATTGAACTCGAGGATGGGAAGACAATTGATCTTGCGAAAGCAGGTTTCACAGCAGGATCTGCGTTGCTGTCCTCCACAAGAATCTCCTACCATGGGCTCATAAAGGACGCCGAGGGCGTTGAGTGCATTGTGTCATTCCCGGGTCGCTATCCAGAGGGATGGCTTGAATGTGTGGAAGGCTCGCACGACATGAGCGTGGCGTGCGTGTTTCTGTGTGACAAAGACGATGGACTCGGAGATCACGCGCCTGAAGATGATTGTCAGAAGTGCTACTGCAAGGACATTTACGGCCTGTGTCCACCCAGAGCCGTGCCTGGAGAAACCACGGATTGCAGGAACTTTGAGGGCTTTGGATACAAAGACAAAGCAAAAACTCCTGAAGAGAACAAAGAAGAGTGTGACCGGAACGGCGGCCGTCCCAAGTGGGGCTGTGCCTGGTTCCAAAAGTGGCGTAAGAATGTGGAAACTGCTGTTAGCAGAAAACAGAAACTCATCGTGTACTTCTTCCCTGGACAAGTTGCACAGGGCCGTGTTAAATGGGAAGACCTGCCGACGGCTCAGCTCTGGGATGGCATAGGCCTTGGAGGCTCACAGAAAGGAGAAGTGGCCTACCTTGACAAGATGGGATACCCCTACGAGATGCGAGATGTGAGCAAATTTCTGGGTGAGTATGCGTCCCACTCGGTGAGAATCTTTTAACCTCTCCTGAGATTCACAACTGTTTAAAACAGGACATTTGCTTCCCAGGATGGTCTCATGATGTCTCATGTATCTAGAGTGGTTCTGCAATTCCGAACCCTCGCTTTCGGGCACACCGCGCCAATCGCGATTTTTCGACAAACAGACTTGCTTGGATCATGAGGGCAGCTTGCTCAATACAGAGATTACATGGCATGGACATGGGTTAAACTCCCTTGGGCAGCGATTTCAAGAATCTGTTAGGACGAATTCCAAATAGACTTTTCGGAATTTTCTCACAGTTTCCGACCTCAGAGCACGTCCAAGTACCCCCATAGCTATCATTTCGCGCATTGCGCTCGCTAGGCAGGACAGTTTCGATTGGATTCGACAAGCGAATGGGCCTGAGGAGAGACCGGGGGGTGGTCCCTGCACTAATTTCTGGGTCCCAAAAGAGGGGGGTTTTAGCAAAAGTTATGGAACTTGGGGGTGCAAAAGTTATGCTAGAAATTGCTATAACCATGGTTATTATCAATCCTGTAAGTCGGGATATAACCCCTATACCTATGCAGTTATATATCCACTTACAACTGGAACTGTGCTTCCAAGTAAGTATATGGGGAATGATGGAGACATACCCAGCAAAATACAGGGGTAAATTAGGAATATGATGGACATTTATCAAGATCATTTGGGGTTTTGGCCCAAGTGATAGCAATCTTGATGGTGGGTAGCGACATTTTCGACTGACCCACACGAGCGAGTGCAGCCACTAGTCAAGGCTTCCTCTATGTGATGCCTACACCTCAATGGCTGTATAAATCCTTTCACAAATAGAATCTACAGGACGGGCCCCCATAGTTAGCTAAGTTGGTTTATATCTATAATATTCTATGATAACAAATAGTGTATGATACTTGTATATTAAGATGGGGTTATAAACCAACTTGTAACTGGGGGACACCATCCTGTAGAAGTTGGGATATTGCAGATGCAACTGGGTTGTTGCAAGATGGTTACTGACATCTTTGGCAACACGTGGAGATGGTAAAAGCCTTCGGGGATAGGATCACATGGGATTCCCCTAACCCAGCAATGGAACAGATCCAATCCGAAGCCAGGGCACAAATGGTAAAGAAATGTAAAGCTCCTTACCTGGTTGGTGGTGACTGGAGCCATGGAATTTTATGACTTTCTAAGTGTTAGGAATAATAATCCCAACTGACGAACTCATATTTTTCAGAGGGGTTGAAACCACCAACCAGTTATTCTTAGGCATGGTGATCCCAATTTGAAGTAATGGAGCCAGCTGGTCACAGTGCCACCATCCGATTCGAGGATGGTGCTAAAGCCAGCCACAGAAGATAACACCTCAAACCATCTCATCGCAAACACAATTTCACCATGTTTCCGGGTACAGGCACCGTTCTTGTCAGACAAATCAGCATGTTTGTTGGATCAACCACGGCTTTTCCAGGAGAAATCCAATCTGGTTGGTGGCTTGGAACATGAATTTTATCACTTTCCACATATTGGGAATGTCATCATCCCAACTGACTCATATTTTTCAGAGGGGTTAGCAGCAACCACCAACAAAAGACCATGTTTGTTGGATCAACAAATTGGCTTTTCCAGGAGAAATCCAATGGATTTTTCTCGGATAAATCGGTGTTTTTTTCCCGAGTTTTTGGTGAAGCCACGAAGCCCCACCGGGGCACCTTGCTGCAGGACCGAATGCTTCGTGCTGGGACGGCCGCCTTGACGTTGAAGGTGGGTGGACGTGTACCCTCTGGTAAACTAACATGGCCATGGATTATCTATTATCCAGATAGTTAATTTACCATAGATTATCCATAGATTATCCCTAGATTAGATTATGGGACATATTATGGATAATCTATGGATAATCTATGGATTATGGCCCTAATCGAAATAGATGGTTTACCTATTAACAATGGTGATTTTCTATGGTTATGTTAAATTACCAGACAAAAACTCCCCAGTTTTGTGGACATTGGCCCTAATCACTAGGTCTAAATCGACTGGATGGGTAGAATTTCTCATCCTGAATAGCCTTTTGGTATGGGATGATCTACGTTAACATCTAACCAGCTAAGGCTTTGTCATTTTTTTGGCAGGGTATCTGGCTGATTGGAAATGATCAACTCACTTATACCCTCTGGTAAACTAACATAACCATGGAACAATCACCATTTTTAATGGGTAAACTAACTCAATAGCCATTTTCCATAGCTATATTAGTTTACCAGAGGGTAACTAGGGTTATAAGCCACTTACGAACTGGGATGGCCACCTTAAGTAGTTACCCATGCTTAGTAAGTCCCCATTTCGTGGGTTCTTCCATTTACTCTGAACTGACCCCACCAGCCACTTACGATTGGTGAGGTGATCCTCAAAAGCAGTTCTTGATGGGTTCCTCATGGGGTTCTAAAGTCAGCTAAACTAGTCGTATAGCCAACTTTTCTGGAAACATCCGAAATAACATTCTGAGTTATGTGGCTTTACAAAGTTTCAAACCAACTATATATATATATGCCAATTGGTCAACCAAAAAAACCCATCCAACATCATCCAGCATCATTTAACTCTAGATCTACCCAGCATTTTGCCGGTGAAACCCACACGTTGGACCCCCATTTTGGGTTGGTCCACTGGTGTCCACTGCGAGGCGTGTCGTGGCAACGGCTACCAGTTAGCCGAGGCGGTGGTTCCCTTGCGCCACATCGATGCCTTACTCCAAGGTCACGGCGACTGTGTGGCCCAGTGGATGATGGAACTTGTAAGGGTTAGCCCGAAATAGAATTATTGATCTATGTATAATAGTATAGCTATATATTTAATATAAATATATGGATATATATATATATAGTCTATAACTAGAAAAACTATAGGGTTGATGATATGTGATATATATATATATGTATCTGATTAGTAACACTAATGGGAACATAATCTAGCTATAGATTTATCTATAATCTAGTAACACTCATGGGAACTTTAAACCAACCTTTTTTTGTCACACGAACACACCAATTACTGACAATTAGAATGAATAATTCAACTGTTACCCTCTGGTAATTTAACATAACTATAGAACATCACCATGCTATTAATGGGTAAATCAACTATAAATGGTCATTTTCCATAGCTACGTTAGTTTACCAGAGGGTAATAGCACGTATAGTTATATATATATAAATGGATAGTGATAGGTAATATATATATATAGTATAATATAGTAATCTGCTGATATTCGAGAGAAATTTCGATTTTGCAGGTTGGTGAACTATGGCAATTGATCTAGATTCGATAGTATGATATATATATATATATCACATGGATGATTATATAATGATCTGATGAGCTGGTTGGTGGTTTCAGTTAAAAACGGATGTCACCACCACAGCAAGGGGAGTGATGATGACCCTCAAGTGAAGAGCACGGGAAAGCATGATAAATTTCACCCAGTCAAGAGTGGCCAAGTGCCATTTTAATCAATATTCAATGTTACAAACACGTGGTACTGGATGGTTGCGAACTCCTGCACCAGGTGGTGATGGGCAAAATTGTGAAAAATCCCCTGATAATCCCATTCTTTACAGTGTTTCATAGGAATCCCAATAGGTAAACGTAGTAAACATGGCGACACCAAACAGAAATCCGTGGAGATGTGGGTGATCCCGGCACCGGAATGTGAGGATTTGGGAGAAGTCTCCCAAAAATCCAAAAAAATGGTGGTTAAATGTGGTTAAGATATGTCAAGATCCCATAGTGGTTGGTGGTTTGGAACATGAATTTTATGACTTTCCATATATTGGGAATTTCATAATCCCAACTGACTTTCATATTTTTCAGAGGGGTTGAAACCACCAACCAGCATAGTTATAGTTCTAGTTATAGATATATTAAGATGCCGGCACATATATTCTAAGTTACCAAGACCCTGCCAGGCACGCAGATAGTGACCCTGGAAGAGGCGCCACCTGATTTTCCCAATGGCTGGATGGTTTCATGGAAAGTTCCATTCAAATGGATGATTTGGGGTACCCACATTGTTTGGACACCTCTACCTCTACATATATATATATAATATAATTATGTATATATAGTTATAGTAGATTTAAATTAAATATATATATATACACGTATGTATGTATATATATATGCACGTGTATGTGTGTGTCTATATATATGTATATATATATGTATATCTATCTATATATATATATGAGGCATCCAAATCCAAGCTTATGACATGGTGAATATGGAGGTTTCAAGTTGTTTTTCATGGTCAAAGGTGGCCATCATTGGCAAATCCCGGGACAAATTGGATGGGATTAATGTCAACCCTGGATGAATAAACCCCGTTTACGGCTGGTTAATTGGGGGGGTACCATAAAGAAGTATTGGATGAAATGACTATTGGAGGAGTACCCCCCTAATTTTCATAAACCATGGTTTAGCAAAATCCGGGGTTGACATTAATGAGATTCATTTGGGTCAAACTTGGATGGGGACTTTTGTCCAATTTCTATATTTTTGTTGCTGTAAATTTGGGATATTTCCCAACAAACGAGACATATAGTTAGTTTGCCGGGTGTCCAATATTGGGCGTGAATATAACGGGATTATATAATGTGATTATTGGGATATGCCAACCATAACGGGAACGTATAGGGATTTGAACTCCAACCTTAACACCTGAAAATTCGCCAAAACGTGGAACTCCCAAATTTATCCCAGCCAAAAGGGAAAGATACATGAAGACTCTGGCAAATCCTTGAAACCATCGTTAATCACACGAACCCACCATTTTTTATCATGATGTCATGGAAAATCATCATTTTTCATAGGTTTTCCCATGTTTTTCCATGGACAACTGACCATTTTTTGTGGCTTTTCCCATGTTTTTCCTACAAAAACACCGCGGCAGGTGTCGCGTCAGCTGTCCCAGAGCCGCGGCTGGTTCGCCTCCTCTGCGGCGCCGCGCGTGACGCTGAGCCGCCACGGCACGGCGCTGGACGCGGCGCTCAGCGTGGTCAACGGGCGAGCGAAGGTGGCGGTGCTGGGGGCAGCATCGGTGCCTTGGCGTGAAGGTGGGAAAATTCCTGGGATTTTCTGGGGATTTTCTTGGGATTTTCTGGGAAAATAAGGGGAACATATAGGAACGTATTGGAATTTTGGGAGATCACAAGGGGATTTTATTGGGATTATGATTCTCTGGGATTATAAAGGAATTTTAATAGGAAAATATCAAAATCCACTACTTAATGGAACTTAACTATTTTGGTAATTTATTGGGAATCTTAGTGGGATTACAGCGGGATATCAATGGAACATCAATGGAATATTAGAATCATGGGATTTCATGCAAAATAATGTTAACCCCGGAGTAATAAACTCACCAGTTTATTGATATGGGGGGTTTCCCCAAATAATTGGTATCCCCCCCAAAATTAGTGAACTACTGTAGGGGGATAATTCAGCAACAGTGGAGATACTAGATTATACTAGATTATCATTTCATCAGAACATACGCATTATATCATCACTGGTTGGTGGTTTGGAACATGAATTCTATTTTTCCATATATTGGGAACACTATATAATCCCATTTGACTAATATTTTTCAGGGGTTGAAACCACCAACCAGATCATATTTCATTATCTATACCCATTTGACCCCATGTTTGTCGTCTGTCTATATTGCCCATTATCACAATACAAAGCAACGATATACTTATTGTCGTCACTTTCTTATATCATTATATCATTGCATACCCATTGTCAAAGATAGAATATCTTCATGTTTGTATTCATTGTCATATTGTATCATAAATCCATATATTGATCCAAAAAAAATATTCCAGCAGCCAGCATATCCATGTCTATCCCTGTTTTTAACATCACAATAATTAAAACGCACACCTTTTAAAAACCACCAAATTATGATGATCATGAAAACCGTATGTTGTCCTTGTCCATCCCCATGATGAAACAGAAAATGTCAATGTTTACAGTGGCATATTTTGACATACCCGGCCTGGTAAACGTTTACAGAAATAGCGAACTGGAAAATCACCATGCTATGAAAATGGGTATTTATCCACTATTTCGACTGGGCAATTTTCAATAGCAAACTGTTAGTTTACCAGGCCGGGTAATTATGGATTAATCACCATTCAATCACCATTTTCCTATGGTTTTCCTATGGTTTTCCAATGGGAATCACCATGAAAAACCAATCATTGGTGCTTGGCGCCTTCCACGTCTGAAATAGTCATCGTCATCCAAAACTTCGTCGTCATCCCCAACCTTGGATGATTTGGATGGATCCTTGAGTTTTTTAAGCTGTAAATGGAGCATAACAACAACTAAGAAAAGATAGTCCACTTTTATGTTCCAAAAAATCCAGGAACATCACAGAAATTGCTTATCATAACAACTAACAGACATTTTCTTGGATAACCAATCTTTGCAAAAGATCATTTTCTGGAGGACTATCAAAGATTCAGCATGGAGTGGGGAAAGGCCCCAAGGCCCCTTGGGGCGTCTTAGTTTTCTCCCCAGGCTTACCATCCCTGCGGCGGCTTTCGCACGGGTGGCCGGCATGCCCTGGAGGAGACCTAGACACGGCCGGGGTGTCGTCAACGGGGCGTTTACACCGGATGGGGCACTTGGGTTATGACTGGGTTTACCTTACCCGGCCTGGTAAACATACAAAAAACGATGGAAAGATCCACCATTTTTCATGGGAAAACTCACTGTCAAAGTGTTTTGGTTTGTTGGTTTATCCCCCACAGTTAGTTCGATGATTGACTTTTCAGCCACGTTTCATTGCCAGAGGGTATGACTGGGGAAAACTGGAATGGTCAAAACGTAGGAACTTAAACGAACTGGGGTTCAGAAGATAGGAAAACATGAACACAACGAGAACTGGTAAGAAACAAGACAGCAAAATTGGAATGTTTCAGCGTAGGAAAAGAGACATGAACGCCAATGTCTTTTGTTGGGATTTGAGATGATTAAACTAGATAAAAACAACTGGTGAAGAGAGACGGTTAACCAGTTAAAAAAAAAGGGATGTCTGGCCAACAACCCATTTCGTTTTAATCTCAGGGTCATTGACTATACAACGGAAGGTCTTTTTCATCAACAACTCTGGAGACATGGAACAAACCCATACTTCGACTGCGTTAGTTGCTGGACGGATTATCGCCACATACATAGATTCTTGGTGGTAGATGGATTGTAAAAATATCACCCACTCAAAGTTCATCTAACTTAGACGGGAATCAACATTCGCCATCAAGGTATGATTATATATATATATACATATATATATATACCCTCTGGTTATTTAATATAGCCATGGAAAATGGCCATTTATAGTTGATTTGCCTATTCAACATGGTGATTTTCCATGGCGAACTGTTAGTCATAACCAGAGGGTATATCCCGTGAAATATTCCGTTACCCTCTGGTAAACTAGCATAACTATGGAAAATGGCCATAGAAATCGTGGATTTACCCATTGAACATGGTGATTTTCCATCGTTTTTTGTATGTTTACCAGAGGGTATTAATCCCTTATTAAACATTCCCTTCTGAATATCACTTCTGAAATCTCCAGGGGGTTCACCTGCTCATTTAAAACGCCATGCTGAAAACCCACAGGAGTCCATGTGCGTCCAATCCACCTTGGGGGTTTCGCTGCAGCGCGCTGTCTTCCTTTCAAGGTGGAGCTGGTGAAGCGGGTGGAGCTGCTGTGGCTGGAGGTTTTCTGAATTTTTTATGGGTTATCCATAGGAAAACTATAGGAAAATGGTGATTTCACCAAGAAAAATGGAGATTTAATCTGGTTGGTGGTGACTGGAACCATGGAATTTTCATGATTCATGAATTTTATGATATGACTTTCCAGAAACAGTTGGGAATGGAAAATCATCCCAACTGACGAAGTCCATCATTTTTCAGAGGGTATACCACCAACCAGCATAGTTATCCCATTTCATAGGGTCAATGACATTCAATGACCACAGTTCATCCGTTTGTAGATGGGAGAAGCCACTTAGAGGTTTACTTTCATGATATCTGTCCAGCATTCGCTTGGATTTTGCCCATCCCCGAACCATTGAAAGCGAAGCTTCGCGCCCAAAGATCAGCAGAAACATACTGCGCTGCTGAGCAATCAGTACCCTCTGGTAATTTAACATAGCTATTGAAAATGGCCATTTATAGTGGATTTACCCATTGAACATGGTGATTTTCCATAGTTGTGTTAGTTTACCAGAGGGTAAGTTGAAAACAAATCAAACAAACACATAGAAACACTATTTATGTAAAAATGATGTACGACCTGGAGCTATCCTTTTCTTGGTTTATCAGTCGCCATTGAACGTTCAGTTTCACCAGTAAAACCGCTATGGTGAGACCATCAGGAGAGGACCCCAAGTTATGTTTTGTTGGTTCGCGTTCATCCATTCTTTTGTGTAGACATGGATGTGTAAAAAGGGTATGCCAAATGGCCATTTTCGTCGGAAACATGATGATCAAAGCAATGGATTTTGGGTGTTTCCAGTGTTTCCCCCTGAATTTTCAGACAACCCAAATTTTCAGACCACCCCCATGTCCATGAAATTGAACCCCAGGTAATCCAGTGATGTTTACCAACCTCGGTGACAAACGGCGCCATGTTTTGTCGCGTTGACCACGACTCCCTTAATGCCTTAGTGCCATGCGAGGCATGGAAGTGTCAAGGCAGCGCTCAGGGTGACGTTTTTTTTTGGGGCGAAATCGATTCAGGAGAACACCCAGGGACCATCATGAAATGAGGAAAGTCGAAGACTTTGATTTTTTGCCATGGCCTGAAGACGATATATTCGCTGCAAAACACATGCCAGGCATTTAAAATTTCCCATGAAAGGCAGATGGGTTTCCGTTGTCCATTCGCAAATGACCCAAGATTTTGTGGTTTGAGCGGTGAAGATTGACCCCGTTTTTTTCAGTGGTCTGAAACTCCTGTGGTTTTGGACAATTTTGGACATATATCCCACAGTCATCCCCTCCAAACATCGCTGCATTTGTGGCGGGAACCTGTGGGGCTCGCAGGGTTTGCTGGGTTCATAGGTAGGATGAAAAGGTTTGCTAGCATCCTCAAAGGTTTCACCTGAACTTGACAACCTATTCGGGCTTGTCCAAGAAAAATAGGGCACTGGGTTGAGAACAGCTACTCAAAACTTAAGCGTATATAAATGGGATTTTCAACTTTAGTTAAGTTAATAGATTTACCCCACAGTCACAGAGGGATTCTTGGGGCAGGTGTCTCCTCCGCCCAGAGTGGGGACCGGGCGCCCAGAGTGATAGGTTCTAGGATTCTAGGCGGCTTGTTGTGGGAACAATTGGGATAGACCATGGGTATATGATGGTATATGGGTCAGTCTGAAAAGAGGTACACCAAAATGTGATAGTAAACTATCATCTTTCCATGTTAGAAAATATTGGATTGGCATGATTGGCAACTTTGAAGTATCTTCCATTTTCAGATCAGAACCTTTTTTGGACCGAATGTCTGGCAGAATCTCAAAATGACTTGTCTTTGTTTTAGGATTAATTTTGTTTTGCCCAGTATTCCTTGGTGACTCATCCTAGGGGGGTGAGTAGGTTTAAATGGGGTAAGTAGAGTGAGGCCACACCTGCAAAGGTGGGGTAGTAAGCGACTTCCAAAGCAGAGTGCACCACCAAGAATGGGCTCGAGTTCCCCAAACCTGCCGTTGATGAAGCCGCTTGAATTCTGGGTTCCATTTTGTTACCATTGGTCGGGTTCAATAATGGAAATTGTAAGAGTATTGGAATCTGACGTATTTCAATATTGTAAAAAATGGACCATCATCAAAGATATCTGCTGGTAGCAAACCTGCGGCAGCATCTGCTTTGGACGAAATATACTGGACAAAACATCTGGATTAGATACTCTGCGGCCCACCACGAGATCCGCTTGGGGATTTAGATCCGAACTTGCAACGGGAATCCTTTTATGATAAACCAGGGAATATTTTAATGCTATACCCTCTGGTTGTTTAACGTAGCGAACTGGAACATAGCCCATCTATAGATGATTTATGATGGTTTACCTACTAAAAAATGTGATTTTCCATAGCTACGTTAAATAGGGAGAGGGTACCAATTTTAGGAAGAACCGTGAGAAACCAACATGAAATAGACGTAGATGTTCTTCTCCTGCTGCTTAGTTGATTTTGGGGCACTCCGGCATATAACAAGCCATTGGTCATCTCCATTTTTTTGACCCCAAATTCCCCAACCTATTATCCTCTGGTAAATTAACAGTTGGACCCTGAAAATAACCAATTTTTAATGGAAACTAGTCTTCCAACCCCGATGACTGCCAGGGTCTATGTTAATTTACTGGAGGGTATCCCATTTTTTTGGGGGCCTGAAGATCCACAACTCCAAGCCATTTTGCTTTGAACTTCTCCCTGAGGAAGGGTTGGTTCTGCTACATCCCGGAGAACGGTGCCATCGTCAGCCCCCATGTGGAAGTCTTCCGCACGGGATCCAATCAAGGCGCAGAAAGCGCCGTGCTATTCATTGGTTGCCTCAAATTGGTGGTATTGATTTTACCCTCTAGTAAACTGTCACATAACTATGGAAAGATCCACCATGCTATTAATGGGAAAATCGACTATAAATCACCATTTTCAATAGCAAACTGTTAAATTACCAGAGGGTATCATCCACCCTTTTGCCATGGTTGGTATCATCCTACTTTGCAATATTTTGGATTCATCTTTATTCCTTCCCTTTTAATCATTTGCAGCCACTATCTCATGATTTATCATCCAATCTTCAAAGTGAAGCTTCTGCTGGGTTCCACCTCAGCGCCAGGCTATGCGTTTCTACAAGCACCTCAGGCCGGAGTTTGGGAAGTCCGTGATTCCTGGGAATTGTGGTTCTAGTTTACGTATGGGGTTAAAACATGTTAGAA